GTCAACATTTTTCTCTCTACAGAATAATAATACATATATATTATATATATGTGATTTCTATCGCATATATATATATATATATATATATATATATATATATATATATATGAATGCGGTGAGAAATTCTCAAGTTCGTATTGAATTTCAAACTTCTTCTTTTTTTATACTCGCGGGCGTCATTCAAAATTAGGCAACTTTTTTTTAATACTAATTTTTTCTATACATATAATTTATTTGACAAAAAGCGTTTTCGGAATGTATAATATTAAATTTAAAAAAAATCTCATTCAAAAAATAATTATTAAGAATTCAAAGTTTAAAAAATTGAATTGAATTATATATATATATGAATCCAAATTCAATTTAATTATATTCAGAATCGATTGAATTATATTCAAATTCGATTGAATTTTTTTTCAAATTCAATAAAATTATATTCATAATTCAATTGAATTCAGATTTGATTAAATTTAATCCAAATTCGATTGAATTACATTCAAATTTGATTGAATTTATTCCAAATTGGATTGAATTATATTCAAATTCAATCGAATTAAATTCAAATTCGATTGAAATAAAATATTTCAAAATTCGTTTGGATAAATTTTCAAATTCCTATTAAATTATATTCAAAATTGAATTTATATAAAGAATAAAAGATAATAAATTAAATTTTAATCCTTATACTCAATGAAAAAGGAAAATAATTTAGAATTTGCGCTGCATTTTTCTCCTCTGAAATAAAATGAAAGTGATGTTTCTGCCATGGGAAACTCATACAATCGCGCATTTAGAATTCCCCCTTGATTCACGTTTTGTAGCTCTCTCTCTCTCTCTCTCTCTCTCTCTCTCTCTCTCTCTCTCTCTCTCTCTCTCTCTCTCTCTCTCTCTCTCTCTCTCTCTCTCTCTCTCTCTCTCTCTCTCTCTCTCTCTCTCTCTCTCTCTCTCTCACTCTCTCTTTCTCCCCGTATATCGACCCCTAGAATTTTCCTGGTAGAAAAAAGGGTCGATGACACCCCTCCTAAATTCTAAGCCACCTTTCATCTTGAATTCACCCGGAAGTCGTAGACCATGCTCTCTCTCTTGTCAAAACGGTCACCAAAGGACAACTAGATTTTCGATTTAATATTCTACCTCTCTCTCTCTCTCAACCTCTTTACTTTTTTTTTTTTTTAATATGAAATATAATAAATTTTTTTTATCTATAATAATTTTTTTTTTGTTTACTATACTATAATTACTCCTCCTTGTTTACTCCTATAATTATATATAGGATATAATTTTATATTATTTTTTTTATTTTATAATATAATTTATATATAGGTATAACTATATAAAATTAATATCAAAAAAAAATTGATAAATAGATTTCTTTATTTCAAAGAAAACAATATCTTTGACAAATTTTTCATTGCTACAAAAAAAATTTATTTGTTTCAAACAAATTATTTTTGATCCAAAAAAAAAAATTATCTTCGTTTCAAAGAAATTTTTTATTTCATTCAAATAAATGTTTCTTTGATCCTGTATATCAATATTAAAATTTCTTTGATTTAATACAAATATTTTTTTCATTAAAAAAAATTTTCTATGAAACTAAGAAGCTTTCACTCAGAGAAATGGTATATTTGTCTCCACGCCAACTAACTCATTTATTTGTTGCAAATATATTTTATTTCATTGAAATAAAAAATTTTGTCTGAGACAAATATACGTTTATTTAACTCAAATATATTTTATTTAGTTCAAATAAATCATTTCTCTACGTGTTTCTTTCAAAGAAAATTTTATTTTTAATGACAGAATACAAGTCAAAGTAATTGGTTTCTTTAAATCAAAGAAATCTTTTCTTTCACTGCATATTTTATATATTTACTAAATTTTTAATGAAAAATGAATAAAAATTGATAGAAATTCGAACTAATTCAAAACTTAATAGACATTTATTAAACGCAAAAAAATTTATTTGATTCAAATACTCGATTATATTTGACTATTATCAAATAAACATTTACTTGAACCAAATAATTTTTTTGTGTTTAATAAATTGTAATTGAATCAATAATTTTTTGTATTTGAAATGAATACCTTTTAATAAACTCAAACAATAATTATTTAATACAAATAAATATTTATTTGATAGTAGTCAAGTAACCGATTATTTGAATCAAATAAAATATTTATTTGACAATAGAAAAATAACCGATTATTTGAATCAAATAAATTTATTTTCAGTTTATTTGATTTAGTAATACATATTTTTTTTATACAGCTAATTTTTAGGTAATTTTAATTTTAATTTTAATTTTTTAGCTAATTAATTTTTTCCCCCAAGAAAATAAAAAAGTCTTAATTAAAAAAAAAAAAAAATTTTTTTTTGCAAATAATTATTATAAAAAAAAAGAAAAATTTTGTTCATGATGAAGAAATAAAACAAAATGGCGTTTGACGCTTTGTAGTAATGGCATCGTGGTGTAACTGTTCGAAGGAGAGGGGGGAAATTCCCACAAGACCAAGCAAGTGACCCCTGTATTCGAGGGTTCGTCACCCTTCGTATATATGTATACATATATACATTGAATGCATTCAGAGCGATCAAAGATATATAGAAAATATTTTTCAGGAAAAATCCCTTGGAAAAATTATTCAGTCACTTATTCAGTCGATCATGCCATCTACCTGTACTACTTGGAATTATTGTATACAAAATCGTTTCCACGTACTCTTTGAAGGTAAGATATTGCCTTACAATGATAAAAGACCAACGTTAATAATTTTACTTTCACAAAAATTATACCATAATATTTCGGTCGATAAATTGGGTTTAAAAAAAAAATTGCTAATTTGTTTAGTAAAAATTAAATTAATAATACAATAACAAATTATGAATAATTATTTAATATTATTTAATTTATAAATAATTTTATTATTATAATTTTAACTAATTAAAGTAAAATCTTTCTTAGAAAATAGTTTTGAATCAAAGAAATTTTATGTAAGAATTTTTAGTATTTTTATACTAAAGAAATTATTTCATTCAAAGAAATATATTTCTTTGATTTATAGAAAAATTTTTCTTTAATTTAAAGAAACTTTTATCAAAAACATTTTTCAAAACGTATTTTTCAAAAAAAAATTCTATTTATAAAATGTTTATCACTATTTTTTATTACTAATTTAATTCTCTAAATTTTTGAAATAAAAAATTAATTACTAATTGAGATTTAGAATAAAAATAAGAAAGTAATTATATTATTCGTCGGTGAAAAAAATTATTTAACAAGAACATTTTTTTTTCCAGATCGTCAAGAAAATTATCGAGATGAACGTCGTTATACGTTATATGTCAATGTGAAATTTTTTTATCGACTCAAATATTGATAGAATAAATTCTAGATTGATGATTTTCTTCAATGTATAACTTTCACAATATTGAAAGAGCCTCCATCAAACTGGAAGATACTTTAATTAACAATGAAATACCTTTACGTTCATTAATCACTGTGTCAAGGAACAAATTATTTTCATATATACAATTCACCATTATTATAAATTCCTAAATATAAATTGTTAACATACAGTGAAAAAAAAAATTATTTGATTCAAATACCCGATTTACTTGATTATTAACAAATAAATATTTACTTGAACCAAATAATTTTTATAATATAATAATAATACAATAATTTAAAATAATATAATAATAATAATAATAATAATAATAATAATAATAAAAATAATAATAATAACAACAATAATTTAATAATAATATAATAATTATAGTAATTTATAATAATTTTTATTTGAATTAAATAAATTGTATTCGAATCAATAATTTCAGTATTTGAAATAAATACCATTTAATTGATTCAAATAATAATTATTTGATAATAGTCAAGTAATCGAGTATATTTGAATCAAATAAATTTTTTTTTTTCATTTTATATTTTTAAATTTATATTAATTCAGAAAGAAAATTATTTGTAATTATAAAAAATTAAAGAAAATAATTCTTTTTACAAGTTAAAAAAACAATTTTTAATTATTATAATTATTATTATTAATTTGTAATTATTACAATTAAACTAGTTTGATTTTTTCAATAATTATTTTTTAAACCAGTGTAACATTTATACAATATACCATTTGACACACGCGATATATTTTAATATGCAAATTTATTTTGTTTTTTAATATCTAAATACACTCGCGACTTCTGCATACATTTAAAATATATACGTTGGAGGAGAATTTTATTTAATTGTAACTGATTGTCAACAATGAATAAAACGTTGAATCAAATTGTATATAGATATATATGTTGTTAATTTATGAGAAGAAGATGTAGAATAAATAAAATCGATTCTATTATTCATGTTTTATTTTTTCCATTGAATAAACGGCACATTTGAGAAAAAAAAATTTTTTCGAAAAAATAATACACGTGGAATTAAACGTATTTTTATACTTTTTTTTAAAAAATACAAAAACAAAATTTAAACAAAAAGAAGTTTAAAATACATTACAAAAAAAAAATTTAAATAAAAATAGCAATACAACTTTTTGAAATAAAATTCATAAATTAATAATATTAATTAATATTATTAATTAATATATTAACTTCATTATTAATTATTTAAAAAATTAATTATTTGCTCTCATTAAAAAATAATGCCAAAAATAAATAAAATTTATGAATGATTTTTTTTACAAATTAAAAAAAAATATTTTGTAACAGATTCGTAAAATTCTTATAGGAGGACAAAAAAGGACACTAAACTGGTTTGTCTATAATTGGAAAGTTTAAAATCACCTGTCCGTTAGTATTTTTTTTTTTTTATATTAATCCACGATTTCAATTAAAGTATGGACGAAATGTAATTGGATGTACGATAACGATATATATATATATAGTGGAACTTCTTTTTATAAATAAAAAAAATATACATGTGTGTTTCTTGGTATATACTTAAAATTTATACATAGTATATACACACATACATTGATACTGAGTAACAACATGGTTTAATAATCGGACACCGGTTTTCTCAGACAGTCACAATTTTACCTTCGCGAGAATCGAATACACAGATAAATTTCATTTACTCGCGGCAGTACCAGTTAACTTGTGAGTCGTAACGAATTTATTTTTTCATTTTTAAAAACTTATTATTATTTTATTTTTCAATTAATATATTTTTATTTTATTATTAATATTTTATTATTAATATTTTATTATTAATATTTTATTATTATTATTTTATTATTATAATTATATTTTAAAATTATTATTTTATTATATTTTTAATATTTATATAATATTGTTATTTATTTACTTTTTTAAAAAAGCCATTAATACGCTCAGCGCTCATTTTTGTACTCGCGATAATAAAATATGTAGTTAAAACTATATTAAATTTTTTTACAATTTTATTAATTTTTATTTACTTAATTAATTCGCTTTTTTTAAATTAATAAATCTTTTTGTTCATGTTAATAAACAATTTTTTCATATACTGCAAAGAAGATTCCATTTTATTTATAATTTTCAAAAAAATATATTTTATGAGATTGAAAAAAAATTATTCAACTAAACAATTACTTGACTATTATCAAATAAATAGTTATTTATAGCAAATAATTATTATTTGAGTCAATTAAATATAAAAAAAAATAGTTCGAATAGGTATGTGGTTTATTTGATTTAAATAAAAAATTTGTTTCAAATAAATATAATTATTTTTTATCAAAATAATTATTACAATGAAAAAATTTTATTTGGTTCAAATAATCAGTTATTTATATCATATAAATATTTACTTGAACCAAATAATATTTATTTGAATTAAATAAACTGTATTCGAATTAATAATTTTTTTATTTTAACCCAATATCGTTTAATTGACTCAAAGAATAATTATTTATTTGAGAATTCAATAACAATCAAGTAACTATAATTATTTGAATCAATTAAATATTTTTTTCAGTTTGTTTGAGTCAAGGAAAACTTAAAAAATTGGTTCAAATAAATATTTATCTATATCAAATAATATATATATATTTTTATTTTATTATTAATATTTTATTATTAATATTTTATTATTATAATTATATTTTAAAATTATTATTTTATTATATTTTTAATATTTATATAATATTGTTATTTATTTATTTAAAAAATTCACGGGACAAGCCCATTCGTAAATTATTAATTAAATATTAATTATTATTAATTCTTAAAATTAAATTATTATTGTTATTATAAGCAAAATTGCTATTAACTAATTTCTAAATATTTTTATATTATCAAAATTAAAAAAAAATTTTAATAAAATACAAATAATAAATCCTAATAATAAAAATTTAAAAATTTATTTTAATGATATTAGTAACAAAGATTGAAATTTTAATTGTTTTTAATTAAAATATTTTTTTTTTTGCGATTTTTTTTACAAAGGGTAAAAAATATTTGATTATTAAAAATAAAAAAAATATTTTAACTAAAAGAAAAAAAAAATTGAATCATTTGTTTATTTAATGAAAATTCAGTTTTATTTTCTAGTTCCGATGTCCTGAATAATTAATACCACAGAGGCTGACAATTCAAAGGATTTGAGTTCGTTTTAAAAAAATATTATACAAATTTAAAAAAAATTTTGTTTTTAAAAAAACCGGTTAAATAATTAATTAATTAATTAATTAATTAATAATTAATTTTTCATATTTTAAAATGAATTTCATGATCCTTATTATTTTTGGATCAATTTCGATAATTGCCGCGTCTAATCCAATTGTCAATATAAAAAATGGAACACTCGAAGGTACTATTATGAAAAGTAGAAAGGGCAAAGAATTTGCAGCATTCAGAGGAATTCCTTATGCGCTTCCACCATTGGGTGAATTAAGGTTTGAGGTAAGTAAACAGAAAAAAAAAAAATTACAAATTTTTATTTGCAAATTTTTTTCTTGGAGAATTAAATTTTTTTTGCCTGTATACTAATTTATTGAACTATTATGATAATTTTATTAAATGATAATAATATGAATGAATATTCGCAATTCATCTTCATTTTAAACAAGTTCATTTTTTTTAATTTTCCTTTTTGCGATTCGGTTATTGAATTAAATTTTCATATACGAATGATGTATTATGTAATTAGCTTTGTCATGAATGATTAGTATGACGAAGAATGAATATCTAATGTATCAAAATGTTACAAGTTTAATAAAAAAAAAAAAATAAAATATAATTTTAAATATCCTATTTCAATATTATATTTTTTTTCTTTTGTATTCAAAATGCTTTTTTAATACATTAAAAGTTGTTAATTAATCATTTCAGTTAATTAATTAAATTATTATTATTATTTATTATATGAATTTGTTTAAATTAATAATTAAATAATTTATTAACCCAAATTTTTTTTATAAAATTAAAATAAATGCACCGGAAATTAAAATGAAAATTAAATCTATTTCCATTTAGTTAAAATTCGTGAATATTTAATTAATTGAGTAATCGCGGAAAAACATGTTCAATTAGTTATGTCAATTTATGTATCACAATCGAGTATCGTTCAAAAGATTCATAATCTTATGTAATATATATATGAGAAAAATGATAATTTGCAAGAGAAAAAAAAAATAATTTTCTTCAAAAATAATCATATTTTTGTACAATAAATGACGAAAAAAAAGGATTTAATTTTGAAACAGCTTGTCCTCGTAGTTCTTCCTTTTTTTTATTTAATTTGTTTCTTAATTTATTCAAGAAAAATGTATCAAGGTCCCTTGAAAAGAATGTACAATATTTCACCGTGAAAGAATTTTCTCAATGAAAATAAAAGTGAAACTATTAATTCATTAAAAAATTTGTTCCTTTTTTTAATCACAGTTTTCTAAAAAAAAAAAAAATATTTTAATTATTAATAATCACAATAAATATAATAATAAAAAAAAATATTAATAATAATAACAATAATACTTAATTTGAAAATAATATTTTCTTATTAGAAACAGACGAACAGACAGACATTGCAAGTAATTATCTTTTCGTGGCTCCTCCAATTGTTTTAATTATTCAATTTAAAAATAAAGTAATTATTATTCATATCATTCATTTTTTAATATCCGACTTTTTTGGGACAGACCTGAAAAAAAATTCTATTAGAAAAATAAAATAAAAATAGGTACACTGAAAAATAGTATTGAATCAAAATTCACTTATCCGTACACCCAGAAAAATGTTTTATTTCAACCAAATATAATAATATTTGAGTTAAATAAATGTATATTTATCATAGCCTATTTATTTGGCGAAAATAAAATTTTTTTTTAAATCAAATGAAAATTTATTTGAACCAAATGAAAATTTATTTGAACCAAATAAAAATTTATTTGACCCAAATAAATATTTATTTGAACCAAATGAAAATTTATTTGAACCAAATAAAAATTTATGTGAACCAAATGAAAATTGATTTGAACCAAATAAATATTTATTAGACTGTGAGACAAATAAATTTCTCTGTGTTTGTGTATTCGATTAAATATTTCCTTGATCCAAGAAAATTTTTAATAAATTTTTTTTGAATTAAGAAAATTAGTGAATCATAAATACGAACAAATTTTTTTGATTCAATTATACTTTTTTTTCAGTGCAGCAAAAAGGATATTTCATATAATTATTTACTCACCTTAATAACATATATATATATATATTTTTTTTTTAAAGCCACCAAAACCAGCGGCATCATGGGACAAAATTTATTCCGCCAAAAAAGATCCAAATATATGCACACAAAGAAATATTTACACACATCAAGAGGAAGTTGTAGGCGATGAGGATTGTTTATATCTCAATGTTTACACACCAAAATTAACAACAAATTTAAAACATAAAAATTATCCCGTTCTAATATGGTTTCATGGAGGTGGATGGGTGACCGGTGCAGGAAATTTAGATTTCTATGGACCAAAATTTCTCCTCGATCATGATGTTATTCTCGTAACAATAAATTTCAGGTAATTTAATTTTATTTTAATTTCTTAAAATATACAGATTATTATTATATATTATTATATATATAATAATAATTATTATAATTATTAATAATTATTAATTAATAATTATATATTATATACAGATTATTATATAAAATATACAGCATTATTCAAAGTATACCGGTGAAAAAAAAAATTTATTTGATTCAAATAATCGATTCCTTGACTATTAAATAAACATTTACTTGAACCAAATAATTTTTATTTCAATTAAATAAACTGTATATTTGAAACAAATATCTTTTAATTGACTGAAATAATAATTATTTATTTTTAATAATTTATTTTAATAAAAAATAATTTTTTTTTATTTTATTCTTAGTTAGAATAAAAAATTTACAAAAAAAAAATTCTATTTATTATTTATCAAAAATTGAGTGTTGCAAATAATATTCAAATTTTTACGATTTCATTATATAAAGATTGGGTCCATTGGGTTTTCTGAGTACAGAAGATTTAGTGATTCCTGGTAATCAAGGAATGAAGGATCAAGCCCAATCAATTCGATGGGTTCATGAAAATATTGCCAATTTCGGTGGTGATTCCAATAGAGTAACATTATTTGGAGAAAGTGCAGGCGGTGTCAGTACTCATTATCATATGTTAAGTCCCCTTTCGAAAGGTAAATTTAATTTAAAATAATAAATAATACCAAATAATTGTTAATAACAATAATAGTAATAATGATATTAAAAATAATAAAAATAAAAATAACAATAAAAATAAAATATTATTATAATTTGATATTCATCATTATTAGCAAATAATTAGTTTAATTAAAAAAAAAATTAGTTTAATTAACTAGTTCAACTAATATTATCTATTATTATCATTATTAAACTAGTTCAACTAATATTATCTATTATTATCATTATTATTATTTAAAGCAATTTTTTACTCGTACATCCAGTAACGTATTTTACAACAAATAAATTTTTAGTCAGGAAAAATACTGGATAAATATTTATTTATAAAACCGTCATACACAAAGTTTCGAAACCAACATTGGTTTCCTCTTCAAGTGAAAAAAATCTATAACAATATTTTTTATTATTTTTATTATTATTATTATTATTATTTTTATTATTATTATTATTACTATTATTATTATTTAGCAATTAGTTTAATTAACCATAATTTAACCAATTAATTTTCAGGTCTATTTCATCGTGGAATTTCACAAAGTGGAACAGCTCTCTGTCCTTGGGGATTGACAAGGCCAGGACTGGCAAAAAAACAAGCAGAGAAATTGGGAAAACTTATGAAATGTCCGACAGGCGATTCTCGAGAATTATTAAAATGTTTGAAAACAAAAAATCATATTGACATTATTGCCACAGATAGAGATTTTCAGGTATATATAAAAGAAAAATTTAATCAATAATAAATTTCTATTTTTTTTTTTCAATTAAATATTAATGGAACGTTAATAATTTTAAAAATCACACTTTTAATTTTAAATTTCATATATACGATTTTAATGATGAAATTTAATTGAAACATAGTTAACTAGAAAAATATCGTAGAATGTTATATATATATATTTGAAATAAAATATATTTCTTACGTCATTAAAATTTTAATGTTAAGAAAAATTAATTCCACGCGTGCGGATTAGAAGTTTGTGTGTATGTGTATATTTAAAATATTTGCATAAAATCGCTAACATATTACACGAGGAGAAATGATAAACAGAAAGTTTAATTTATATGTAAAATCTAGGCCGGTTGCAAAATATTTCTTGTCCCTGCATCCCATGCGTGAATTATAAATGAATTCGTAATGTGTGTAATGAAAGGGAAAAATATGCCATTACATAAGATAATAACATTAAATTTCCTAAACATTATCATTATTATTATTATTGCATTTCATTCATCTAAAAAAAAAAAATTATTTACTCTCTAAATCTGAATTAGTAAAAATGTTTACTAATTTAAATTAGTGATTCACTTTTTGCTTCTGAATTAGTAAAATTTTACTAATTATTAGTAACTTTTCCTAACAATTAGTAAAATTTAACTAATTTAGAAACAAAAAGTGAGTAACTAATTCAAATTAGTAAACATTTTTACTAATTCAGATTTAGAGAGTACAATTTTTTATATTCGGATAAAAAAATTATTTTTCAATATTATTATTTTAGGTCTTCGACTATTGTCCAATGATACCATTTAGACCAGTTATTGAACCCGATCATTCCGGAGCATTTTTAAAAGAAGATCCAGCAATAAGTTTAAAAAATGGAAAAATCTCTGATATACCTTGGATGACGGGTATAACTTCACACGAAGGTGCTATAAAATCGGCAAGTAAGTCAAAAATCGAAAGTTGAAAGTAAAGAAAACAATACTCTTAAATTAAAAAAAAAATATTTCGAAAATATTATACACCCAGAGAAATGTTTTATTTGAAACAAATATAATTTTTTCCAGCCATTTACGGACTCTTTGATGGAAAATTAATAAAAGAACTTAATGACAATTTTGAAACAATTGCACCATTAAGTTTACTTTACGAAGATGTTTGTCCAAAACATTTAATTAAAAATGTCACACAAAGTATTCGCGATTTTTATTTAGGTGATCAACCCATTGATGCATCGACTAGATTCGAAGTAACTGATGTGAGTTATAGAAATAATATAGAATCAATTTAAGTATCACTGGAAAAAGAAAATTTATTTTATTCAAATAATCAATTACTTGGCTATTATTAAATATTTATTTGTATTAATAATATTTGTATTAAATATTTATTTGTAACAAATAAATAATTTATTTGTATTAAATAAATATTTATTTGATATATTAGTCAAGTAACCGATTATTTGAATAGAAATAAATTTTTTTTAGTGCATACAAGTAAATAAATAAAAATATTTTTGTTATATAATAGTTAATTAATTATTTAAAAAATAAAAAAATATTTTTCATTTAGATGTATTCTGATGCGTGGTTTATCGTTTGTGCTGACAATGCAGTGAGAGATCATCTTGATCTTTTGTCATCGCCAATTTATTATTATTATTTCGGGTACAGAGGAAGCGCGTCATTTAGCAAATTATTTGGTGATCAAGAACGAGATTATGGAGTAAGCCATGCAGATGATCTTCAATATTTGTTTCCAGTTGGAGAACAATTATTTCAAGATACACCACTCACTACCGAAGATCATAAGATAATTGATCTTTTAACAAGTCTTTGGTTCAATTTTGCAAATACTGGGTAATTTAATATATTAATATCTATTTAATTTATGCAATTTATGTGTAATTAATTAAATACTTAATTCGACTCAAGTTAATTAAATAATTAATTATCTTCAATTAATTATATAAATAATAAGCTCCAATTAATTTAATCATTAATTAGCTTCAATTAATTAAATAATTAATTAATTTCAAGTAATTAAATACTTATTTAGATTCAATTAATTAAATATTTAATTAGCTTTAATTAATTAAATAATTAATTACCTCAAATTGATTAAATAATTATTTAGTTTCAAGTAATTAAATACTATTTATAATTACTATTTACTATTAAATATTTAATTAGCTTCAATTAATTAAAAAATTAATTAGTTTCTATTAATTACATATTAATTAGCTCAAGTTAATTAAATAATTAATTAGCTTCAATTAATTAAAAAATTAATTAGTTTCTATTAATTAAATATATAATTAGCTTTAATTAATGAAACAATTAACTTCGATTAAGTAAACAATTAATTAGCTTCGATTAATTAAATAATTAATGAACTTAAATTGATTTAGTTACTTCATTTGTAATCAATTAAATTTTCCTTTTTAATTTTTAGAAATCCAACACCAGAAATAACAACGAAAATTCCAGTTAAATGGAAATCAGTGAAAAGTCATCATTTGGAATATCTTCATATAGAAAGTTCTAAAACTATCTTTATGGGTCGTGATTTACATTCTAAGCGAATTAAATTTTGGAATAATCTACAATATCGCGAAACACATATTTTAAAGAATGATAAAACATTGAGGGATGAATTGTAAATTAAAAAAAAAAAAATGTTTAATCATTATTATCGATTGAAATTTTTTCATTTTAATTGTTGAAAAATTTTTTATTAATTTTGTTAAAGCAATTTATTTTACTATCTGCATAATAAGCAGTAATTTTAATAATTTGTTGTAAAATTATTATCGTCATTGTTATTATATGTTATATAATTAGTGCTAATATTTTAATTATTATATATAATTTAATTATATATCGTTAAATGTAAATAGACAAATAAAATTTCAAATTTGTTATTAAAAAAAAAAAAAAAATACTATTTATTTTAAAAATCCTCTAAATTTTAAAAGCCAAGAATATACTGAATTTATGAATAAATTGAATTAAAATATTTTAAAATAGATTTCATGAAAAAAAGCATTCATTGAGTATGATTTAAATTCTAATGAATTATTGAGAGATGAATTGTAAAAAAAATACAATTTTTTTTAAGATGATTTAATATTTCTTTAAAAATTCAATGGAATTTTTGCTTGAACCTATTTTAAATATATCGAAATATATCGAGACTGAAAAATTTATATATTTGCCATTTTTTTTTATCTTGACAAACAGAAATTAACCTATACAGCATTGTATATAATTCGAAATTAACAATTTAATATAATTTATGAAATGTTTAATAAACATTAAAAAATATAATAAACAATTTTTTCAAAAATGAATGAATTAGAAGAAAGTACAAGTGCTATTGCAATTGACGAAAATATAACAGCACCCTTAATGTGGAATTCACCTTCTTATTGTGAAATTTTAGATTTGCAAGAAAATCATTACGAAGAAGTTATCGAATTAATAAAAGTATTACAAATTAATAATACTTATTAAAAAAAAAATAACCAAAAAAAATTATATAATAACGATATAATAGAGAAATAATAATTATTATTTTTATAATTAGGAATAAAAATTAAAAATTTTATATTCTTCATTGAAAACATAACAGGAACATTATCTTAAATATGATCCAATGTGCAGAGCAACAAATTTAATAGAAGATTCAGAATCAAAAACAAACTATTTAAATTTAATTCGACTTTGGATAAAAGACAGTACAAGTTTGATTGCAATTAGTAAAACATCTGGAAAAATTATTGGCACCATCATTACTAGAATTAACAGTTTACTTGACAAGACAAACACATACAGTCGAATTAATGTACGTTATCAATAATTATAAAGTCAAAAAAAAAATATTAAAAATTACCGACACAGAAATCTACCTTACCGACTGATGACAAAACAGTTTCCTTAAAAATGAAAAAAATTACCGATCTAGAAACCTACCTTACCGACGGATGGCTCAAATTTTTTTACCATCAGTCGGCAAGGCAGATTTCTAGGTCGGTAATTTTTTACTTTCATTCTTCAAAAAACTGGTTTATCATAAGTCGGTAACGTAGATTTCTGTGTCGGTAATTTTTTTATATTTTTTACCATCTTGTTAATTTTTTAATTATCTATGTATATATGTAATTAATTATTGAAAGTATAGATATTTCAAGGAAACGCTCTAAATTCAATAATGAGTCTGAAAAATTCCTTAATTATTCAATCGGATGCCTATAACGTATTTAATACCGACAATTATCTAAGAATTTATCTTATATGTGTACATCCATCTTCAAAAAATTTGATCCAAGATTTATTGTACTCTTCGTATGAATTGACAGCAGCTCTTAATCTCAAAGCAGTTGCAGGAATTTTCACAACAACAAGAGATCAAAAAGCAGCTGTAAAAATTGGTTTCAAATTCATATCGAAAATTCAGTACAATAATTGGATAACCAAGGACGACAATATCCGAGGAAATCCGGGAATTAATAATAATTCAGTGGCTTTTATGGGACGAATAATACCGAATCGCGTGGAACTAAATAAAATTTTAAAAATTAGAAAACAAATTTGGAAAATGGAAAAAGACACCTAACTAAAAAAATACTAAAAAAAAAAATACATTAAAAAAACAATTTTTAATTGCGATTTACAAGTTTATATTTACGAAAAAAGAAAATAAATAGATACAATAAATACCTACATATAAGTATATATATGAAATATTACAATTATTACCTGATAATTTGCATAAAACTAAAAAACAGATATTTCTTTTTTTAAAAAAACCATAAAAACAATTTTTATCACAGTAATTAATAAATGCAAGAAATCACTTCGGGGAGATTATATATAACTAACGTATAAAAAGTTAACAGTAATTAACAATAAAGGAAATGATTGCGAAATATATTTTTAAATGCCTTTTAAAATCATTGACAAAAAAAAAACTATTTCTAACTCAACATTTTTTTTAGTTTACAAAAAAATAATTTTAATTTTAAAAAACCTATAGTTTTTGAAAATCGAAAAATTTGTTCGCGCAACCAAAAAATGTTTTTGACATCAAAATATGTATTTTTTTTTTTTGTCAACAAAGGCGAACAAAAATCACAAACACATAATTGCCATTACTAAAATTGATAATAACATTTATAAACACCTTCACAATGTATTCTCTTTTTTATAATCTTAAAATTCAACTGTACAATCTACACAGCATTTTAATGTTAATTTTCAATTATTCATTTTATAATAATGACAATCACGATTTTCTTCATCGATACTTAAAATTCTAAATCTTTGGTACAAATAATAACTTAAAAAATTTGCGTATATTAAATAAAAAAAAAAAAGAATTAAGAAAAAACAAATATTTTTAGAAAAAAAATTTTAAAATATCCTAAAAATAAAAATACCATATAGAAAAATAAAAAAAAGTGTCAACTAAAAAAAGTTTAATAAAAAAAAAATAAATAAAAAAATCGAAAATATTGGATAAAAATTGTGTTCACTACGTTTCAAAAATTTTTTTTAAGAATTATTAGGTACTATAAGCAAAAAAAAAAAAAAATTCTCTAAAAATGCATAATATATCTAGCTGTGTAATGAAATATAAATAATAATTATTGAAGAGGTGTTCGTCGATGAGCTGTGGTTGGTCTTGGAACTCCAGATCGACTTCTATTTCTTTTTGGAGGCGCTAAATTCGTTTCAGAATCCGTATTGTAGGTGAGAAAAATATTAGACAAATCCGGAAGTGCTTGCTGAAAAAAAATTTTTTATTAAAATTCGAATCTGAATTTAAGAAATATTAATTTATAATTTATAAAGTAATTCAATTTCGAATATGTAAAGAATAAATAATATTAATATTAATACACGGAGAGAAATCTGCTGCGATTTGCGCATGAGCATGTCCATAGGAATATAGCATGGACACTTCCAAGCAAAAACCATAAGATTCCATCTGAATATCAGGTGAGACTCATACAATAATACCTCGCTCACTTAGGATTTTTGCTTGAAAGCGTCTGTTACTATATTCCTAAGGACATGCTCATGCGTAAATCGCACCAGATTTCTCTCCGTGTAATAATAAATAATATTAATATTAATAATAAAATATATTAATATTAATAAAAATAAATAATATTAATAAATAATATGAGTGTTATTAAAAATAATTTTTAAAAAACTTCGAAGAACAGTAAAATTACGTCTTTATTGCTTCCAATTGAAGGAGCAGCTTGTGCTTTTCTCATATTATTTCCAGTGTAAGCAACGCATTTTAATTGCCATTCACCAATATCCTCATTCCAATGAACATATCTTTCAATCATAGTCTGAAAAATGATTATTAAAAAATATAATCAAAATACATAATTAAAATTTCTTTCAAAAAAAAAAAGAAAGAAAAAACAATTTTTTTTCAACATTTTCAAAAATGTTTAATATTTTTTTTTTAATTTTCAAAAATATTTTTTTTATAATACCTGATATTGAGCAGGAATGTAACTATTTAAAACAAGTTCCTGCAATTGTAATTCTCTTCCAATTCCACGGACACATTCCAAAAGTCCTTCCATTTCACGTTGATGTTCTTCTTGTAAATCAGAAAGTTCCGCTTTCGCTGACAATAGCATTGTTTGTATTCTAGCTAATTTTTTCGTTTTACCAGCAGCCTCCTCTTGTAATGACGAATATTTCTCCTCAATATCTATTCGTTCAGCTTCCTTTTCTTCAATGGCCTTTTTCAATTGTTCCTCACGACTTTTTCTCTCCTCCAATTCAATTGCTGACGATGCAAGTAAACGTTCTTGTGCCTCGGCTTTTTCCAAAAGATTTTCACCACCAACTAAAATTTTATTCTGTAAATTCTGCATTTTTTCTCTTAACGCTTCCTTCTCGCTTCTGTGGAAAAAAGAAAATTAGTTTCATTTAATTTTCAAAATTCACATTTTTAAATAATTTATAAAAAATATCAATATTAAATATTAATTACAAAAATTAATTTTTAATAATAATTAAATGGATTAAAAAGAAGTAAAAAAAAAATATGCAAAACGTACTGTGTGCGCTTAAGTTCATTAACATCGTGATCATCGGAAAATTTATCATCTTTCTCAGCTTTATCAACTTTTTCCCCATCCTCCACACCATCATCGAGTTCCTCCATTGTCATCATTTGACTTCTACGATGTCGTGATTTTCTTTCTCTTTTTGTTTCTCCACTGCCATTTTCCTCAGACTCGTCAGTTTCCACTTCAGTGTCAGACAATTCACCAGCATTTTCTTCCAATTGTTTTCTTAATTGTTCAATTTCCACTTGAAATTGTCGAAGAAGAGCATCTTTTGGATCCTCATTTACTCTCGCTCTATTTTTAATATTTTTCGCTCTATTCGCATAACGTAAAGTGCTGATAGTTTCATCGTAATTCAAATCCGCTGGACTGATATTTGCGCACTGTAAACATAAAGAAAAAAATTTAATTTCTTTTACAAAATTATTTTAAAAAAAAGAGCATGAATTATTAATTACCATAAGTGTTTTCGAATTACCACCAAGGGAATCTTGTAACAATCTTGTCAGCTTGGAATTTCTATAAGGCACATGAGAACTTTGCCCATCGACAAGGGCGGAAATAACATTACCTAATGTTGAAAGTGATAAATTTATTTTTGTCGCCTCTCTCAAACGAACTCCACTTGCTTTCGTTTTACTCTGACGTTCAGAACCCTGAAAAAAAAAGATTTTAATTATTTTTAATTAAATAATGAATTTTTTTTTATTATACTTTTATTTCTGAAAGGAATTTTTTCCACTTACGGCCAAATCAACTAAATGGAGTTTTCCCATTTTCACATGTTGTTCACCATCTTCTCCGGGTTGACTAGATTCCACAGTAATTGTAAAAATTGCATGCGATCTCGAACTGGAAACATTCATTGCTGTCGCTCCCACCACACCTTTAATTAGAAAGAAAAATATTTTTATAATTCAATAAATAATTAAATACTTTCATAAATAATATTTAACATTGTACACTGAAAAAAAAAATTTATTTGGTTCAAATACTCGATTACTTGACTATTATCAAATAAATATTTATTTGTATCAAATAATTAATATTTGAGTCAATTAAATGATATTTGTTTCAAATACAGAAATTATTGGTTCAAATACAATTTATTTAATTCAAATGAAAATTATTTGATTCAAATAAATATTTATTTGATAATACTCAAGTAATCGAGTATTTGAATCAAATAAATTTTTTTTTCAGTGTATATAATTAATAAAATATTACGATTTTTATTGCCAAGAGTCATAATTCTATCTAAATCATCAGCATTGTTAACAACATATCCACTTAAATCTTTAACAAATACTCCAATATCCGGCCTCTCTTTAACTTCCAATCTTGTGTTTTGATCCTTTCCCAATAAATCTCTAACTTCCTCATTATAAATTTCCAAATAAGTGGCTCTCACTAGAAACCTAAAATAATTTTTAAAAATTAATATATTTCTTTTTTTTTATTAGATATTAAATTCATTTTATTAATTCCCTAATAAGAATTATTCTATAATTATAGAAAATTTATTTCTAATATTTAAATCGGTAAAATTCACAACCATTGAGAAGGAAAAACTATTTTTCTACATAAAATTATTATAATTTTTTGTCTAAAAAATTTTTTACATTCTCTCGATCAACAATATTTAAAAAAGAAAATAATTTGTAAGTCAAAAAATTTTATTTTCCAAATGAAAAATTTTTTTTTCAATCGTTGATGATGAACGAACGCGAATATTTCAAAAGATTTTGTTAAACAGACAATAATTAAATTTTCCGAATTGAAAATAATTTATTAAACAATTTTACATATTTTTTAAGTAGGTGAATTTTCAATGATTTCAAATTCTGATATTTGAAAATAATTAAAATTTTTTTTGATTTCTGTTGGTAAAAAATTTAATAAAACTTGAAGAAAAAAATTGAACTTTAAAAATTTTCCAATTAAAAAATAATCCAAGCCCTGGAATTATTAATAAAATAAAAAAAAATTTCTTAATAAATAAAATGAATTATTACTTTTGATTTTCATCAGCCTTTGCAATGTGACCAAAAATATGAGCAAATGTATTTGGAATGATACCACGTAATTGTGGTGAAGTTTTTGCTCCAGACATAGTGTAAGTTTTACCAGTTCCCGTTTGTCCATAGGCAAATATTGTTCCATTATAGCCTTGTAAAACTTTATCAACAATTGGTCGTGCTGTTTCATTATAAATATCAACTTGACTTGTGTTTGTATCAAAAACTGCATCAAAAGAAAATACTTTTGGTGGCTCTCCTTGCGTTGCATTTGCATTTTCAACTGTTATTTCAGCATTTAATGTATCAACTTTTGTTATTATTTTACAATGTTGATCCAATTCTTTTCCATGTAAGGGACGAACTCGAACGACAACACGGACATTTTCAATTTCGCCAAGTTCAGTCGTATTATCCTAAAAAAAAAAGAAAAAAAAGTTTCTTATTTTTTCACACAAAATTAGAAAGGAAATTAAATTTTTTAAAAATTTCTAATATTTCTATACATTGAAAAATATAAAATATAAAATATAAATATAAATAATAAAAAAAAATAAAAAAATTATAACAGAAAAAATACAAACAGGAAACGAATTTTCATTTTAATGTAAAAGAAAATTAAAATAATATAATTGATTAAGAAAATTTATTTACCCTATAATGACGCATAAACTGACAGATAGAACTGTCATTTTTGCTCCAAAAAAAGAATATTTCAAAATAAAATTCTACAATACTTACCGCAGTACCTGGCATCGTTAAAAATTTGTCTTATTATTCACTAATAAAATACACAAATTCACTGCATAATAATAATAATTTTCTAATTTCGATGGGAATAAAAAAGTAGCTTCAAAAAAGAAGTAGTTTTTTTTAGCAGACGACCCCGTAAACAAATGGATCGATGAAATGACTTGCAACGACACCAAATGATATTTTGTGAGAATGTTGAAGCTTCTCATAGACAAATTATACAATTCACCAGTCGATAAATTCAATCACTTCGTTATCATTATTTTTAAAAAAATAATTGTTTATAAAAAAAATTTTTTTTTTAATTTGTTGAAAGATAAAAATTCAACTTAAAAATTTTTTTATTAATAGTTAATTAATTCTATTTTATTGTTACATAAAAAAAATATTACGTACAATAAAAGTTATAGAATTAATAATAATAATAATAAGAATAATAATAATAATAATAATAATAATAATAATAATAATAATAATAATAATAATAATAATAATAATAAAATAATAATAATAATAATAATAATAATAATAATAATAATAATAATAATAGAAAAAAAAATAATAATAATAACTTTCTCTTAAGAACTAATTTTTATTTAACTTCTTAAGACATTTCAAATACAGTTTCTTGTATTCACAGCAAAAAAATAGTTTACTAAATTTTACATAATTATTTAGTACTTTTGGATATATTCGCATTTACAAAATTCAATTTTATATGATTTACAAAACAGTTCTGTAAAATTTTAAAATATGTTCAGTATAAAATACCAAATGATTCAAAGTATTTTCAAAAAGTTTCATATTTTGCACTAAGAATTTGGAACATTTTACAAAACTGTTTTGTAAATTATACAAAATTGAAATATTTTATTATATCCACGAGCAGAAAATTTTTTTATTTTTTTCCAAAAATAAATGTATTTATAATTTTTTTCAAAATTGCAAAAATTTAACACACATTTTAGGGAAACTTTCGTAAATTACTTTGGCACACGTTAAAATTGCTTGAATAATTATTTGCGAATGTATATATTATATATATATATTCTTAGTTGCCTATATAGTGGTGAGTCAAAAAAAAAAAAATCGTATAGGGAAACCACCCTTCTTGCCTGCTTCTCTTTTATAATAAGCACATCCCCCATAGAATTTCTCTCGTCGTTAGTGCACCCTGAATATATTGTATATATGCACACTTTTAGTTCGTTTCGCTTGCTTGCAGCTGACGACGATACTTAACAATACACCCTCGATTTAAGAGCGACGCTACATTTCACAAACTCCACATACAGAGACCAAAAAAAAAAAAAGTAATTATTTCATTTGTTATAATTTTTTTTTTTAACGTAGGAAAAATATTATAGAAACCCTTTTATTGCAATAGAAAAAAACCTACTGTTCAAAATTTTTTTCAATTTTTCTATAAAGATATGAAAAGAATTCACACAAAAATCCATCAATTCAATTTGAATAAAATCAAAATTTTTATGACCCAATAAAATTTTGAACGAAACGAAAAGTACCTTAAAAAAAAAACAAAAAAAATATTATTAAATCAAGAAAACCTATTTACTTGACTGCGTATTCAATATCAATATTTTCTTGATCCAAGCAAAATTTACTTCAAACTAATAAAAATTTATTGGATCAAGAAAACATTATTATTGAATACAGTCAAGTAAATAGGTTTTTCTGATTTAATACTATTTCAGGGTGTCTACTAAAAATCTGAATTAAAATTCCAGGACTTTTCCAGGACTTTTCAGGACAAATTTCTTATTTTTCCAGGACATTAAATTAGATGACTTTAAGGAATAAAAAAATTTTTAGTTTAAATATTGTTTTCAGAAATTATTAAAAAATTAATTAATTACTTAAGTAAATTTTCATTTTACTTATTTAATGAATTTTTTTTAACTTGATTGACAAAATTAGAATTTTTTGTAAATTTAAAAGCAAAATATAAAAAATTCAAGGACAAAAATTAAAATTCCAGGACATTTCCAGGACTTCCAGGACTAGTAGACACCCTGTATTTTTTAAGTGTACATGTAATTAATTTACATTTAATTACACTGAAAATTTATTTGATTGAAATAATTGGTTACTTGACTATTATCGCAAAATATTTCCTTGCACCAAATAATTTTTAGTCAATTAAATTTTGGTTCAAATACAGAAATTATTGTTTCAAAATAATTCAACCAAAAAATTTGGTACAAATAAAAATTATTTGATACAAATAAATATTTATTTGATAATATACTCGAGTATATCCGATTATTTGAATCAAATAATTTTCTTTTCCAAATTAATTAAAATTTACATATGGAAAATTCGAATTAAATAATATCAAAAAGAGGATCAACGTCCGATGTACAAAAACAGAAAAAATATCCCCTTGGCATCATTCCAAATAAATTTCAAGACTCATCTCCAGAATTGTCTCGACTCTTACACGCACATATATTGTGTCTTTGATGCATGTATAAATTGCACAAAGTTTGCGTTTATGTCTTTGTGGGTACTTGTCTCCCTTTTTAGACTTTCTCTTGTTTTATATACACACACATATATACAAGAAGCTTCCTTCTATTCTCTTTTATAACATTCAATATACATATATATAGTCGCACGCATCCCCTTTCTAAACTTTAGAAACACATCACACACATTTTCATTGAATGTCATCTCTACTATAAGGATTCATTGTCAGTGCACACGCCTTACCATATAGGAGTATGTACACAATATAGTAAATATCGTGTGTTTATCATGTCGTTCGAAATTTCCTCACGTGGACACCTCAACAATCAAGGGATACACACATCCACGTGTTTCTTCTTATATCTTTATATATAGACTTGTCAGGTAAGTTTTCTATATACACTCTCTGTGATCGCGTCATCTTCTTACTTTTCTTCAGCGAGAGCCTTTTGTCAACTCACAATTATTATGACAATGGCTTCTGAAGGGAAAAAGAGTCAAAAATTTTGCGTTAATCATGCGACGAAAGAAATTTACCTTATAAACCAAGAATTTATTTCATTATTTATTATTATTATTATTATTATTATTATTATTAATTATTTATTATTATTTCTCATTTCTCGAAATAATAATTATTTTAAATACCTACATTAATGCTATAATATTATTAATATTTAGATAGTATTATTGTTATTATTATATTTTTTAAAAATAATTATTATTTAATATTAATCTCTCTAAATTTAAATTAGTGAAAAGTGAGCTACTAATTTAAATTAGTAAGAATTTTTACTAATTTTTAGTTAATTATTGACTAAAACTTCAGTAAAAATTTTAAAATTACTAAATCAAATATTAATATTTTACTAAAAATTAGTAAAAATTCTTACTAATGTTAATTAATAACTCACTTTTCACTAAATTCAAATTAAGAGAGAATACCCCAAAATGTTGCATTTAAAGTTTAGTAAAAATGAATTTCGAAAAAAATACCTGGGTCGAATTTCAATATTTGCTAATCACTCTCTAAATCTGAATTAGTAAAAATGTTTACTAATTTAAACTCACTTTTTGCTTTAGAATTAGTTAAATTTTACTAATTGTTAGTAAAAGTTACTAATAATTAGTAAAATTTTACTAATTCTGAAGCAAAAAGTGAGTCACTAATTCAAATTAGTAAACATTTTTACTAATTCAGATTTAGAGAGCAACAAACGCTTGTTTATTTTGAAATTCGTATTTCTAAATCTGTATTAGTAAAAATGTTTACTAATTCAGAAGCAAAAAGTGAGTTACTAATTCAAATTAATTACTACTTAAATTAATGATTAACTTTTTCCTTTTGAATTAGTTAAATTTTACTAATTTGTTAACAATTTTTTTACTATTAAATAAATATATTTTAATAATTTACTAAATTTGTAGTTATTTTTCTCTAAAACTTTAATAAAAAATAAATAAACAACCACTACTCTGAATTAGTGAAAAGTGAGCTACTAACTTAAATTAGTAGGAATTTTTACTAATTTTTAGTCACTTTTTACTAAAACTTTAGTAAAAAAATTTAAAACGACTAAATCAAATAGTAATATTTTACTAAAAATTAGTAAAAATTTCTTACTAATGTGAATTAGTAACTCACTTTTCACTAATTCAAATTAAGAGAAAATACCCTAAAATGTTGCATTTAAAGTTTAGTAAAAAAAGAATTTCGAAAAAATACCTGGGTCGAATTTCAATATTTGCTAATCAACAAACGCTTGTTTATTTTGAAATTCGTATTTCTAAATCTGAATTGTACTCTCTAAATATGAATTAGTAAAAATGTTTACTAAATTAAATTAGTGACTCACTTTTTGCTTTAAAATTTGTAAAATTTTACAAAATCAGAAGCAAAAAGTGAGTTACTAATTCAAATTAATTACTAATTAAATTAATGATTAACTTTTTCCTTTTGAATTAGTTAAATTTTACTAATTTGTTAACAATTTTTTTACTATTAAATAAATATATTTTACTAATTTACTAAATTTGTAGTTTTCTCTAAAACTTTAATAAAAAATAAATAAACAACAACTACTACTCTCTAAACCTGAATTAGTGAAAAGTGAGCTACTAAATTAAATTAGTAAAAAATTTTCACTAATTTTTAGTCACTTTTTACTAAAACTTTAGTAAAAAAATTTAAAACGACTAAATCAAATATTAATATTTTACTAAAAATTAGTAAAAATTCTTATCAATGTGAATTAGTAGCTCACTTTTAACTAATTCAAATTTAGAGAGTATGCAATAAAATCTAACTAGAAATTAGTAAAAACAAAATTTTTTACTATTAATTAGTTACATTTAATTTAATAACAAAATGGAAGTCAGTAATTTAAACACTAATTAATTAAAAAATTAATTTAAGAAATTAAAACTAATTTATTATTTCAAATTAGTGACAATTTCCACTAGATAGTAAAAGCTAAAAAAAATTAGTAAAAATTCCTACTAACACAGAAAATTAAAAGGCATTAAAATAAGCTGCAACGCTTATTATTTTAATCCAATTTTGCTTATTTTAATACCAAAATGGATTAAAATAAGAAGTGTTGCAGCTTATTTTAATGCCTTTTAATTTTCTATGAATTTGAATTAGTAGACTATTTCAAATAATCGGTTATACTTGACTATTATCAAATAAATATTTACTTGAACCAAATAATTTTTATTTGAACCAATAATTTCTCTTTTTAAAACAAATACCATTTAATTGACTCAATTAAAAAATTATTTCACCCAGAGAAATTATATATTTGTCTCAGAGTCAAATAAATATTTATTTGATTCAAATAAAACATTTCTCTGGGTGTCGGTTCAAATAAATATTTATTTCATAATAATCAAGTAACCGATATTATTTGAAACAAATAAATTTTTTTCAGTCTATTTTTTTTTTCTCTTATATGTTTTTCCCTAAATTATTTGACTTTTCAAACTACTTTTTTTTACACATCCAATAAAATTCCATTCTCAAAAAATAAAAGAAACAAAATTCTTTTCAAAACAAAAAAAAACCCAACATTTACAAAAAAAAAAAAATAATTTTTACTTCGAAAAAAAAAAACCTACATAGTAGTCTCTGAGCAAAAGAATGACCAAATTCGTTCTCGGGGCGTGAGTTTCAAGCTCGGTAAAATCTTAAATCACCGCGGCTAAGTTAAGGATCAGCAGGGAACAATTGCAGGTTGTCTTTTTTATCTTTCTTTTCTTTTTCAAAAAGTACTCAACATAGAACGAAGTAAATACACAGACACTGATCTACGAAGGTAGTGTGAAAAATGTGACTCGTCCTCAGAGTCAGTACAGAATGTGTTCTTTTATTTGTGAGCGTGTGGTCCAAGAAACTCAGGCACTGAGGTGGAGAGAGAGGGGGAGGGGGTCGTGGGGGGCAACAAGGGGGGAAATGTAGGGAGCAGGAAAGCGGGGATTCAACGAGAAAGAGAGAAAAAGAGAGAGAGAGAGACTGATGAAGGGGGACAGAAAGAGAGAAAATTGTATTTGAAAGAGAAAGACAGAGAAAAAATCAAAGAGAAAGAGAGAGAGAACCGTTCTGTTCACTTGGTTCTGTTCCATGGTGGATTGGTGGCAGGTCAGTGTTGCGGTGGTTACCAGACTTGCATGGTCGGTCGGTATCCCGTTTTCGCGCGAAAACAAACTATTTTTCGTGTTAAAAAAAAATCGTTCTCTTTTTTTTTGTGTGCCCCGTTAAACGATTAAATTTGCGATTCGACAAAGATAAAGAAAAAAAAAAAAAACAATCTCTCGTGTGCAAACCTATGGATACGGAAATGTGAATCCACTCCTGGAAACTTCGAGTCACGCGAGAGGAAGCAACAGGTAAAAAAGAATTTTTTACCTGGTGTTAAACTCTCTTCATCATCTTTTATAAAAGAGAGAGAGAGAGAGATTACAAATATTTTTTTTAATTATTATTGCTTTGGAAATTTTTCATTTTTTAACTCCACACATACCGGTAAAAATAAGTTTTGGTTCCAATATTCTATTTGCCAATTATAAATATTGAATTTAAAATTGTCAGTTTAAAAAAGAAAACACTCTTTATTTTTTTTAAACCAAATGAAAATTTTATATTAAATAATAAATTTTGTCATCTAAATAAAGGAAATAATTTTTCGCAATCTTATGCAATGAAAAAAATGTTTTGATTTTTGAAATTTAAAAAATATTTTTAAAATATAAAAAAAAAGAAGTTAAAACTGTGTTTTTTATAAAGAATATAAAAAAACATAAATAAAATTGAATATGTTAGCAGGTGTTACTTCATTAATACAGTAGCAATGACATGCAGTTGAAAGATGAGAATTCCTCATTGAACAAAACTTGTTTTGCCTTATTAAATACCTATCTTAATTTTAATCTGTCTACATCATGCAGAGATGAATTCAATGCAGTATGATAAATTGCTGATTAAATATATAATAATAAATAATTGGATCCGAATAGTAACAAAAATAATATGCTCATGAAAATTTAAATCGATTTTTTGTTAGACAAATATTATTCCTGTACAATGTAATTTAAAGAGAAATAAATTTAATTCAATTTATTTTTTAATTTAAACAAAATTAAATTCATTATTTAAAAAAAAAACTTTTAAAAAAGAAAAAATTTAAAATAAATTTGAACTTTTCAAAATAGGCAAGTCACGAAAAGATTTTGAATGAAGAAAGAGAATAATACTTTTGGTACCTGCAGATTTTTCTGAAAAATATAATTCTTTGAAATTTTCTCGGAATTATGCACCTTGCACCATAAAGTTTGTTTCTCTTTGAGGATTGGTATGTTTTATATTTATACATATATATAAGAGTAGTGGGACTCGAATGAAGGATAGTATATAAGGGAATAGCGCGTAAGACAGATGTTGTTCAGAAACAAATAAAAGATCAGAGCAACGACGAACTGGTAGCCCAAGACCCCATTACTACGATAATCCTTTCACGATATCCTCTCTATACTTGTACTACATTTTACAATTTTAAACTGTTTGGAATGAAAGAAGAAGAGAAAAAAAGAAAAATGCTATTTTACAAATGATTCATTTTAATGAAGCAGGATTCAACATCCGCTAATCTATCCTACTTTAATTAACATTCCACAAAATAACGAACTAATTTCTGTGATGCGATTAATCGAATTTCAAATGATTTCAAATACACTATATATATGTATATCTAAACGAAACTGTTACTACTTTCTAAATTCGAATATTAGGGTCATAATAATAAAATGACCAAAATCGTTCATCAAACTAAAAAAAGGATAATTAATTTTTAATTATATACTGTACTATATTTAGATAATTATCAATTTTATTTGAGGCAACAATACATTCAATTAATTTCATTAAAACCAAAAAACTTTACTGCTCTCTAAATTTGAATTACACTGTAAAACGAAAGGTATTAATTTAATACCGACTTTAGGTACTAAATTGTCATTTGGTTCTATTTTGATACCTAAAATCGGTACTATTTTAGTACTTTCTTTTTATACAGTGTAGTAAAACTGTTTACTAATTTAAATTAGTGACTCACTTTTTGCTTTAGAATTAGTTAAATTTTACTAATTGTTAGTAAAAGTTACTAATAATTAGTAAAATTTTACTAATTCAGAAGCAAAAAGTGAGTCACTAATTCAAATTAGTAAACATTTTTACTAATTCAGATTTAGAGACTGTAACTAAAAAGTTTGGCCTATAAGAAAAAATAAATTTGTCTCATCAGAGCCAAATAAATATTTATTTCTTTTAAATAAATTTTATTTGAGTTAAATAAAATTTTATTCGAGTTAAATAAAAATTTTATTTGTACTAGATAAATATTTTTATTTAAAACAAATAAAAAGTTATTAGGTACTGAGACAAATATATTTTTATTTGCTTCAAATAAACGCCAACAACAAATAATTACTTGGTACAAATAAATAATTACTCGGTACAAATAATTTTTTTTCAGCATAAAACCAACTAATAATTTAAAAATTATCAAAAATAGTAACATTGAAAAAAAAAAGATTCAAAGAAGATGTACTTTTGCGAGAGAAAAGAAAATCAAAATCGCGAAATTTGCTTTTATAATTTTATATTACATTCAGAAACTTTCTATATTTATTGCAGTAAGTCTATAATATATGTTACTTTTCATATATATCCTATATGACAGTGTATATGATTGATAAAGAACGTTTCATCATAAATCTCAGGTAAAATTACACACAGTTATAATTTTCTAGTCCAGACAAACGGAACTAAGTACGGTATTAAATTAAAATGACATTTTGCAAATGTTTGAGAACAAAATTGGGAATATTGAACCGTTGCACGCACGATGCCGTTACACAACGGTGCATCGGGCGCAACGGGTCGTGTCTTGTGCATTAACGTAAAGAAAGTGCTACAACTTCCATAAATTATTGTCATTACGAAATATCGAAATTTCCCTCAAAAAAAAAAAAAACGAAGAAGAAAACAAATTTGTCAACATAAAATTTTCAATTCACAAACATTTTATAGTTTCAATTGTACTTTTCTTTCAAAAATCGGTTAAGTTGAATAAATTATTTACTTGAACCAAATATAATTATTTGATATTTTAATTAAAAAAAACATTAATCAATTATTTTTGTATTTTAATCAAATATTTGATTCAAATAATAATTATATTTCATACAAATAAATAATATATTATATATTATATATATTCGATAATTAATAATTTCATTTTATTTCTTTTTCTGCATTCTAATTCCAAAAAAAAAATGTTGGTAATAATTTCTAAAATCATTTAACTAAAAATAAATTCTCAATGCCTGATGGTGCATTTTTAGCTCTTTTGAAGCTGAAAATTCGACTATTTTCTTTATTATCCAATAATATTTAAAAATATTTTTTGTTCCACTTTACGTAATAAATTCCATGTGAAATCAAAAGAATATTTTTAAAATTATTTCAAACATATGATTTCGAAATTACAATAACAAAAAAAAAAAATTAAATATTTAAAATAATCATCATTTGCAATAATAAGAAAACAAATGACAATTGCAATTTTTTAATGCAGATATAAACCGAGTTTATTGTATATAGCATTTAATTTTCGTTTTTCCAACGAAAAAAAAAATTTACAATTATTATTCCCATTTGAATATAATTACATACAGTTTAGTTCGTATAATTTTTTTTTTTTTTGGCAGAGAAAATATGAAGATTTTCTTCAAACGCAATAAAAAAAAAAAAAACAACAACTATTAATTAAATGTTAGCGCAGACGCGATTATTGTGTTACGGTGGTGGAATATACAAGAAAGCAGGACTTCATCCAACCAGTTCGATTTCGCGAGTGAAGAAGCGAAGAGTTGATCTTCGTTTCATATTTGAAGCGCACGTGTTACAAAAAAAAACCAAAATTATTTGAAAAAAAATCATTCAATTATTTTTACTTATCATTTTTTCTTTTTGTAAAAAATTATTGTTATTCAATGGTAATTCTAATCTATAGAAAAAAAAATTTTCTAGTAATTTTTTGAAAATTTAAATAACATCAATATTTAATGATAAATAATAAAAAAAATAAGTAATGCGATAAATTTTTGTTTAATTTTGTAAATCATTAAAATTAATGACAAGGAAAAAAATTAACATAATTAATAAAATGTTATTAATTATGAAATTATCAATAAAATAACAAATCGTTAAAATCAATTTACTTCTCCAAAATAATATTATTTGCATAGAAAAAAATTTTGATTCCTAATTTGTGAAACGAATCCGCGTGATGTTGAGTGACATTTAATGTGAGACGCAAGTGTAAACATTATATATTTATGTGATATATTTCATAATGTGAAATTACGAGTATAATTGCTAAAAAAAATGAGAGCCGACCGGATTATAATTTTCATAACGGAAATAAAACTCGTTGAAATTCCATCCTTAACATTAAATTAAAAATTGTGAAATAAGAAGTCAAAGCACCGTGTCCGTATGAAAAGAACACCGCCAACTTAATACTTGCGGAATTGTATATATTTCTCTAGTGTCTTTAACCCTTCGCGAGAAAATTATTTTTTTATTAACAATAATAATAATAATAATAAATATTCAAATATAAATAATACTAAAAAAAATTTTTAATTTACAAAAAAAATTCTATTTCTAATCCTTTGCAAATTATTTTTATATAATTTCCGTAATTAATATCAACTAATATATTAAAAATGACTTTCAATCACGAATGATACTTTCATTCACTTTAATTATTATTAACTTGTTATTAATTTTCAATCAATAATTTATTATCATTCTGAATTTAATTATAATAATTTAAAGGGGGAATGTGAATGAAAATCATTCTTATATACGTATAGCGTGATTAAAAGTCATTTATACAAAATGAAAATAAATTTCTATACACAAAAAAGTATATATTCTCACTATTGCGGTAAAGATTGATTAAAATGCAAAACATGGATTTTTGACAAACTGCCAAAAATATTGAAAGTGAAGAAAACTAACTTTATTAGTGTTGAAAATTAGAAATGCAGTTACTATCCACATTCATGACGAGACATCTAAAACGTGGTACTTCCCTTAAAAAAGGTACTATTTTTTAAAATTAATATCAAATATTTTATTTTAAATAAATATTTTTTATTATTATTAATTATTTAATTAAGTTATTAATAATATAGTATTATTTTTATTAGTATTTTTTTAAAAGTATTTTTAGTAAATTAGTAGATTGCAGTTTATTTTAATTAATCTTTTGAATACACCCAGAGAAATGTTTTATTTGAACCAAATATAATATATTTGAATTAAATAAACGTATATTTGTCTCAGAACCAACTATAGCCTATTTATTTGGCCTTTTTATTTGATTTATTTAAATCAAATAGAAATTTATTTGAATCAAATAAAAATTTGTTTGTCTCAAAGATTTCATTTAAAAAAGAGCTTTTATTTGATGCAAATAAAAAAATTTAATTTAGCACAAATAAAATTTAATTTAGCCCGAATAAAATTTTATTTAGCCCGAATAACATTTTTACTTCAACCAAATAAAATTTATTTGAAACAAATAAATATTTATTTGGCTCCGCGACAAATATATCATTTCTCTGCGATGTAAAGCGCCAAAAATTTTATTAAATTAACCAATAATTGTCTATCAACGTTTTCTTATTGGCTTAATAAAAAGTTTGGTTCATATACAATCAAATTCTTTCTTTAATCGAAAAATTATATTAAGCCGCAAACATTTATTTAAATCAAATAAATATTTAATTCCCCTCGATATGAGAGGACCTATCACAGAGCATACACCAAGAGAAATATTTTATTTGCATTTATTTGAGATAAAAAAAAATTTATTTGAATCAAATAAAAATTTATTTGTCTCAAAGTTTTAATTTAAAAAAGAGCTTTTATTTGATGCAAATAAAAAAATTTAATTTAGCACAAATAAAATTTAATTTAGCCCGAATAAAATTTTATTTAGCCTGAATAAAATTTTTATTTAAACCAAATAAAATTTATTTGAAACAAATAAATATTTATTTGAACCAAATAAATATTTATTTGAACCAAATAAATATTTATTTGGCTCTGAGACAAATATAAAATTTCTCTGGATGTAGGATATGGAATAAAACAAAAAGTGTTGCCAAAAAAATGCAATGCAACAAAATGTCAAAGTTTAAAAGCAAAAAAAAAAAATTTTCGATTTTCAAAAAGTAAAATTTCGCGGTACCTCATGTATATGATTTCCGGTTTAAGATAAAAGGCGCATGATCTAATGACTTATTTGATCAATATTTCTACGGAATGTCTGCAACACGAAGGCATGGGTACGATCACGCGATCTTTATGGTCTCACGGCCAGTTAGGATACGGTCGTCGTTCTTAGAGGTTACAAACACATATATATATATACAATTTTTATCCCAAGAGTATAAAAGCTCATTGCAGGTAATTTATTTTACTGCAACATTAGGAAATCAAAATTTTTTCATTCAAAACAAAAAAAAAATGCGAAATAAAAATGTCATTTCATCTAAAATCAATAGTTAAATAACAATAAAAAAAACAAAAAAAATCCAGAAAAGGCTGGAAAAAAATTTCAGTGTGTGTTATTTTTATTATAATTCAGAAAATAGTTTGTACTGTGGTCTAAAAATTATAGAGAAAAAAAAATTGAGGCTAGATAAAAATTTATAAAATTCTTAGATCCCCATATATATATATTTTTTATGGGTCGATCTTGATCTTGCAAAAAGGAAAAAAAAAGAAGATAATAATCGATCTTTTGAAGGAAATAGTCCTAGATTTAAGAACGTCTTGTAATATAAATTCTGTCTTAGGTCACATTTATATAATGCCAAGGTCGTGTTCCCGATTGCCCTTAGACGTTGATCTTATTTAGTACATGTTGCCTGATGAATATCTGCAAAGGGGAATCAGGCCGTTGCGTGAAGGATCCAACAAATGTTATGTGTATACTATATACTCTTAATTAATTTCATACGAGAGACCTCGGAATTTCGTTAACTACACTTCCTCACCTATTCTCCATATATAAATCAGATATAAGATCGCAAACGATTGTATTATATATCGTGTTATCAATTTTAATTGCAACCTAAACAAAACGAGGGTGAGAAAATATATATAATAAAATTCCAAATTTAAAAAAAAAATTATAAATTATTTTTTATACTAGAAATTGAATTATATTCAAAAATCGAAATTGTAAATTTGAAAATTCGTTGAATATTATACTGTTTCATCAATTATGATTCAAGTGACATTTACCTTTCTGCAGAATTATATATATAGTTGAACACACTGATTGGTGCACTCGAGAAATTGAGGAAATATATGAGCACGCGACATTATGTGCAAAGTTGTGCATGTCAGGTCACACAAGTACATACTTTCTGACCGAGGTCAAATAAATAGTCTCAGCAGTAGTATAATGACACATTACCTTCTCTAATTACAATTAAGGCAACTGACAAAAAAAAAGGAAAAGAAAAAATATGACAATAAAGAAATAAGAAACTAATCACAACAATTCACATACATTTCAAAAAATGTACACGAAACAAATGAGAAATTCAAAAATTGTTAAAGAAAAAAAATTATCAAAATCTACACAACAAAGGAGTTAAAAATTTAGGCTTTAAAATTCAACTCTGAATTCTAAAGTCACACTGAAAAAAAAATTTATTTGATTCAAATACTCAATTACTTGTGTATTATCAAATAAATATTTATTTGAACCAAATAATTTTTATTTGAATTAAATAAATTGTATTTGAACCAATAATTTTTGTATTTGAAACAAATACCATTTAATTGACTCAAATAATAATTATTTGATACAAATAAATATTTATTTGATAATAGTCAAGTAATCGAGTATTTGAATCAAATAAATTTTTTTTTTCATCCCTTTAAAAAGTGGAAACAACGAAAACCTACATTGGAAAAAGAATTATTTGATCCAAATAATCGATTACTTGACTGATAAATAAATAAATATATAAATCAAATAAATATTTATTTGTATTAAATTTCTATTAAATAGTATTTGTTTCAAATACACAAATATTTGAATCAAATACAGTTTATTTAATTGAAATAAAAATTATTTGGTTCAAGTAAATATTTATTTAGTCTAAGTAAATATTTATTTTGCCCCAAGTAAATATATATTTGGTTCAAGTAAGTATTTATTTGATAATAGTCAAGTTCAATTATTTGAATCAAATAAATTTTTTTGTAGTTTTAAATTTTTTCAAAAAATATTTTAACTTTCTACATATAAAAGGAATTAAAATTTTTACTCCTAAGAAGTAAACAAATAGGATTCAATTCGAAAAGTGTAAAATTGTCTAAAAAATGAATTTTTCTACTTTTTAGGGAAACGAGAGGGAAGTGGAAGTTGTAGCCCAATTGAGGAGTGCCCATTTGAAGAAGGGGGACCTTTTAGGCCCCTAAACGAATCTGTCAGCAACGGGGCCTCTGGGTCTGTCAATATGACCCCTGATGATTCTGCTCCTGATGAAGAATTTGCTTTCGCAGTTACCCAAAAAACACAAGTAAGCCAGAATATAACCTCAAAAAGAAATTAACTATTTCCTCTTCTAATAAGCTGAAAAAAAATTTATTTCATTCAAATACTCGATTATTTGACTATTACCAAATAAATATTCATTTCAAATAATTATTATTTGAGTCAATGGTATTTGTTTCAAATACAAAAATTACTGGTTCAAATACAATTCAATTAAAATAAAAATTATTTGATTCCAGTAAATATTTATTTTACAAAGTAATCGAGTATTTGAATTAAATAAATTTTTTTTCAGTGTAAAAGTAAAATATTTACTTTCACTCATTTTTGAAATCGATTTTTAACTCCAATTTTACTCCCTAATTTATTGCCAACCAAAGTAAAAATAAGAATTTTGTAAATTTTTAAATCAAAAAATATAATCTACTTAGGAATAAAATTTTTACTGACAAAAATACAACAAATAATATTTTAATCCAGGAGTGAAAAAGTCCATTATTGCATTTGTAAAGTTTCAATGCAATAAATATAATCTAAAAAATAGTAGAAATGAAATGTTTTCAAAGAAAAAAAAAAAGAATCATATATTGAAAACAAGTTCAATTTCATATCTACAAGAACTTTCAACTTGAAAATGTGGGCACAGCTCTCTGAGATTCTGCGGTTATTTGAAAACCACAAGAAGCCTCGCGTCTCCCCCATAAAGAGATTCAAAAATAAACAGCCATAAGTTACTACCACTTCCCATCAATCGAGACGAAAAATAAAGTTATTTTTCTGACATAATTATATTCAAAATTTCATTCATTTTTTGTCAAAACAAAAAAAATAATTAAAATTACAGAGATAATTGAATTAGAAAATAATACTTTTTTAAAAATAAAAAAAGTAAAAAAAAAATGATTGATTTTTAAATTCAAAATTATTTTCAGTTGATAATATTTACTTCAACGAAACTAATTTTATTAATATTGCTACAACTTCAAAGGTCGCATGAAGAATTACAATTGTGTATATATAAAAATACTTCGTTCCGAAACAAATGCAATGTGAGAAGAACACTGAACAATGTTATCCGCTGCGGAAACAAGCAGATTTCCCAAGTGATTTAAACTTGAGATCCCTGACTTTTCTACCGTTAAAAAGTAACTTCAATTAGTAGTCTCATTTTACAAAAGAGTGTATTTTAGTGGACGGAACATTTTTTTTTTTATTAACAGCAAAAAAAAAATTTGCTTCTGTAAATTTTTTTTTCAAAATTAAAAATAATAAATAAAAATAATTTTCATTTCGTGTATTGTTAAATTATTTTAAAAAAGAAATTAAAAATAACGAATTTATAAAAAATTCTGTTTTTAATTATATATGAAAAATATCGCAGAATAAATATGGAATTTAAATTAAAGAATAATAAAATATTCCATAAAAGAAAATTGTACAAATTGCACATAATAATGAAAGTAACATCGTTTAATTTCTTTTTATCGAAAAAAAACTACTAAACGGAAAGTTTTTATATAAAATATCGAGAAGAAAATCAAATGAAAAAAAGGGTAGATAAAACACGATATAGTGAAATCTGCACGCAATCATCACTTTTGTAATATTATAAGAGGAGAGATTAGTTTTTTTTTTTTTTTTTTTTTTTTTTTTTTTTTTGTAAATCTTTTCATTATCATTAATTTCAATCAAAACGAAAGTTCCTCATTATAATTATCATTCCTTTCTTTCAACTGCACTATATATTATTTGTAATTATTTTCTTTAATTCGATTTTATAATCTAGAATTAAAAGCAAATTTGTTTCACTTGCAAATATACATAATAATCTAATTTTAAAAACAATTACTGCGAAATAGGAAGTTACACAAAGTTTCTTAATTTATAATTCAAAAATTCTCATTTTGAAAATTTAATTTTCTGAAAATTATTTTAATTATATTTCCCAGTTCAGGATAATATTATATACCCAGAGAAAGGATGTATATATTTGTCTCAGAGCCAAATAAATATTTATTTGCTTTAAATAAATTTTATTTAGTTTAAAATTTTTATTTGGTTCAAATAAATTTTATTTGGTATAAATAAAAATTATTTAGCTCTGAGACAAATATATTTTTATTTGCTTCAAATAAATTTCATTTGGTTTAAATAAAAATTATTTAACTCTGAGAGAAATAAATTTTATTTATTCAAATAAATTTTATTTGGTTTAAATAAAAAATTACTAAACTCTGAAATAAATATACTTTTATTTTGCTTCAAATAAATTTTATTTGATTAAAAAAAATACTAATGAGACAAATATATTTTTAATTACTTCAAATAAATTTTATTTGGTTTAAATAAAAAATTACTAAACTCTGAGAGAAATAAATTTTATTAAAATAAATTTTATTTATGGTTTAAATATATTTTATTTGGTTTAAATAAAAAATTATTAAACTCTGAGAGAAATAAATTTTATTCAAATATATTTTATTTGATTAAAAAAAATACTAATGAGACAAATATTTTTTTATTTACTTCAAATAAATTTTATTTGGTTTAAATAAAAAATTACTAAACTCTGAGTTAAATATACTTTTATTTTGCTTCAAATAAATTTTATTTGATTAAAAAGAAAATATTAATGAGACAAATATATTTTTATTTACTTCAAATAAATTTTATTAGTCTCAAATATAAGTACTAATAAAAAAATGTATATTTAAAAATTTGCTAATATACGTAAGAAACAGATCGCTTTTACGCAAATTAAAAAATCGAGAGATATAGGAAAAATTTCCTCATATATATAATTAAACCGTTATGTTTAATTTGCATATTTTTCGCTTCTTTAATGACGCAGCACGACATAAGGTAAAAGACTCTTAAAAAGTTTTTGTCCACATACATTTCTCTAAGGGAGGTTAATGACGTCTTAAATGACGTCAAGAAATTTCTTTATAGGTAAACACGCGATATTGCGTGAGTTAATATGCAATGGGGTTCCTTCAGTTTCATTTATTGGGTGTTAAGTATGTTTTTACTTCTTGTTATTTTCTTTCACATACTCATTTATTCAAAAGAATAAAACACTCAAATAGCTTTTCACTTTTGCCAAAAAAGAAAAAAAAGTTTCACTTGAATGAGAATTGAAGAAAATTATAATATCATTCATTCTAAAAATTAATATATCTATATTTGTATTTGCAAATATAATTATATACCCTTGACTTTACACATAATCTGTACATAATTGTTTTTATAAATCGATATATCATTAGTGTGGAAATATTTTTATTGCTTTAAAATTACTATTGATTGGAACTATTATAATGTTAATGATAAATAAATGTGCGTAATTTTTTTTTTGTTTAGAGAGATGCTGAAATAGTACGAGGATCATTTTATTTAGGAGTAGCTTTAACAATAGCATGGATAGTTGGAGCTGCAGGACTATCATTGGCATGGCTAGTTTTAGTTTTGGCTGTGGCAGGTACAATAGTCAAAGGAAGACTATCACGATTATTGCAAACAGCACTCCATCACGATTTAGCAAGATTAAGAAGAAGAAGAGCTCTTTACAAAGACGAAACTGCCGAATGGCTCAGTCTTCTTGTAAATCGATGGTAAGTAAATTTTTTCAACAAATTTTTTCAAAAAATTTATTAAATTTTTTTTTTTATTTGTTAATAAAAAAATCTCTACATAAAGAAAAAATTTCAAAACAAGAGAAAAAAGAAGAAAATAAATTAACAGGGAACATTGTTACCAAATGTATTTTTCATTTGAATCTTTATACATATTCTGAGGAAGTAAAACTGTTTTCAGTTCTTTTGTTATTTTCAGTCATGAAAACGAAATGATTTCTATATATGAGAATCTGTTTAAGAGAAAAATTCACGTACACGCATAACGTGGTTTCTATTTATACTTTGAATTCTATTATCTTCAACTATATTTAAATAGATTTTTATATATTCTTCTCAGCAATTCAATGAAAGTTCATTGACTAACTGGAATTCTAAACAATTCTGAAATTGAAATTTTCAACTTTATATTGTCCAAGAATAAAAGTTTACCTCCGCACATATTCAATTGCCATTAGAATATATAAAAAATTACAATATAAAAATAAAATAGCAAATCTATTCAAATAAAAACAAAATAGATTTAATAAAGAAGAAATTGTCAACGATAAATTTTTCAAAAATTACACTGAAAAAAAATAATCGATTCCTTGATTATTATCAAAGAAAAATTTATTTGTATCAAATAATTGTTATGTGAGTCAATTAAATGGTATTTGTTTTAAATACAGAAATTAATAAATACAATTTAATTCAAATAAAAATTATTTGCTTCCAATAAATATTTAGTGGAACCAAAAAATTTGTATTTAAATTAAATAAATTGTATCTGAATTTCTGTGTTTAGAAAAATTCCATTTAATTGATTCAAATAAGAATTATTTTGATACAGATAAATATTTATTTTATAATAGTCAAGTAACCAATTTCTTGAATCAAATAAATTTTTTTTTTGACTATATATGAACTTATTAAATAATTTTTCTTCTCAAAGAATAAATTTTATCTGACATAACTTTTTCTCCCCCCTAGAAAATGAATTTGTCTGATTCGATATGCCTTCATTCACTTAATAACAAAAAGTCTGACCATTAACGTGATTTATCACTTTGTATCAAAAACAAAATTTTCATTAAGAACATTTATCTTTCAAAATACGACAAAATAGGCTAAATAAAATTTTTCGAAAAATTCAATAGACAATAAATAAAATTTTAAATTCAGTTTATATTTAAATTAAATATAAAAAACACTATTGCAATTTCAATTTTCATACCTTGAAAAAAAATGTATTTGTTTCAAATAAAGTTACTTGATTATTATCAAATAAATATTTATATTTATATTAAATAATTATTATTAGAATCAATTTTATTTGTTTCAAATAAAGTTACTTGATTATTATCAAATAAATATTTATATTTATATTAAATAATTATTATTAGAATCAATTTTATTTGTTTCAAATAAAGAAATTATTGGTCCAAATATTTAATACGAATAAAAATTATTTGGCTCAATTAAATATTTATTTAATAATAAAGTAACCGATTATTTGAATCAAATAAATTTTTTTTAGTTACAAAAATAAATTTTTTCAAATAAAAATTAAAATAATTTAATTTTAGAAGCAAATTTTATGTCTAATTTAATATTAGAAGCACAAAATTTTGTTTCTGGTTGGCAAGTGAATAATCTCAAGCACTAAAGGGAAATGAACTCAAGTTAGGGAATGAGCTACTGCCTGCATTCGTAAACATTCCACATTCCACTATTACCTTTCACGTTATAGGTACATGCGACTAACACTAGAAAGCATTTTGCCATCATATTTAGCTAATATAAAATTGTCAAAATAATTACACAATAAAAATTATAACAATAATTCATACTTTCTTTTATCCAAAAAATCTCACAAAAAAACTAATTTTAAAAAATAATTAAAAAGAAAATTTTCATAAAAATTTGTTATTAAAAAATTTTTCACGAGCAATTTAGTACTGAAAATCTCGTATAAATAAATATCGCAATATCACAAAAAGAGTGACATATATTTTTTTTTTGCAATGTCATAAAAAAAATATTTCTTTTTCGTAATGTCAAGTCATATTGAAAAGAAAATAAAATATGAATTTCTTTGAATAGTTGAAATGAACTTAAAAGTCAGTTTTACATTGATATGGTATAAGTTATAAGCTTCGCTATATATGTATATGTATAGCAGGAGCATTTTACAAAGGGTTTGACCGCGATATTGCTTTAATGGCGTGAATTCATTACCGCACAGAGTGCAAGAAGGAAAAAGGTCTGCGAACGTATAATTCAATGCATTGCAATGTCGTGGGCGTTTGACCAGTAGGTGTAAAAGATATTATATTCGAAGTATTGCCCTGTCGCATATACATATATATATACCCACACTTCCTGTCTTGCAAAAGAAATTTACAGTGAATCACACTTTCAATCTTTCATTTTTTTTTCAATCTCCCAATCGATGTCAATCATTACACCCAAAGAAATGTTTTATTTAAAACCAAATATAATATATTTAAGTTAAATAAATGTATATATATTTGTCTCACAGCCTACTAGCCTATTTGGTGTAAATAAATTTTTTTATTTAAATCAAATAAAAATTTATTTCAATCAAACAATATATTTATTAGGCTCTGAGACAAGTAGGGTCAGCCGGGGTAAATCCGAACGCTAATTATATCAGCTTAATTAAAATTTTAAAAAATAATTTAGACATGAGAATTTTTACCTCAGATACTCTTCAAGAGATTCTAAGTATTATCCCATTTTTCGTTTGTTAATTAGCAAGAGCATAAACAAAGATAACGAGTATTGCAAAAAAGATTGAAAATCAAAGATGATGACACTCTTTCAGTATTTTGTCTCGTATTTGAAGAAAAAGAAGCTAAAATTTCATTTTATTATTTATAATTGTTTGTTATGAATACTAGAACAGAAACTATTTTTCATTTTTGCCTTCTGTAAAATTTTATTAATATCAGACCGTTCGTATTTACCCCGGAAAATTGGAAAACCGGGGTAAATCCGAACGGTATTTTCAATATTTTTTTCTTATATCAAAAATTGTTTTTATTTGATTATACACTATTATTTTAACATTATAAAAGTACATAGAAAAAAGTTTTTCTTTCTATATGTATCCTCGTTAGTAATTAATAAGCAGAAACTTAATCTCTGTTCTCTCGAAGGAGTATTCCACTTTTTTTGCCAAATGGCTTGTTGAAAAAAGTTTTTCAGGATCTTAATAAAATTTGGTATTCTATAGGGTTTTTGGGGTCGCTAATTACCAATTTGAAGTCAGTTTTTCAAAATTCAAAATGGCGGACGAGAATTAAAAAATTCATTGGATTCGCTCGAAAATTGTTACTCGGGGGGTTTCAGGGTCGCTGATTACAAATTTGGAGTTAGCAAATTTCATCATTTTTAAAAATTAGTTTTAGGAAAATCCGCCATTTTGAATTTAAAAAATTTGACTTTTATTTTTGTATTTACATTCAATCAATCCAAAATACTTTCTGTACCAAGTTTTGCAAAAATCCGTAATGATTTGATAAAGTTATTGAAGGTTTTAATTGCACCGAGAGAAATGATTTATTTGAACCAAATAAAATATATTTGAATTAAATAAACGTATATTTGTCTCAGAGCCTACTAACTTATTTATTTGGCGTAAATAAAAATTTTATTTGTCAGAAATAAATTTTTTTTTGGCTCAAATAAATTTTTTATTTCAATGAAATAAAATATATTTGCAACAAATAAATGAGTTAATAGGCTCGGAGACAAATATATCATTTCTCTGAGTGTGTGTAATGCATTTTAATTTTTAACCTGTTTGATTTTTGTATTTATATATGATACATTATTATATAATAGATTTATTATCGTATTTTTTTTGAGTTTTTATATATAAGTTTAACAATTGCAATACTTTAAATTTATTTTCCCTAAGATTTTTCTGAAATATAGTGGCGTTCGTATTTACCCCGGTATATTTTAGGAAAGTTGCAAAGTATCGAGGTAAATACGAACGCTAAGTTTCCTGCGATTGTAATTTATCAAAAAATTTTGCTACCCCATAAAATTGTTCTATGGAAGTAAAGTAACAATTTCATGCACCAGAATACCGGAAGTATTGTCTTTTAAAAGAAGAAACTTATGTTATTGTTGAAACTTACTAAAAGCGTTCGGATTTACCCCGGCTGACCCTATATCATTTCTCCAGGTGTAAATTTTATTTGTTATAAAATTTAATATTATTGAATGGAAAATTTAATCTGTAAATTAAATTTTTCAAAAAAAAATTTGTTTCAGAAAAATAAAAAACGAAGATTTAAAAATATTCAATAATCATTTAAAGGGAGATAAAATCATTAAAAAAATTTTTGAAATAAAAAAATAAATTATAATAGAAACTGTTTTTAATTATTTCTTTTATTTATTTATTTATTTTTTTTTTTTTGTTATTTATGAAAGAAAAATAAGATTGGCTTTCAATTATCTGATTTCAAGTTTTCATGGGAAAGAATTAAAGTCAAGTGCATACTGCAGTCATATTCTTTTTGCAGTGCATGAAACCTTTTTCTTGAACCTGAGAAACTGGTCTATCAAGTATCCAAATACGAACTACTCTAACGACATTGAGATTAATGCAAAAAAAATTTACAAAATGTATCAAGGGGATAGATAAACATCTAAAAACTTGTTCACCCCTTGTGCTTAAACTTTCTCAAGTTCACATCTATTGTTATTAACAATTCTATCAATAATTGCGCGACTCCTTTTCTTTATGAGTTTAATTAAAATATAATTTTTATTTAAAATTTCCCTCATTAAAATTAAATCAATTAATAATTAAAAAATTAGAAAACTAATAAAATTAAGTTATTTAAAATTTACATATTTATATAAAATAATAATAATAATAATAATAAATTACGTAAAATTTAAGTTTACATGAGAATAAAAAACAGTTTTCTAAAAATTGAAAAATCGTAAATTTTGAGGTATAAAATTTTAAAAATATTCAAAGTGTTATTAATTTAATTAAATGAAAAGTAAAGAAACAAATTGGTTCCCACAATTTGTTAGCTTTATCTCACGCGGGAAATAATGATAATATAAATAAATTGCGTTTACTTGACATGATCAAAACGTTGAATTCACAATGAAAATTTGTGAATAATGTATATGTGTCTAATTGGAGCGGTATCTTTTGCGTCAGGATTTAATTCCTATATGTGTTGGAAAAGAACCATATTATGAATTAAACATGGGCCACGCGAGCTTCCCAAGAAACCCTCAATATATTTAAGTCTCGTATATATATATATATATATATGAAACAACAATATAATTGTTATTAATGCAACTAGATTGTAATTTACATTCTAATTGTAGACCCATAAAATATTCAAAGCGTTATCCTTTTTTATTATATATATATATGTTCTATATAGTATATAGAAATAGTAAAGAAATATAGAATCTAAAAATAGCAAATATAAAAGTTTAATAATTATATATCTGAAGCATGCAAGAAATAAATTAGTAACGGATATCGCCACGAGTGTGAATATCATATATAGATTATATGGTTTTTTTTTATACAACGAATCATGTCGCTAATAATAATTTCTGTCAACATAAAAAAAAAAAAACAAATTTAATTTCAGGTGGAGGTTCAGTGCTGGAAGTATTTTTTCACTAGCAAAAGAAAGACTCGAGCCTCTTTTGAATGAAGCAAAACCTGGAATTCTTGGTACTGGTCATAATTTTCTTTTTATTTAATGCTTCGCGTAAGTTTTTGTTACGGATATTTATTTAACAATTTATTTAACCAAATAATAATTGAAAGAAATAACTTTTTCCCAATATTAGAAAAAAAAATACTAACAGACGAGAAACAAAAGAATTAAAAAAAAAAAAATCTGCAAAAATTAAAACGCGAAAATTATTTCCCTTGAAAATCACATCTATATAATATTAAAAACCGTTACAAGATTTTTCTAAAAAATAAATATAACATAAAAATAGTCGCGACTTGTGAATACGATAAGATTTAAGAAACAAGATATGTAAAGTAGGTCGTTACAATTAATGATGCGTTTTTTTGATATAATCTCCTATTGTTTCGAGAAAGAGAGAGAGAGAGAGAGAGGAATAAAATGTATGCAAATAATTTATTAGAAAAAACAAATACTGAATTTTAAAAATTGTAAATGTTCTCGTGAAGCATATATAAAAGTTGAATTTGCATAAAATATTGTTATTATATATCACTCAACAAATAGAAGAATAAAAAAAATTAAACTAATAAATAATAAATTACTTGCGAAATAATTATTTCTCTCAATTTTTTTTTCCCGTGAAATATCAAAACTATACAAAAAAAAAGAACTGTGACTCAGAAATTGATTTGCAATCTTTCTCGAATCCAATTTCTGATTAAAAGTGAAATATTATTAAGAAATAAATTGATTTTAAAGGACCCTTGGAATTGAGGGAGTTGACACTAGGTGAACAAACACCCTGTCTCACTAGAATAAGGACCCTCGACTACAGTGGAGATGACGACACCCTTGGAAATCGTCCTGGTTCAACGAAATTATCAATCGAAGCCGATTTACGATTGGATTGCGAGCAATTTCGAATGCTAATCACCACAAGACTCTTTGGAAAGGGGTGAGAAAAAAAATTTAATTTCAAAATTAAATTAATTAATTTGATTTATTTCTCTATATTTTTTATTATATATATATATATATATATATATATATATATATATATATAATTATTCTCTATTTCTAATTCTATACGTATATAAAATACCGTTTATGGAACACGCGGATAGATAAATGAAATATAAACGCAGGAATCTTTTTATAAAGTATATATATTGATCCTTCACAGCATCTATTAAAAGAGCTATAATTATGCACCTACATGGAAATAAGATACGACATGAATTTTTAAATTCTCAATTTAAAAATATATATATGTATATGTATTCCTATATTTAAATTGGGTCAAACTTTTTTTAACTTGAAATTAAATTAAGAATTTATCTATAAATTAAAAAGAAAATCTAATAATAAATTGATTTACTAAAAAAATATTTGATTCAAAAAATTGACTATTAAATAAATATTTACGAAAGAATTTTTATTTTAATTAAAATTTTACTTAATTTCTGTATTTGAAACAAATACCATTTAATTGACTCTAATAATAATTTAATTAAATATTTATTTAATAATAAAGTAATCAATTAGGGTCAGCCGGGGTAAATCCGAACGCTTTTAGTAAGTTTCAACAATAACATAAGTTTTTTCTTTTAAAAGACAATACTTCCGGTATTCTGGTGCATGAAATTGTTACTTTACTTTCATAGAACAATTTTATGGGGTAGCAAAAATTTTTGATAAATTACAATCGCAGGAAACTTAGCGTTCGTATTTACCTCGATACTTTGCAACTTTCCTAAAATACCGGGGTAAATAGGAACGCCACTGTATTTCAGAAAAATCTTAGGGAAAATAAATTTAAAGTATTGCAATTATTAAACTTATATAAAAACTCAAAAAAAAATACGATAATAAACCTATTATGTATTAATGCATCATATATAAATACAAAAATCAAACAGGTTAAAAATTAAAATGCATTACACAATTAAAACCTTCAATAACTTTATCAAATCATAACGGATTTTTGCAAAACTTGGTACAAAAAGTATTTTGGAGTGATTGAATGAAAATACAAAAATAAAAGTCAAATTTTTTAAATTCAAAATGACGGATTCAATATGGCGAACTTTCCTAAAACTTATTTTTAAAAATGATCAAATTTGCTAACTCCAAATTAGTAATCAGCGATCCTGAAACCCCCCGAGTAACAATTTTCGAGCGAATCCAATGAATTTTTTAATTCTCGTCCGCCATTTTAAATTTTGAAAAACTGACTTCAATTTGGTAATCAGCGACCCCAAAAACCCTAGATAACTAAATTTTATTAAGATCCTGAAAAACTTTTTTCAACAAACCATTTGGCAAAAAAAGTGGAACACTCCTTCGAGAGAACAAAGATTAAATTTCTGCTTATTAATTACTAACGCGGATACATATAGAAAGAAAAACTTTTTTCTATGTACTTCCACAGAAAATTAAAAGGTATTAAAATAAGCTGCAACGCTTCTTATTTTAATCCAATTTTGCTTATTTTAATACAAAAATGGATTAAAATAAGCAAAATTGGATTAAAATAAGAAGCGTTGCAGCTTATTTTAATGCCTTTTAATTTTCTGTGTCTATAATGTTAAAATAATAGTGTAATCAAATAAAAACAATTTTGTGTGGCTCTAATATAAGAAAAAATTATTGAAAATACCGTTCGGATTTACCCCGATTTTCCAATTTTCCGGGGTAAATACGAACGGTCTGAATTTCATAAATAAAAATATAAAATATTTCATAAATAAATAAATTCTTCTAAAATTAACAAACGGAAAATGGGATAATACTTAGAATCTCTTGAAGAGGATCTGAGGTAAAAATTCTCATGTCTAACTTATTTTTAAAAATTTTAATTAAGCTGAAATAATTAGCGTTCGGATTTACCCCGGCTGACCCTATTTGAATTAAATAAATTTTTTGTCAATTTTTTTTTTTATTCAATGTTTTTTTTTAGTGTCGGAATGGATGTTGATTTGGCGGTGGAAAAATTATCACTATCGGGAACAATTTTGGCGACCCTAACATTAGATTCAATGGCACCGTTTCCACATGCAACGCATTTGAGCGTAAGTTTTATCGAAAAACCCGATGTTTGGTTCAGTGTGAAAGTATTAAAGGCAGTTCAAATGATGGAGGTGCCATTGGTAAAAACATGGATTCATGCAGTTGTCTCTGATGCTCTTGCAAGTTGGCTAGTTGATCCAGGTCATTTAGAACTTGATCTCAGGGCACATGAAAGACCTGGACCTGGTTTTGATAGTGTTATAAATTCTATTCCCCAAGGTGTACTCACCGTGACCTTGAGCCAAAGTGGATGTCCCGGTAAGATTCGTAATTTAAAAAAAAAAACGATTTTTATTTTCTCTCAATTCTAATTTAAAAAATAAAATATTTAACAGCAACGTTGAACGACGAAGTGAGATGGCTAGTTGTGACAATTGGTGATCAAAGAAGAGTCACAGCCCATTTAAATTCAACTTGGACTGAAAATGTCTCGTTTCTTGTTGGTTCATTAGATAATGAAAGGATCAGCATAAAATTAAAAGCAAAAAGACTCGTTAGCACCATCACCTTGGCACAATTTGAATTAGCTCTGGGAGTTTACAACTGGGAAAGTTCACAAGTGTAAGTTAATTAAGAGAAAGTTTTTTGATGAGTTAATATTGCTAGAGAAGATCCATTCAAGCATTAAAACACACAGTCATTAAAATGTTAATTTCTATTCCCCCCCCCCCTCTTTTTTTAGAGTCGAGACAGTTTTACAACAGAAAAAACCTTCAAGAAATAGCGCTAATATACCAAATATTAATGCAAAATTGGAATATGCAGCTTTACCAAAATTGGATCCTGATTTACCACAACCAACTCTTACAGATGATGTAAATACACATTCTGCAGGTGAGTTTTATTAAAATTAAATATTTCTAATTCTTTCCAAAAAAAACATTACAAATATAATTAACAAGCGGTTTAATAAATGACTTAATTCATATTTTCAGTCACACGAAAAAATTCGTTTCGAAAACAGAGAGCAGGTAAAAAATATATTAAAATTGGAATGATTAAAATAATTGTTGTTTTGGCACAAGAGTTGACACTGTTTTCTGTACGTTTTTTTTACACAAACACAAAAACCTTCTCATGAGGGAAAAATAGAAATCAATATAATTACAGTTCTATTTCTGTTTAATATTTTTAGTTAAATGTATTTCCTTTCATGAAATTGATTTTCAAAGGGAAAAAACAAAACAAACAAAAAATGAAAAAAAGAAATGCAAGGCTTTTGTAAATTGCTTGTAAATCGTATAATTTTAGGAGTCCTGGTTGTTTACATTCACTCAGCTGAGGATCTCAACAGTGATCCATCGCAATGCAATCCTTATTGCATGCTGTTCAACAACCGTAAAAAGGTTTGTATGCATGCCCGCGCGCCGCGAGTTGTTCTCATTTTTATAATGAGGAAACATTCTTCAGTCACGCACACTGTCCATTTTGTATTTACAGGTTAAAACAACTCACTACATTAGAGGCACAACATCGCCACGTTGGGAGGTCAGAACAGAGTTCCTGGTTCAAGATTACACACAACTCTCACTAAGTTTTGTCATTTATTCATGGAATATATCAAAAATGTCCGATACCGATATGCTTGGTCTAGCTATGCTTTCATTATCTCAGGTATAAATAAAATTTTGAATCATTCAAAAATAGAAAAACACAAATTTTTCTCAACAAAAAATTTCGATTATTACAGGACACGAGGTGGATTGTAAAGAAAGAATTGGTCCTAAGTGGCTCTACAAACATATCAACAATGACAGTATCAGTTTTATTTTACCCTGTAAAAAGTGTTCAACAAGTAGTCACGAGTAGAAGAAACAGTGTAATTCCACCATCGATAGATGAAGAACCAAAGACAAAAAGAAACAGTCTACCTTGGATGCAACAAGCTGTAAGAATTATTATTTTCTCTAAAAAAAAAAAAAATTTCCATAATTTTAAAATAATCCATTTTTTCAGAAACTACTACTATCACACAGAGACGTGGATCCAACATCCTCTGATATTTCCAGTTTACTTTCAACTGGAAGTGGTCTAATGGAAGTTTCACTTCTTCGAGCTAAGGATTTAGTAGCCAAGGATTTAAATGGATTCAGCGATCCATATTGTGAATTGAAACTCAACAATGAAACAAAATACAAAAGTAGTATCAAAAAGAAAACATTAAATCCCTGTTGGGATGAAAGTTCTATCATGGGTTTACCAAGAAATGGAGAAACTTTAGACGTGGTACAACACATTTCTAAAAATTAAACCTAAAAATAAAATTATTAAATTACTAAAATACATCATTAAATACCCTTTTTCAGATATTATGGGATCACGACACTTTTGGCATGAAAGATTACTTAGGAAAAGTGTCACTGACTCTCGAAGATATCAGAAGACTTTCAACTAGCGATCAGTCTCATTGGTTTGCATTAAGAGGAACCAAATCGGGATCCGTTGAGCTAAAAGTAAAAGTTCTCAGTGAAGAATGTGAAGTAAGTTTGTCTCATCAAATCAAAAATATATAAATTATAACCATTTTAATTATTCCAACAGACACAAAGTACATATACTGCAAGTAATATAAGTGAAGCTTCAACACGACCAAGTGCTGAACCCGAAATAATATCCAACATTGTTCGACGACCATCAATGGAAAAATCAAAAATGAGATTACATTTGGAACATGTTGTTCCACCACCACCGCCACCACGAACAGTCACTCTACTAAAACCACCATCCAATAATCACTCTGGTGTGTTAATTACAAATATTGACAAACAAAAATATTTAAAAGAAAAAGAAAAATTGTTTAATTTAAAGTAATAAGAAATATATTTTTGTCCAATAGACAAAGCAAGTACAACGAGTAAAGAATCCAATGAAGTTAATGGAGTAACAAATTCATGGACACCACGTGTCATCACCGAAACAATTTCCGATACTGTTGATGAAGCTGATTCAAAATTACACGAAAGAAGATCATCGCATCATAGTTTAACTCCAAGTCCCGAACAAAGTTTTGGCAAAAAAATGCCACAGTATAATAGTTTTCGAGTTATGAAACAAAAGGTTAATAATTTTTAAAAACATTAATTAAAAATACTTTTCCTAATTAGAGTACAAGAGTTTCAAATTTAAAAGATCCAAAAAGCTGTTTAAAAAAAAATATTTAAAAATTTATTTCAGATGAAAAGAGGATTAAAATTACGTAGGTTTCGTTCGGAGGTGAATATTGAAGATAAATGTGATACAACAAAAGGAGTGACATTGAGTTTAGAACCAAGAGGTGGAGGTGAGGCAGATGCCACGGAACTTTTACAAGGGGCATTGTCGCACGCTGTATCACAACCTGATATGTTGGGAAGAATAAGACAACCCAGTCCTAGAATGAGAATGCGACCAAATGGTAACAAAAAAATGCAAACATACTAAAAAAAAATTACATTCAAAATTAAAAGAAAATATTTTTCCAGACCTGAAAATTCTTAACGGAACAAGAGAAAAATATTCTGGAATCGAGGGTAAAGTGCTACAAGCTCAAGGACTTCATGTGGCACACATTGCGCAACTTTACTGTCGAATTAAATTTCAAACGTAAGTATTCATTTAGTACAAAAATAGATGCCATCCGAAGGAAAAGACGAAAAAAATTCCTAATTTGTTTCTACACTTTATATTCTATGTAACATAATTTATTTTCAAAATTAAGAGATTTTTATCTAAATAATTTTCATAATGTCACAGATGCTCAAGTCCTGACAAAATTTTACCATCAATGAACAATGGAAAGACAATAGCCAAGTCACGACTGTTACCAGCGATGCCTAATCCACAATTTAGTATCGATTTTCAAATTGATGGTGATAGTATTCCGAGGCAAGCGATGCTTGTTTTTGAAATTAGAAGTGCCAGCAAAGAATTGCTGGCTAGTCGACGAATAACTCTACATGAATTATTAGGCAAGTTGAACAATTTTCGTTAAGAAAATTCTAAAATTAGACATCCGGTAATTTATCGACAAAAGTTTCTGCATTATAAGTTAATGTTGAAAATTTCCTAAAGTAAAGAGTAAATTTAGAAGATGAATTATGAATTCAATAACTGAAAATTTCTATTTTTAAACAAAAGATTTTTAATTTTAGAATTCTAGAAAAAAAAAAAATTATATAAACATATTTTTCAAAATAGGTGCAACAGCAGCAACAAATGAAATTCACTCCTGGCTGGCTCTCAACAATGGAGCATCGCTTGAAGTTCAAATTGCTCACGGTCGTGAGCTTAAAAGTAAGTCAACAAAGAAACTGTTCCGATCGTGGTCTGTTCATCGTATCGGGAAAATATGAGGTCAAATGAAAGTCAGAGCTTTCTGACAAAAAAACTGCCTGCCTTGTTGCTCCAAGGACGAATGAGAAAAATATAAACTAAATACGAGAGCAACTTTTCGACATTACGAAAAAAAAAAAAATTCAAATGCAATAAAAAAGAAATGCAAATTGAAAAGAATTCTTCCAAAATAAATTCATAGGGCCCCAAAAATGTATTATCATTAAAAATGATAATAAGAATAAAGTCTGTAAATACTCATTATTGATATTATCATTCCGAGAGATGAGAATTAATATGTATATTGTAAATTATATATTACTGCGATTTTAATTTTACAAAAAGAAGCTACGAGAGAAAAAAAAATATATATATATTATACACAGAAGCTTTAAAGAATGTGAAAAAAAAAATGAACTGAATATTGTAGATGAGCTTTTATACGTGTACCTATATTTATGTCTGAATTATAAAAATTATTATTCCAATTCGTTGAAGAAACGCTTTTACTTCGTTTTCTTTTTTTTTATATGTATATATGAAAATAAATTGTATTTTTCATGATTCTCCAAATAATCAGATTTCTCATTCTTATCCAAAAACAAAAAATACTTTATACATTTTTAAATTTATCAACTTTTATAATCATCTTAAATTTCTAATTTTATGAATAAATTCCAAATTTCATGATTTATAATTTAATACTTGTTTATACACACATTTACATTTATTTAATAATTGATAACAAATAAATATCGATATTATTCTCTGCATGGCAATTGAATAAACTTTTAACAATCAGAATTTACTCATTGCCCAAGGAAAAATCTATACACCTTTTTTTCTTTTTCTTAAAATTATACACGTATTATTATCTACTGCCATAAATCTATAATATATATAAATATAATATTTCAAATACCAGTGGCAAATTCAATTTGAAATAAATGATTATGTACCGTTCAAAAGAAAGTGCTATTAACGTTCAAGCATATATAATAAAATTAACTTTTATATATAATATATAAATATTAAACAAATCTACGTTCTAATCCTTCACTGTAAATAAGTGATGATTTTTTCTTATTTTAATTTCAATGGTAATTATAAAATTCTTAATATAAAAAATGGATAGTAAAAAATTTATATTAATCAATCACGTGAATATTAAACCCAGACCATAATAAGAAAGAAATACTTTCCTATATAAGAAGAAATCTGAACTTCACAATTGTGTTCATTCCATTTGCCACTGAAAAAAAAAAAATATTTAATTTTATATTAAAATTAAAATTTAATTAAATAAATTAAATATCAAATAATAAATGAAATATTAATTACTTTTAGTGGTCCCTGATTAGCATTATTTCCCCCTATCTCCTCTCGTTGTCTACGTTCTTCATCTAATCGTTGCTGTCTTTTTACAGCATCCATATTTTTTATTCCTCTCGATTCTTGCTCCATTTGCCTTTTTTCAGCAGCTTCAGTCATTTGACGCCGTTTTACTTCCTATTAAATAATTATAGAATGTTAATTAAATCAAATTTTTTTATTAAAATCAATTATTTAAAATCTAACTATTCTCAAATTTTTTTATTGGAAATTCACTTTTAAAAAATGTCAATTACTAGAATTTCTTATTTTCAATAAAAAAAAAAAAATGTTTTCAAACTTTTGAAGAAACAAAATTAAAAATAAAATTCGAATTCTTTCAAAGTAAAGCAATTTTTTATTGTTACTAAAAGAAAAAAATGAAAATATAATTAAAAATTAATAGCACAATTAAAATTAAATTAAAATCAGAAATATTTTGATTGTATTCAATTAGATAAATTGTATATATTACAATTTCATAGTTTTAAAAAACAAAATTTTTCAATAATTAATTTCAATAACCCTTACCCTTTTTAACATTTTTTTTTTAATCTATACACATATATTTATCAAAAATATAAAACGCAATAAACACACTAGGCGTACGATTTAAGCTAGAGTTGGAAACACACATGCTAGTCTAAATCAATACTAAAGAATATATGGTTAAAATATAAACTTTCAAATTTACTTATTTCTTTGTTGAACATTTTTATTATTAAGGAATATTGATTCTTTTAATTGTTATCCAACACAAGTAAATATATGATCACATGACTTGAACTGCGAGTAAAATGAAAAGAAAAGAAGAAAATAAATTCATCCAACGAAATGAGAAATGTTATTAATCATACAAATGTATGATAAACATTTACCACTATAAATAAACAAAAGACATGAGTGAATTAAACGAAAATTAATCAAAGAAATTATACCTAATTTCTTTTTAAAATAAACAGGTACCACACCAAGTTTATTAGAGTAACCTCAAAAAAAAAACATACAATTACCGGATCAGGAGTCAAATCTTGATATGAATCCGATGGTTTACAACATGATGCAAAGATACCCATTTTTTATTAATATATTAAGAGGTAAATTAATTATTATTCACTGTAAAACAATTGTTTTGATATTGAAATATAAATGTCAAAGTGACGTGAGTGACAGTTCTGAGTATTTTTCTTCTGCTATTTTTACCACGTGAGTCAAAAGTGATATTGTATTGATAATATTTACTTGTCAATCAATCGAAATATATATTTTATTAAATATATGTTATAAAATAAAAAAAATTAAAATTAAAATAAATTTAAAACATTATAAGAAAGAGGCGATGTAATTAATTAATTATAAGAAAATAAATAAAGGAGAAATTTGACTAGGTTAGTTGGACGATAATATTGACCACTGTTGCCAATACAAAAAAAATTATACTCTTTTTAATGAAATTACAAATTTTAAAAATCAATAAAACGATATTTACAATTTTTAATACAGTTATTAAACATATATCAAAATTATATTTTCTTTCAATAAATTAACAATTTTTATCATATTTTCTATATCCTAATGTTAATATTTTAATTTGTTATGTTTGCACAGCTGACTTTAGATTTCAGCCATTTTTCTTTTCATTTGGCAAGTGAAGTGTTAATCTGTGAGAAAGATGTTGTCACGATTAGCTTTTCGCAATGGTAATTATTCTTATTTTAATTAATAATAATTAAATTTTTACACAACAATATAGTTTATTTTGTGTCAGTAACAATTTTCTTAAATTTCATTCATATTTGTCAAGTTCTGTCTCTGTCATTCTGAATTCAAAGTCTCATTACATAATATAAAAAAAGCAGTCACATTTTGACAATTACTGTAAATTAGTAGTGAATTATTAAATTTTCATTTCAATAATTTATTATTCTTACATAATTGTTTGTTTCCTTTGAATTATTTAAACACTGACATTGATTTACAATTAATTCAATGGACATAACCTCAAAATCATACATGACCTATTATACTGTTATATTTAATATTGAAATTGTGAATATTTTTACCATTAATTTAAAACAATATTCTAATAAAATAATTTAAATTTTCAAATTCTTGAATAATTGTTTTCATTCAGTGTAATTGTACTTTCAATTTGTCAAAGTATTTTCATAAATATATCATGGAGTAAAAACTTATTTAAAATTTGTTTAAATTATTAATTTAATAATTATAAATATTGTTTTTAATTTATTCGTCGTAAATATTTTATATGTATAATAAATTTTGAAAATATGATAGAAATTATGATAAAATTGATAATTTAGTAAATGAAAATCAATTTTTTTTTTTTAGCCAAAATATTGCCCGCTATGGCTCAAAGGGCCCAGGGTACAACGACCACCACATTCGATCGTCCTACCCGTCTTGTAGATACATCACCAACTCGTCTTGGAATTATTCCTGAAGAATGGTTTACATTTTTCTATCCAAAAACCGGAGTCACAGGTAATTTAATTAAATAATTATTTAATTTTACCTTTAATTACAATTATGGAAAAAAATGGTTTTTATTGCTTTTCCAGGAGGGTACATGTTTGGCCTTGGCGTAGGAACCTATTTAATTTCGAAAGAAATTTACATTATGGAACACGAATATTACGCGGGATTATCTTTGTTCATAGTTTTGTGCGGAGGTTACTACAAATTTTATAATCAAATTCACGGTGCTATTGAGAAAAGGCAGAATGCACAAGAGCAGCAATTTAAATCAATAACTGAAAATGATTTAAAAACAATGACTGATTCAATTAAAGATGCAGAAAAACAAAAATGGATAACTGGTGTTCAGTCAATGATTATGGAAGCGAAAAAAGAGAATGTAGCAATGCAATTGGAAGCTGCCTACAGAGAGCGAGTTGCTCAAGTTTACAGCGAGGTAAATTAATTATTTACTAATTGAATTTTATTATTATTTTTTTTACCCATTTTAAATAACAAGAAAATTAATTATTAAATTTATCATTTAAATATCTAGGTGAAGAAACGATTAGACTATCAATTACAATTAGCCACCGTCGAACGTAAAATTGCACAGAAACATATGGTACAATGGATCATTAATAACGTCATGAAAGCTGTAACACCTGATTTAGAAAAATCTACATTACAGCAATGCATAACAGATCTTCAAGCTCTCGCCCCCAAGGCTTGAGAGATTTATTAAAATTTAGAATCTATAGACTTTTTAAATAAACGTCATCAACATACAAATATCTACGAATTTAAAAACTGTATATTTTTCTTTTCATTGTCGCAAATTGAACTCAACGCTGCGATTTGCAAACATTTCCAATAAAATTCTGTTATTCTAAAATCTCTCCTCTTATTCATAATTTACATGACTTTTTATTTATAAGGCATAAAAAAATTTTTTATTGCCAATTTGAAAATTGTTACAAAAATTTTATCAAAAACAAATTCGATTAATTATTAAAAAATTTAGTTAAATTTAGTTTACATGTACATCTAGAGAATGCTATTTGGAGAATTTAACAAAAAAAAAATTAAGTTCAAGGATAAAATTTTGAATATCCCTCCAAATTTGTCCGACTAACCTAACCTGATAATTTTCGCGTATGCGCAAAGGAATTGAAATTGTTTTCAATGTGTGAGTTTTGGAAACTATATTAATGTGACCTTTTTGTCGTTTATTGGAGTTAAATGTGTATTGGTGCTGTTTGTAGTCGTTTGTCAACCGAAAATGGCGGAGGATTTTAGTGATACGAATTCCCATGAAAACACAAAAAATCACATTCCTCAGAGATGTAAAAATCAATGGGTACGTCTTAATGTTGGCGGTACATATTTTCTAACAGCAAAAACAACATTAACAAGGGATCCAAATTCATTTCTATATCGACTATGCCAGGAGGACTCTGACCTCATCTCCGACAGGGTTAGTTGACATTTACAAATTTCCCGCGGCATTTAAATTTTAATAATAAATATATTTTCACTTATTATTTGTGATAATTTATAAAAATTAATATCATTTTTTTAATTTTCTACTAATTTTACATTTAAAATCAATTAATTTAAGAAAGATTTTAATCATCAAACCTACCCTTGTTTCTAAAGTCAGCTCGTCTTTTTTAGCACTTGGCTATGCGAGAAAATTATTTTTGTAAACTAAACTTTTTATTTTGTCAATATTGTACAAATGGAGGGGTTTTTTTTGTAGGATGAAACTGGAGCCTATCTAATAGACAGAGATCCAACTTATTTCAGTCCAATTTTAAATTACCTTCGACATGGTAAATTGGTAATTAATAAAGATCTCGCTGAGGAAGGTGTTTTGGAAGAAGCTGAATTCTATAACATTACTGATCTAATTAGGCTAGTTAAAGAAAGAATTATTCTCAGAGATACAAGACCGATACGTGATTCACAAAAACTTGTGTACAGGGTTTTGCAATGCCATGAGGACGAGCTCACACAAATGGTATCAACCATGTCCGATGGATGGAAATTTGAACAAGTAAGTCCAAAATTTTCAAAAAGCATTTGATAATTGTCAATTACTAAATTGAATAAGAATTTAATTTCTAATAAAATATTTATATATAGTACATGTCATTAAAAAAAAAATTTCTACAGAATAAGCGTCTTTTTCTTCTCAAAACATGAGATTTAATTTCTAGAACATTTTTTCAAGAATAATTTCTATTAAAAATTTCGAGGCAATAAATTTTCTATTTTACTCCATTGTTTCAGCTGATAAATATAGGTTCACAATATAATTATGGCAATGATGATCAAGCAGAATTCTTGTGCATTGTAAGTCGAGAATATGGTCCGAGTCAATTAGCCAGTAAAGAACAGGAATCAACAGATCGCGTTAAGGTAAATCAACTAAAATAGTTTTAAAAACAAAATAAAAAGTTGCTTTTTTTGGAAGATTATTATAACCGACGTAACAAAAATGTTTTTCTCAACGCCTATTGGTTATTTTCTTTAAAAAAAAAATTAGCATTATTACAAAAAAAAAAAAAAAAAAAACCTGTCAACTACAAATATTTTGCGTTATTTTTCATTTATATGCAACATTATATTATTTTAGATTTGTGAACATATCTTTTTTTCTATTAACTTTTATAACACAAAAGCTAACAGGGTGAAAATTCTTCATTTTTTTTTGTTTTGTTTGTTTGTTAATGAATCATAAAATAATATCTCTAATACTAAACTTTTGGGGTTGTTGGTCGGTAGCTAAAATAATTTTTAATATATTTAATACACGTATGTATTTTGAAGACATTTTTTTGTAATTTAGCTTTTAAACTACCCGCATAATTTTTTTTTTTTTCTTTATTTTAAATTGAAAATCAGCTGCTCTGCTTTATATTTGCAATATGCTTCGTTGCTTTTTTTAATTTAATGTTGTTTCAAACAACAAAGTAATTAAATTTAATACAGATATAGTAACATTAATAATAACATATATTTTTTACCTATTTATATAATATAATATTATAATTATTAATTAAATAACATTAAAAAAAATTGCAAATTCTCAGCAGATAAACCGATTTTCAAAAATTTTATTTCCAATTTTGTGTTATTGTCGTATTTATTTATGTGTATTGTCCTTCGTTTGCGAAATAGAAATAAAAATTTAATGCGGCTTATGAAATTAATGTGTAAAATATTTTTTTAATTTATGGCAAAATAGAAGAAGGAATATATTTGTGACCATTTTTAATATAATTTCAATTTATGCTCTTTATGCAATATTTTTTTGATATTATATATTTCAAGCAAATATACTTAAAACAAAAAAAGATTTTCAAGGTATACTTTTGCACAAATTCAAAAGCTGCATAAGCATGTTTTATTCCCTTTATACTTTTATTGTATACCTAAGTTTATAATTATTGTAAAGCATGCCATTTTGATTAAATAAAGAATATTTTTTCTTTCATTGGTTTGGTCAATTTTTCTCCCGAGTTTTGCATGTTTTGCATGATAATTTTTTAATTTTCATAAATCATTTTACACATCAGATTTTATAAGACGGCTACATTTAAAAAAAATTTCTCTGAAATTAATTTCAAGTCAAAGGCAATTCTCAATTTATATTGACAAAATTAACAATCTCATCTGGAATAACAAAAGAACTTGAAAATAAAAAAAAATAATAATTTTGTTTTTTTTTTCCAACTAAGATTAGAAAATAATTTCAGAGAAATTTTTTTTGGGTTCACTTGGTTAAAGGCAGAAGTCAACTAATATTTTAAAAATGCTTTTATCTGGGAAATTTGATCGGTATTTAAAAATTGGAGCTTGTGCAAAAAAAAAAAAATTGTATTAATATATAAACAAATCTCAATATCTTTTAATAAGTTCGAGTCATTGGGTTCTATTCTAGGTTCTGCAGCAGAAGGGTTCACGTATGTAATTTCTAGTCCGCCCCGAATTGTTTTACCTCCCCTGATGTAGAATTAAGAATAAAGCTGTGAAGGACACAGATTATAAAAGATAAAAAAAAAGAAGCCGCAAGAATCGTCCTCGTTTTAAGAAATTATTTTTAAGATCTCAAGAGAAAAAAAATTGTAATCCTATTCTTGAAGATACATATTAATAAGCAAACGCTCGACTGATCTGTGAAATGAATTTTAAGAGAGATCAGAATTATAATTTGTCACCCTGGTGCAAAATATATCTTGCTGGCGAAAAAAAAACAATCCTTCAAGTGTGGCATGTTTTAAAGGTTTGAATTCACTAATGAATTTAACAGACAATAGCTTTTAAGATAGGGAACGTCTTTCGTATCAATTTCTTCAAATTTAGACTCAACATTTCGCAATCTCTGATTTATTTATCAGCAAATTCACAATTTCTATTAGACAAATTTTCACAAAATATTTTTTAACAATTTTTATTAATTTCACTTTTTGATAAAATTAAATTTTACTACTTTATAAAATCAATTTTTGATTATTAAAGTTTTTTTAAATATTTTTTTCTTAATAAAATATTTTTTAATATCAATTTTTAAAATATATTTTACATGATATTACATTTATACTTTAAGTTTAAATTAATATTTTCAAAAAATAGATTTTTAATATATTAATTTTCGAAGAATTAAAAAATGAAAAGCAAAAAATTAATATTAAACATATTTGCCTGATAATTAAAACAGAGATTAGTTTTGTACCAAATTGTAAAAAAAAATGATTTTTTTTTTATTTCTACCTATACAATATTGTATATTACGACATAAGGGTCTTAAAAATTAACCTTTTCACTGCCGCCAAAAAAAAACATAATATTTACCTAGAGACTAGTAGGGTGATAATTATATACCTGTTTTAATAATTGAGTACTCGATAATCAAGACAGATTATAATAATGTAAATATAGAATCAGCGGGACTTGATTGCAAATTATACATTTTTCATTAAAAAAAAATTATATATATACGCGTGGAAATATTTCCATTTTTATTTTGAAAAAAGTACTAATTTATCGCAAATTAATATACAAAATTTGCATTGTCCAAATTATTCGGAGCAAAATATTCAAACATCTATTCTAAAACATAATAATAATAATAATAATAATAATAATAATAAAAAAAAAAAAACTCAAAATAGTCGTAAAAATACAAAATCACCGCAGTTTTATATATATACACACAATGAATCACTAAATTTTTAAGCGATGACTCGAGTACTACGCTAACGTTTTATTTTTTCATCTAATCACCGACAAATTTTTTTTAATTCCCATTTTAATAAATAATGTTCCTACTTTTGCAATTTTAATAGATTTTATGATTTTGTGATATATATATATTTGCTGTATTCTTTTTACTCCCACTTGGAAATACTCATTTAATTATTCATGATCTTTTTAATTGTGTTCAAGAACAAAAAAAAAAAAAAAAAAAAAAAATGAAAGTACTCACAATTTTTTCACATAGAAAATCGCGATATGAAAAAAAAATTCTGTATTTTACAGATTTTTGTCTGATGATGCTTTTGCTTCCTTAGTATAATGAAGTTGAAATTTGTAAAGTAGAGTATAACTCAATAAAAAAAATTACTAGAATATTTTTATAAATTTTTTAAAAATTAGTGTTAATGACAAGAATTTTGTGTAGAATTAAAAATAAAAAAAATAAAAAAAAAACAATTACGATAGATCATAAAGCCCATAGAACATATCACAACATATAATAATTAATAATAATAATTAGATATGCAATAAAAATTAATTCGATATCTATTACATTAAAAAATTAACCTTCAATATTAGATAATTAGATAACAATAAACTTTTAGAAAAATTTTATTTTTAATTAAACTCATAAAAAGTGATTAAAAGGTAAGGACCTCCATTCCACAACCTTCAATTTTTATCAGCTAAAAAACAAAATTAAGAAAAACATTTTTATGAGTTTAATATTTCTAAAAGTTTATTTTTATGTTATAATAAAAATTAAATAAAATATAAGATTTTAGATATTTTTACTTTGTAAACTTTACAAAATTCAACTTCAATCAATTAACTTGATGATTTTTTTTTTATATAGTTTTGAGTCTGATAAAACTAAAGTAACTAATTTATGTTAAATCGTCTGGGACGGTGAAAACATTTACAATAATTTTTTTTAGTCTCAGAAAGCCCATATTTAAATATGTGCGACAATATTATAAATAAAAAGAATAGAAAAATGCTTTAAAGGAAATTATAAACCTGTATAAAGCATGTAAAAAGAATACAGCCGTTACTCTATTTTGTATAGCAATTATAGGTAATGGGCTCGTGTTCAGGGCCTACTTAAAATCGAAATCGACGCAGAAGTCGATTTTCAAAGAAAGTGAAATAATAAAAAAAATAACAATGTTTTAATAATGAAACATTATTTTAAGCATCAAAAATTATTATCAATTATTTTCACACTATACTCGACTTCTGTGTCTATAATAATGACAATTTAATATAAGTACTGCTACCACTAATAATAATACATAATAAAAAAAAATAAAAAACGTTTAGCGCATATTACCAAAAATATCGCACATATTTGGTAAATAGGAAAAAAAGGCTTAAGTTTTTATTTTTCATTCAGTTAGGTAATTAATATCATAACATTATTTTTAGATTTTATATTCTTTTCTTTAATATTTTTCTAAGAATTTTAATATTTCTTTTAAATAATTTTTATAGAGACGTTTTTTTTATCATTTTATTATTTTACTGATTTTATTTCTTATTTTAAATTCTATATTTTTCATTAATTTTGAAAATATATTGTATATGAAAAAATTAGAGTTTTAAAAAATTTTAAGAGCGTCGAAATTTTTAATTAATAAATTAAAAAATTATATATATATTATTTTATGAATATTTTTCGCAATTATATTAATTAGGTTATAAGAATCGACGTTTTATTTTTAGATAATGTTTTGAGATACATGAAAACGCTCAAAAAACCGAATTTTATTGTTTGCATTTTTAGATATTAAAAAGAATTTTAACGTATACTCCGCGTGCGAACGTATATAATATAAATATAATTAGCGAATAAATAAAAAAAAAAAAAAAAATTAATCCTAATGTTTGACAAGAAAAAGACGTTTTTCTTGTTTCGACATTTTTTAAAGGACATTGTACTATAAACGCAGAGATAAATGTTTTATTAGAAAATAATGGCTACAATAAAATTGAAGTAGGATGTATTCAAAAGAAAAATTAATTATTATTATTAAATACTATATATATAGAACCTGAAAACTTATCATAGGATTTATAAATCCGTGAGGAAAAATTTAGAGTGATTTATAATTGAGAAAAAAAAAATTTAGAGTGAGAAATCAAGAATTAATTAAGCTACGACGTGCTGCTTGTTAATACAATTGGAAATTTATTACCGAAAAATTTGGCATAATTATTTATTAAATTCTACTTTCCCTAATGTTTCTATTTCTAATCGAATTTGAAATAAAAAGAATATTAAGGAAAATAAAAATTAAAAAATAATTATTGATTCCAAAGAATTTATTATATTAATTCTTTATAAAAGACTTTCGACAAGTCGCGTAAAAAAAAATGCGAAAATTAATAAACGTTGCATTCAGAGCTTAATATGATTTTGTCATTAGTTAATTTTTTTTTTTTAGGCAAGCTTTATTGTAGGAACATTTCATCGACACTAAACTAATAATATAAAGAACAATAATAATTGTTCGTTACCTACATTTTTAACTAAGTCATAATTGTAATCCAATTGTGTGTATTTCTACTTTCATAGAATTTTCTAAATTTGTCAACGACTCGACTTTTTCTATATTATATTTAACAACTAAAAAAAGAAAAATTACATCAAATTCTGTGTGTAGTCCTTCAAAAGAACTTTCACAAAATTGATAAGTAATTTAGAAAAATGTTTTGAGAGATACCAGGTGGACCTGAGATTTTCAATTTAAAATTTACCTTCTGGATATTTCATATAACCTTTTTGGAATTTATTATACAAGACCAAATAAGAATCAGAAACAAATAAGAATTTTTGAAAACTGATATATATGTATATTAATTGAAACTATATATATATACAAGGAAAAAAAAATATATCCAGTAGTTGTAGATAAAAACAAAAAATAAATGTTATTGCTGTTTTCCTTATCGCGTGTAAAGTTCAATCGAATATTTGATTGTCCTATGTAAATGCGATGTAAATATAAAACAAAAAAAATTTTTTTTAAATGGTTATTATGAAGATTTTTCAAAATTCTAAACGACGTATGAATCAGAGGAAAAAATTATAATTGAAATTTTTATGGGGTCACAAATTTGTACGTTTTAAGGCTTCATCCCACCCTTCTCTTTACACAAATAAAAACACACAGCTCATTGTAATAGGTTTGATAACTGTAACATTTTACAATTTTCACCCTTTCACATTGTACAATTGTAAGCAAAAAAAAAAAAAAAAAAAAAAAACAAGAGTGATAAAAACTTTATCATTTGTATAAGTTGTAAAATTTTAAAGTAAATAAATAAAAAGAAAATATTGTAAAACTTTTAATTATTTCCGTATCATTTTCTTTTTTCATTTATAATTTAAGAGGAATTCGATTGTAATACCAACAAATTTATCATTTAATCCAATAAAAATATATTTATATCACAAATGTAATATTAATTACAAAGTTCGTGTAAAAAAAATTACACAAAACATAAAAATTTTTAAACAAAAAAAAAGAGAATAGAAAGAAAAGCTTTTTAGTTTTTTTTTGAAAGCTAATGGAAATATAATCAAATTCTTTAAGAAAATTTAGAATATTTCCTAATAAAAAAATATTTGATTATATTTCCAATAAAAAAATTAAACTTACATTTTTTGGATTTTATTTCTTTTCATAAAAATAAAGAAATAAAATAATGAGTATTTCTATTATTGTAACAAATTTATGGCATATTTGCTATTTGTTTTAATGGTTGATCGAGATATTTAGCTAATGCTTGAGCTTTTTCTCTTAATAAACCAAATCCTACATTTTCTCTTGCATATAGACATAAAAGTAAATTCGCTACTTCGGTAATGACAACTTTTCCATCCTGGAAAAAAAGAATATTATTTTGTAATTAATCAAATAAAAAACAAAAAAAAAATATACTGGCGTCATAAACCATACCACACAATCCATTAATACAAATTTAAGTTCATCTTCTTTAAATGCATTTCGTCCATTTTTTTCATATGCAGACCAAATACTACTTGTTATAGCAGCTGTAACTCTTGCATCTTTATCTCCATATCCACTGTACGCCAAAAGACCACCATCTCTATTTAACAATCTGTAATTATACTTGTTAAAAATGTAATTTCCTTTTTGACAAACAGTTAATTTCTCTTAAATTGACAATAAAAAATAATATACAACTTTTAACTAAAGTTATTTTTGTAAATTGGAAATATTTTAAAAGAAAATGAAAATATTTTTTCTATTTAAAAATAAAAAAAATAAATTTCTACATAAAAATAATAAAATAATAATAATAATGTTTTCAATTTACAGTATTTACTTTAATAAAAATATCATAAATAGTTTATTATTTAGCAAAAAGTCAAAAATTGTATTGATAAATTCCAAAACCTAACCTACAAAACAAAACATTTATGGAAATTATCAAAATAAGTAATTTATCATTGTACTTACAAAGTATTTTCAACACCACCAGTATTTGCCTGACTCAAAACTTGAGTTAGAGCTTTTGGTCTTAACATTTTATTTGTTTTAATTTATTTTAAAAAAATTTTGTTTTAGAAAACTGACATTTGCACTTATTGACACTCACTCATACAAACATAAAAAGTATGTATGTATTTCCCATTAACGCTGCACGCTCATTGGTTGAATGCATTTATTTGCCTTGTGAACAACCTTTAATGCCATGTGACATTTCCATCTGTCATTCATTACATTAAAAAAATGTGTTTGTGTTCATTATTTTCGTTTAATAATTCAGTAATTAAGAAATAATTTATTTTATTAATTTGTATTAATTTCTTAATAAAATTTTGACGTTTTTTTAAATAAAACTTTTTAATCATACTTAAAATATCACAAGAGGAAAATAATTACTTTTCTTCTCTCTCGATTATTAAATAAAATTGCAAAATAAGGAAAATAAGTGTTTTGCTTTTTTGCTAAAATAAAACGTTTAAGGAAACGATAATAATTTCACGAAAAAAATAAATAATATAAGGAAACATTCAAGTTTTACATTTTGAAGATTATGTGAAATAATGTTAACCTTCGATGAAGATTTAGAACTCGATTCTCTACCAGCAGATATTTATAAAGAACTTATTTATGAACTTAATCAAGATTCAGGATGGCGTATTTTGGGGCTATACGTTTCCAAAGAATTGGGTTGTTTCGGGTAATTAATTAAATTATTATTTCTAAAAATATGCGAAATGAAAATCTAATCTTTTTTTTTTTATTTTCTACAGAAATGAACAAATATGGATACGAGAATTCGAGCAAAATAAATTTGCAAATAATCAAACACCTGCGGAAAAATTACTATTTGAACTACGTATTAAAATGTGTACTGTTGGAGTTTTAAGTTCTTTACTTGAAGACTGTGGTTTATTAAAAGCATTATCAGTTTTATCTTCTCCAGGTAATTGAGAAAAAAATTAAAAAATTTCACAATCATATAAATATTTTACCTAGATATATTTTACAAAAATAAATATGATAAATTTATAGAACCTCTGATAATCACACAACAACCAAATGAAAATTTAACTTCTGATGAAATTAAAGTTACTATGGGGCAAAAAGTAAAAATAATTTGCAAAGCTGTTGGAATGCCTCCACCGAATTATTTATGGTATCATGGAAATATTCCTCTCACAGATCATACTACAGAAGAATTAAATTTCAAAATAACAAAGTAAGAAAATAAAAAATTCAAACTTTAATAATTAAATTAAACTAATTGGAATTAATTTTTGCAAAATAGCTTTAATGAAGAAGGTGAATATAAATGTAAAGCCTATCAAATATGTCGAGATGAAAGTTTCAGAAATGAAATATATTCTGAATCAATATTTTTAAAAATAAAGCCAATTCCTGTTGTTATTGAAGAACAACCACAACCAACTTTATATGTTAAAGAAGGAGATAAACTTTTATTAAATTGTAAAGTAAACAATCATTCAAAGGCCCGTTTTCAATGGTTTCGAGATAATACAAAATTGGATGATCAAACTTCACAAATACTTTCAGTAACTATTTATTAAATTTATAAAAATTGAAATTAATTGAAAAAAATCAATTCTATAAATATTCTATTAATTATAATTTATTTCAATTCTTATTAATTTAAAAAAAAATTACTGCGTTTGTTGCAGATAAGTAATTTTAATGGAAAAGACGAAGGAAAATATTATTGTTATGTTTTTAATCAAATTAGTGAAGTTTATACACAAAGAAGCTACGTAATGGTGAGTGTAAATTAATTTGGGACTTTTGATTTTATTAATTAAACTTTTTAAATACTGGATAAAACTAGGAATAAAACAAATATTTTTTAAATGAAAGTGGAAGACCACCTCATTCCACAATTCTTTTAAAAATTATTTCAATTATAATAAACCTAATTTATTTATCAATTTAATTTAAAAAAAAATAGCTGAACAAAACTGAAAATTAACAAAAAAAAAAAAAATTAAAATGGAAAACCACCTCATCCTCAACCACACTTTTCCATTTTCATTTTTTTGTTTTTAAAATTTAAGACAATTTTTTAAATTGGAACATTTTTCAAAAATTTATTAACAAAAATTGTATAAAATTAAGAAATAACAAACATTTTTTAAATGAAAGTGGAAGACCACCTCATTCCACAACCACACTTTTCCACTTTCATTTAAAAACTATTTTAATTATAATAAACCTAATTTATTTATAAATTTAATTTTAAAAAAAAATAGCTGAACAAAACTGAAATTTAACAAAAAATTAAAAAAATTAAAATGGAAAACCACCTCATCCTCAACCTCACTTTTCCATTTTCATTTTTTTTTTGTTTTTAAAATTTATGACAAATTTTTAAATTGGAACATTTTTCAAAAATTTATTAACAAAAATTGTATAAAATTAAGAAATAACAAACATTTTTTAAATGAAAGTGGAAGACCACCTCATTCCACAACTACACTTTTCCACTTTCATTTAAAAACTATTTTAATTATAATAAACCTAATTTATTTAGGGTCAACCGGGGTAAATCCGAACGCTTTTAGTAAGTTTCAACAATAACATAAGTTTTTTCTTTAAAAAAAAAATACTTCCGGTATTCTGGTGCATGAAGTTGTTACTTTACTTCCATAGAACAATTTTATGGGGTAGAAAAAATTTTTGATAAATTACAATCGCAGGAAACTTAGTGTTCGTATTTACCTCGATACTTTGCAACTTTCCTAAAATATGGGGGTAAATACGAACGCCACTGTATTTCAGAAAAATCTTAGGGAAAATAAATTTAAAGTATTGCAATTGTTAAACTTATATAAAAACTCAAAAAAAATACGATAATAAACCTATTATGTAATAATGCATCATATATAAATACAAAAATCAAACAGGTTAAAAATTAAAATGCATTACACAATTAAAACCTTCAATAACTTTATCAAATCATAACGGATTTTTGCAAAACTTGGTACAGAAAGTATTTTGGAGTGATTGAATGTAAATACAAAAATAAAAGTCAAATTTTTTAAATTCAAAATGGCGTACTTTCCTAAAACTTATTTTTAAAAATGATCAAATTTGCTAACCCTGAAACCCCCCGAGTAACAATTTTCGAGCGAATCCAATGAATTTTTTAATTCTCGTCCGCCATTTTGAATTTTGAAAAACTGACTTCAAATTGGTAATTAGCGACCCCAAAAACCGTAGAATACCAAATTTTATTAAGATCCTGAAAAACTTTTTTCAACAAACCATTTGGCAAAAAAATTGAAACACTCCTTCGAGAGAACAGAGATTAAGTTTCTGCTTATTAATTACTAACGAGGATACGTATAGAAAGAAAAACTTTTTTCTATGTACTTTTATAATGTTAAAATAATAGTGTAATCAAATAAAAACAATTTTGTGTGGCTTTGATGTAAAAAAAAATTATTAAAAATACCGTTCGGATTTACCCCAGTTTTCCAATTTTCTTGGGTAAATACGAACGGTCTGATATTATTAATAAAATTTTACAGAAGGCAAAAATCAAATATAGTTTCTGTTCTAGTATTCATAACAAACAATTATAAATAATAAAATAAATTTTTAGCTTCTTTTTCTTCAAATACGAGACAAAATACTGAAAGAGTGTCATCTTTGATTTTCAATCTTTTTTGCAATACTTGTTATCTTTGTTTATGCTGTTGCTAATTAACAAACAAAAAATGGGATAATACTTAGAATCTCTTCAAGAGGATCTGAGGTAAAAATTCTCATATCGAACTTATTTTTAAAAATTTTAATTAAGCTGAAATAATTAGCGTTCGGATTTACCCCCCGTTCGGATTTACCCCAACTGACCCTACCAATTTAATTTTTAAAAAAATAGTTGAACAAAACTAAAAATTAACAAAAAATTTAAAAAATGAAAATGGAAAACCACCTCATCCTCAACCTCACTTTTCCATTTTCATTTTTTTTTTGTTTTGAAAATGTAAGACAATTTTTGAAAATTTATTAACAAAAATTGTATAAAATTAAGAAATAACAAAAATTTTTTAAATGAAAGTGGAAGACCACCTCATTCCACAACCACACTTTTCCACTTTCATTTAAAAACTATTTTAATAATAATAAACCTAATTTATTTATCAATTTAATTTTAAAAAAGAAAACAAAACTGAAAATTAACAAAAAATTAAAAAAATGAAAATGGAAGACAACCTCATCCTCAACCTCACTTTTCCATTTTTATTTTTTTTTTTGTTCATTTTCAAAATTTAAATAATTTTTTAAATTATAAAATTCAGGTGGATCTTCCTAGGCAAAAAACAGTTGCAAAAATTGCTTTGCTAATTGCAAACGAAGACTATCAATATCATACAAAATTAAGCACACCAAAAGCGGACGTGGCACGAATTGCAGAAATTTTAGAAGGAATTGGTTTCACCGTAATTTGCCTAATTAATTTAACATTAATCGAAATGAGAAATGCAATATCAATATTTAGCGAAGCATTGGTGGATGGCGTTTATGGTATTAAAAAAAAAATGGAAATTCATTCCAAAAGTATAATTGAAACATTTATACATTTTTTTCAAATTATAAAAATTTTTACAGGTTTATTTTATTTTGCGGGTCATGGATTTAAAATGCAAGAGAGTTATATGTTGCCGATTGATGCGCCAGAAGTTTATTTGAGAAATAATGCTATTTGCGAAAGTCAATTATTATCAGTTGTTTTGAAAAATGATCCTGCTCTTTTTGTTACTATTTTAGATGTCTGTCAAACAGTTCCGTCCAAGTGTGTAATATAAATAAGAGAAAAAAAAAACATAATTAAATAATGAGCCAAAAGTTTTGAACGTTCAAATGAACAAAATATTTTTTTTTAATCTATAAAGTATTAAAAATTATAATGTCAATGTAAAATAAAACAGTAAATTAAACAATTATTAAATTAAATAACTTCTTTTTAGATATTTAAAACAATATTTTGTAATAAAATTCGTACTTAAAGAAGTTGCAAAAAAATTTTGTTCATTTGAACGTTCAAAATTTTTGGCTCATATTAAATAAATTTTTAATTAAGATAATAAGTTTTGTAAATGGAATATATTTTTTTTTTCTTTTAGAGAAGTGAATCCTGAAATTCACAAAGAAATTCCTTTAGTGAATGAATATAAAGGAGGAAAAAATCTGAGAAATTTAATTCAAGCCTATTCAACCTCAAGTCATCGTCCAAGTTATGAAAGAAGTGGCAACGAATGTGGAGTATATGCAAAACATCTTAGTAAATTTCTTGATATGGATATACCAATAAATAAAGTTTTTGAAGAAGTTGGAAAATGTAAGTTTTTTCATTGAATTTTTTTTTCTATTTACAGGTAATAATAATCTATTTTTATTTATTCAGCTATTGATACCTGGTTAAAAGGAAAAGCTAGAAACCAAATTCCTATGGTTTCTTCTACAATTACAAAACCGTTTCGTCTCACTGATTCTACCTCAGGAAGTAATTTAAATATTTTTTTTAAACAATGAAATATTTATTAATTATCATATTTTACGCTGCAATTATTTTTCAGATAAACCTCCGTCAGCATTTATTAAAATTAGTCAATTAATCGCATTTCCCGAAAAAGTGATTGATATCAGTTTTGAGAAATGTGAAATAAAAGGGAAAATTTTGGTTTCTCCGTTCATGAAACCATATTTAAATATTGTTCGAATCAGATTATTAAATTCAGACAATTATGATGTGAATTTTTATAATTCTGTTCCTGCAGAAAAAAATAGTTTATATCAAAATTTAAAAACAAAAGAATGTTGGGTTCATAATCCACAATTTATAAAAGTAAGTTTATGATTCTTTATTTTATTATATTTGTTATAATAAAAAATCATAATAATAAAAAAAAATTTCATTTCATAGGGGCCATTGGTAATATGTCTTTTAAAAAATGGGGTACCAATTGGAGCAGCATTATTTGACTTTATGAATTATATTCCACTTTTATTAAAACATTTACAATGAAAAAAGTTTTGAAAAATTTTGTTAATGACTTGGAAAAAAGAAGTCAATGTTTTCAATTATGAATTTTATATTTGTTATATTTTTAAAAGAAGTGCAAATATTTATGTATTACTGGATATAATTATTTATAAAAAGCAAATACTTTGTTAATAAATATTAATTTATATTTTAATAAAAGTTTCAATAATAATTCAATCAGTTTTCAACAATCCTGTATCAGTAGGGTTTCAGTAGGGAATTTTTTTCCAAAAAAAAATTGGGGCTTAATTTTATGATGATGAAGTCCGCAACGTTTTTATAAACGAAAACGAAAAAATAATTAGACAATATCTATTAATTTGGGTTAAAATTTAAAATTTTAAATAAACGATTTTTAAAGAAATCATTTTTTAAAATGAAAAATTCTATAATTTTTTGCATAAAAAATATTTTTTTATAATTTGTTGATTAATGAAAACCACAAAAAATATATTTTTTAGGCAAAAAATTATAGAATTTTTTATTTTAAAAAATTATTTCTTTAAAAATCGTTTATTATAAACGTTGCGTACTTCAGTTTCGTTAATTTCTTGAAAGTTTGTGCAAATCAAAATTAGAGATAAATTGACATGAAAAAATAATTCTATTTTAATTTTTCGTTCTTGAAAACGTTGCGAACTTCAACCTCATTTAATTTTTAAAAAATACACATTATAAATTCAATGTTTTCAAAAATTATAAAATATCAATTAGAAATATCATAAAAATCAAATATAAATTTTTAAAATTCAATAATTAAGTAAATATTTCATAAAATATATAAAAATTATTAATAAAATGCAATAAGTATAAAAATGTTTAATCTCACCACGATGATACTGAAAATAATGGTATATTAATAAAATGTACAAAACAAATTATAAAAAAGTATAAAAATTTTTTATCTCACCACGATGATACTGAAAATAATAGTACAATATACATAATACACAAAATAATAGAATATAAATGAAAATATTAAAAGTGTTAAGAGCATACGAGAGAAAATAGAATTTATTTTTTTAATAGAAAAAAATAAATGTTTAGTATAAAAAAATTATTTTAGTTACTATTTTATAAAATAGTCATAGAAATATTTTCCATTTAACCTTTACTTATTGTCTCTCATATTGTCTCTTAAAACAACACAGTGGCGCAAAAAAATAAATAATGTAATAATACAATTTTTCCATTCACGCCAAAAATTTAAAAAAAAAAAAAATTTATACGCTTTCCTACCTACGCTGTATCTAAAAAATCTAGAAGAAAAAATAATTTACCACAATCACACACAAGTACGAAAAATATTTTACCTAAATCCTGTATTTAAAATAAAAACCCCAAACCCCGCGAAACAATCATACAACGTCAGGAACTGTATTCTTTCATACCGCCCAGGTGCAATAAACCTAAACTAGGGATTACGTCCCGGGACGTATATCCGTCACCTGAGCTCAAAACATCAAATAGCAAAAATATGGCACAAAAATTCAAATACATAAGTAGGATGTTCAGCGAAAATTATTAATTAATTTTAAATATTCCAATAAAGAATTAATTTCAAAAGCGTTTACTTTTTCACTAAATTGACCATTATTAATTATTCAGATTTAAAGAACTAAAAAATTAAGTCATGAAAATTGTAAAATTTTAATTTATAAGAAATAATCTTATTTAATTAAAATTTTCGGTTGAAAAAAAATCTGGAATCAAAAAAATTTTCTAAACACTGAACACCCTAGACAAATAAATCATTGACATAAATATAAATTTGTATTTTAACAACAGTTATATAATACAAAATAATAATTTATGTCAATGTGCGTCACCATGTTGTTTAAATTAAAAAATCACTCACCGATCGCGGAGTTCCAGCGTCGCGATATAATATAGGGGGCCGTTCATTAATTACGTAAGGACAATTAGAAAAAAATTTCTTAAACCCCCCTTTACCTTTACAAAAGATTTTGACAAGAAAAAAGAATAAAAGAAAAACAAAAGAAAAAAAACCATTAAAAAATTAAATTGTTATAAGTAAAATATTTCGTAAAAATGTCTTTAACCCCCCCCCCCCAAAAAAAAGAGAGCCATTACGTAATTAAAGACCCCCAGAAGCGTTGCTCTGCCCTTTTTCTCACCGCTCTGTAATCCTCCATTCCAGCTCCATTGTTGTCAGCACAGCTTCCTCATGGACCAGCTCGCGTTGAAGATATATATGTATCCTAGACTGCTGTTCTCTGCGCCTTTCTTCACCACTGCCTTATCCTCTTTCAGAACAACACTTTATTTCACTAACACTCATATTGCGGAAAACTATTGCAAATTTATCCCGCACACACAATAGTCAAGGAGAACAAATCTCTAAATGTTTCTTCATTTTCAAATTAATTAAATAGTTCCAGCACAACCACCGTTATGAACACGAGAATATTCCGAGAATTTTGAATAGTTATTTGTCTATAAATACTTCGTACTACTATCGCTGCCTGTAAACAATGCATTCCAATATTTTCTTCACTTAATAATTTAACCTTATCCCATATTATAGGAATCACACGCATTAAAAGTTTGTAATCACTAAAATGTTCTTTATTGAAATATTAATTAATATATATTAACCGAAGAAATAATTCAAGAATATTAAAAATCGTTCAACAATCGACACTATACATGAGCTTCTATTGTTTATTACACCCGGTAACAGAGCATTAATCGCGATAAAGTTTATGCGAAATTAATAAATATCCCGCACGATAATTGTTCACTAATAAAAATTCCGAAACGTTTCTATAATTCACGAACATTTTCGACACTACCGTATAACTAAATATAAAAAAATTTAACAAGAAAATGTAAAAAGTTTAATCAACACTTGTTGAAAACAAAATGGCGGCTGCTTATACTGTTTTGGCGCCATATTGTGCACTTTACAAGGGGAGGGTGTACGGAAGGGGGAATGACTCCGAAACACTGCACTACTGCACTCAAATTACCTTTGTTGAAGTTTTATTTAATTCACTCACGATAATTATTACGATTTGATAAAAATTCAAAATTGTCCCTAATTCACGAACACTTTCGACACTCCCGTTTAAATAAATAACAAATAATTTAACAATAAAACATACCGACTTGTAATTTTTTTCTATCAACGGTCTGAACAGGGAATTAGTATGGAACAAGGAATGGCAAATTATAACGGTTTTCAGAGAGAAAATATTACTTGCAAAATTTAATAAAATTGTTCCAAAAAAAAATTTATGTTAAAATTAATCAATATTTCCCGCACAATATAAATATTTTTACCTTTTATCACTTAATATCACGAGAATATTCTTATATTTTCACACCGACGACCACTTTGGAAGAAACAATGAGCTGATATTTTAGAATGTATATTATAAAAATGCAATAATACGATAGATTTGCTACTTAATATTTTAAAAAATTATTTTCTTAAAAATACTACTGAAATTACTCAAAAAATGTTGAGAAAATTGAGTTTAACCGAATAGAAGAAATATATACTAAAACTTTCAAATCTATAATTTTGATATGCAAACTTAACAGAAGCTAAAGAATCTAACTTTATTGGCAACATCGAGCTATATTTTCACTTATTTACTATTAAAAACTAAAAAGAATGATAGAAAGATTGAAAATTTGCGAATAGTTATTTCTTCTTTAACAAAATTTACCGAACGCTACGCACACTATTCACTCTTCCAAGGCGGCCGCCATACTGAATTAGCCTTCGGGCCTGCGCGCGAGTGCGCAATTCTCGAGCGCTTCCAATTGGCCGACCGTACGAACCAATAAGCAATCGAACTGCGGAGAACCGCGCGAATTTTAAACACGAAAATAAACATAAATCGATTAATAACGTTATTATTTATCATAAATTATTATAAAATAGTTATTTAAATATATTATATATTACAATTTAATATTATAAATATTTTACTGCTCGTAGTAAAAATAGGAAAATATGTATAGACCTTAAATGTATCCAATATTAAAAATGATAAATTATAATTAATAATAGGAAAATATTTAATATTAATTAATTTATATTTAATTAATATAAATTAATAATAATTTAAATAAATAAATAATATATAAATAATTGTAATAAACATAATAATTGTAATTAATTATAATTATTACAATAATATTATTATTAATAATAATTAGTATTATTATTATTTAATAAATATGTAACATTATTTTGTAATTGAAATTAAAATTAATAAATAAAGCTTATTTCCTTTTTCTTCTATTTTCTTGACAAATGAATTCTTTTTCTTTTGTCTTTTTTTTATTTTTAATTTCGTTACCACGGTAACGTCAATCAAATAAATAATTAGTTTTTTTTCCAACATGAAACTTTTATAGTTTTTCAAAATTTTCAAGTCTATTATTTATAAACTAAATTTTTCTTCTACAATTTCTTATGAAAGATACATTCAAAATTCTTAGTTAATTTTCGTGAATAAATTTTTCGGCAAATCCTTTCAAAATGGTATTAAAAAAAAAAATTTTTCATTTAAAAAATACATCTCGGAAAATTTTAATTTAATAAAACAAAATTTTCCTAAATAAATTAAACTAAAAAAATAAAAATGTTTAACGTTGTAAAATAAATTTTTAAAATTAGATAATGTTAATAAAAATAATTATTCACAGCGGGAGTGTATATCAATGCATATTGGCCAAGCTGGTGTTCAAATGGGAAATTCCTGTTGGGAATTATATTGTTTAGAACATGGAATACAACCCGATGGAACAATGCCTTCCGATAAAAAAGTATCATTTTCCAGTGATTGTTTTAATACATTTTTCAATGAAACAAGCAGCGGAAAAATGGTTCCACGTGCAATTATGGTCGATTTGGAGCCAACAGTCGTTGGTAAAAAAATTAAAAATAATTAAATAATTATATGAAAATAATTATAAATGAATCACCAATTGTTAATTAATTGTAATTTACTTAATTAAAATATTTCAATGAAAATTAAATCTGATTTTTTTTCAGATGAAGTTCGAGTTGGTCTCTACAAGCAACTCTATCATCCGGAGCAATTGATAACCGGTAAAGAAGATGCAGCGAATAATTATGCGAGAGGACACTATTCAATTGGTCGAGAAGTAATTGAATCGGTAATGGATAGAATTCGACGATTAACTGATTTGTGTACTGGACTTCAAGGATTTTTCGTCTTTCATTCGTTTGGTGGTGGTACTGGTTCTGGATTTACATCACTTTTAATGCAACGACTCTCAGAAGATTATGGAAAGAAAAGCAAACTACAATTTGCCATTTATCCTGCGCCACAAGTAAATTAAATTCCACAATTTTTTTTTCAAATTTAAAAATTTTCAAAATCTGCAATAAAATCTCAAAACAAAATAATGTTTTTCAATGAAAATATTTCACAGGTATCAACAGCAGTGGTTGAGCCATATAATGCAACATTGACAACTCATTCAACAATAAGTCATTCAGATTGTGCATTTATGGTCGATAATGAGGCAATTTATGAGATTTGTCGAAAAAAATTGGGAATTGAACGACCAAGTTATGCTAATTTAAATCGATTAATAAGTCAAGTTGTTTCATCAATAACAGCCTCATTAAGATTCGATGGTGCATTAAATGTTGATTTAACGGAATTTCAAACAAATCTCGTCCCATATCCAAGAATTCATTTTCCACTTGCCACATATGCGCCAGTTGTTTCGTCTGATAAAGCATTTCACGAGGGAATGTCTGTCGGTGAAATAACAGCCGAATGTTTTGAGCCATCAAATCAAATGGTAAAATGTAATCCACGTGAAGGAAAATATATGGCCTGTTGTCTTCTTTATCGAGGCGATGTTGTACCCAAGGATGTTAACGCTGCAATTGCAGCAATGAAGGGTAAAAGTTCCATTCGATTTGTCGATTGGTGTCCAACTGGCTTTAAAGTTGGTATAAATTATCAACCACCAACTGTTGTTCCTGGAGGCGATTTGGCAAAAGTAAGATTTTTCTCACAATTTCTTTTTTCCAGAAGAAAAAATTAATTTTTACATTTTAGGTTCAACGAGCCGTATCAATGTTATCAAACACAACGGCTATTGAAGAAGCATGGTCAAAATTGAATCACAAATTCGATTTGATGTACAATAAAAGAGCTTTCGTTCACTGGTACGTTGGTGAAGGAATGGAAGAAGGTGAATTTTCCGAAGCTAGAGAAGATCTTGCGGCACTCGAAAGAGATTACGAAGAGGTCTCACTTGAATCGCCAGCTACGCCAGATACTTGTTCCGAATTCTAAACGAAATTCCAATATTTTTTTTTTTTTTTGCTGTAACATTGAAAAAACAGATCAAAAAAATTGCATTTTTCAGAGCATAAAAAAAAATTTGTATCTTCAACCAATGAAATTGTAAAAATGTATAAAATTTTGAATATTAGAAAAAAATATAGATTTTACGTCAACTAAAAGTTAGATTTTTTTAAAAAAAATTTTTTAAATAATTTTCCTCACCCAAAGAAAGGAACAGCGGAATATAAGAATGCCTGAAAATTTCTGTCATTAATTTTATTCGATAAAAATTCAGTCAAAACTAAGCGAGGGAAAAAAAAATTATTAATTTCATAAAATCGAACTACAGATATGCATTTTTAAAAAGAAAAAAAAACGACTTACTCTGACGCGTTATATTTTCAAGTTAACTAAATACTATTAACTCAGACATTCTCTTGTATACAGTACAAAAAATTTTGAAGATACACAATGAGTCACGAAAGACACACTTAACTTCAAACTCCGATTATAATAACAATTTAATGAAATAAATCTCTGTCTTATGATTTTCAGTACAAATTTCTCTCTATAATCATCGTCAGAAAAAAAGGTACATAACATCTTTTTTTTTTTTTAAACACAATAGAAAATTTGAATTGAAAATGAATTTTTCTTTTTCAGTTACATAAAGAACGTTATATAGATGCATATATTTTCAATTATATTTTATTATATTTAATATTAGTTTAATTGAAGTTTATCATGTGTGTGTGTTAAATAGAATATTATAAGTATTGACTATGTACACATAATTTTTTTGATGTTAATTTACATCCAATGAGAAACATTAAAATTTGTTTTAAAAATTGAATAAATGCTTTATAGAGATGTACTGAAAATCTTAAAACTTCATTGTCCATTAAGCCAGAAAAATTGGCTGTAAAATATTGATTCATTCACAAAAAGTAGTCAGTTTGTGGCTTTTTGCTTGGAATTCCTCGGCTTTCTTGTGGTGCAGCTTCAAATATCGTAAAGTCCCTTTGAAGAAGTTCGTTTAATTCTAAAATCGCAGCCACGTTGCCACATCTAGATTAAAAAGATTAGAAAATTTTTTATCTTTTATCTTATATTTCTTTTTAAATAAGATAATAATTTTAAATATTGATCTGATTTATTATCTTATTTTCTTCATTTTATTGAATAAAAACCCCAAATTCAAAACTAAATGAATTAATGAATAATTAAGAGTAATTAATCAAATATTAAATTAAAATTTTTTTTTACCTATAACAGTAATTAGGCGCAGACCAAACGGTTAAAACAGTCTCATTAAAATGCCATTTATATCCTTCCATTACCAGCTGATGAGCTCGACAAATCATGTCAATGTCATTAGCAGAATTAAATTGTGCTACAACATCGCTGCCAAATAAATAACCAGCTCCTCGAGGCGATACACCCCAACCTTGAGTATCTTCGGGATCTGACCATAAAAGATCACACATTGGTCCATCGTGAGGTACCTAAAATTTTATTAACATTGAAAAAGAAACTTACTATAAAAAAGAAAAATAATTATACAAGAAATATTTTTAATTAAAAAATAAATTTTCTATTCAAATTAATAATTTTTATTTTTTACCTCCTGCTTCCTGTCTATTGTGCGAATTTGATCGAGTGTTTGTATACTAGGCGACAAACCACCATGAACACAAAATATTCGCCCATCAATAATAGCTGACAATGATAAATAATCAAAAATCTCTGTGCAATAACGCCACACTGTATTACTGCCATATTTTCTTAAACACTCGTCATAAAAGCCATACACTTGGGTAATTTGTCTTGATTCGTGATTTCCTCGGATTAATGTAATTCTATCTGGATAACGAACCTGGAATGTTTTTTTTTTCATTAGAAACTTTTAATCATAAAATTAAATTTTAAAGTTTTCTTTTAAAAGTATTTTTAAAATTAATAGAAATATCAAATAATTAAGAAGAACAAAAATTACTTTGAGAGCAAGAAGAAGTAAGAACGTTTCAACACTGTAAAAGCCTCGATCAACAAAATCACCCATAAATAGATAATTCGTTTCCGGAACATCACCCCCTACTTTAAATAATTCCTTCAGATCATAAAACTGACCGTGAATGTCACCACAAACCTGTAAAAATAAAAAATGTTTTTTTTTTAAATATAAATTAAAATAAAGTTATTGAGCTTCAAACAATAAATTGTACAAAGCATATTTTATAAGGAAATAATAAATAAATAAAAAATAAACAAATATATAGAAAAATAAATATTTTTACTTACAGTAACTGGAGAGTCAACTCTTTGCACATTACTCTCTTCTATAAGAATCTCCCGGGCTTTTGAACAAAGAGCCTTTACTTCTGCTTCCTTTATGATTTCGCATTTTTTCAATTGCTCGATTTGCCGATCCAAATCACTGGAATCGGCCATTTTTCAAACAGAAATAGTTTACCTATTAAAAATAATTAATAAAAAATTAAATACACATTTTCCATCTCCAAGTTATTATTTAGTTTTAATTTTCAAAAAACCTTTTTATACACTAAAGAAATATTTTCTTATTTTTTGAAAAAAAAATCTATATTTCTTATAGTTTGTTTTACATTATTGAAACACGCGTAAATTAAAAATATAAAATTACATCATAATATTTATTGATTTATCACAATAAGGTCGTAAGCCAAGTTAGTTGAAACGTACTTTATCTAATAAAGGAAAATATCAAATATTCTCGTAACAAAAATTTTATTATTTTAATTCTTTACAAGAATAAACAATCAAAATTAATTGTAAATTATACTTAATATAAAAAAAAACGATTAACAAATTGTAAAATAATATTTTTTTTTCCCAAAAATCATTAATTAAAATTTTAAAGCTTAATTTTCTAAAAATATTGAAAAATAATAAAACAAAAATTAACCTTGAATCAAATTAAGATTTGTTTATAAGCTGTACAAAAATAAATTGCACTATACAAAATATACAAGGACATTTTAAGCAGGAAAGAAAATCAATGTCTAACTTTTTGCAGAAATAAACAAAATTTAAGTTTGCAAAAATCATTGACATACAACTTATGGAAAAATAGACAAAAATATAATTACAAAAAAAAAGGAAATAAGCAATGAATTAAGATAAAGCTTCCCCATTATACTCCTAAAAATTGGCAAAACGTTTTTTACGTGGTAAGTAAACATTTGGACAATTTAAGTATAATTAATCATTCTAAATAAACTAATATTCTCAGAAAATATAAAGCAAGCTTAAATATACTCACCTTATATTGACAAATGTAATAATTTGCAGAATATCAAGAAAGTTCGTTTTAATTTAAATTAGAAAATGCAACACAACCTTTCATTTCTCTGGCACTATCATCATAAAGTAAAAAATGATTTAGATGAGTAACCAAGTATACCGAAAATCGGGCGGTGTCTTTTATTAATGTCAATACAAAACTTTCACTTAACTATTTCAAACACAATAATTTTTCTGTTATTAATCAATTGAAATTTATTTAAATTCTAAAAAAATAACTTAAATTAAATGACAAATTTATAAATAAAACATTTTTTTGCAGACTTCTTTAACAAGTTTACAAAAATAATCACCAGATGGCATATTACCATTTTCCGTACTGCGACATTTTTGATTGGTTAAAGAATTGGACAATTAAAGTGCGCACTTCCGGAAAAAGTTTTTGATTTTTATACTACACATGCGCAATTAAAGAAAAAAAGGAGAGTATTATATTTATTTGTTCTCTCACTCTCTCATACATCTTTTCTTTAACAATGACAGCTCTCTATGTATAAAGTTCAGTGTTTGCATATTTCATGCTTCATTACACGTAGATTTATTTGTAATGATCAAAAGCAACACAAAAAGTAATAAGCTTTTGAGAGATTTGACAGAAATTGGAAATGAATTGCAATGGCAAACCATCCATTAATGATAAAGTTCTGTCAAATATTTCCATGGAAAACAAATCAATTATTACATGTAAGTTTAGTTTATTTTTTACATTATAGAGAAGATTTAATTGTCATTGTTATGAACGCCCCCAAAGAAACTGTCAATCAACACATTTCTTCTTTTTTTAAATCTAATCAATAATGTAATTGATATATCTTGACCTTTATCACGGTCCATAATTTGCATATAAAATGCTCGTATTACGTTTTAAGAATGTTGATTATTTTCTTATGTCTTTTTTTGTTTAAATAGATGTATTTTTCAATGTTTGTTTATATTTAGTTAATAATAGATATTTAAAATTTGATTTGTTTTTTAGAATTTAATTATTTTTAAGTTTAAACAAGTTAACCTAGAAATGAAATTAAAATTTATATTTTTTTTTCTTCTAATTAGGTGCTGGAGATGAGGCATTATTTACTAGTTTGGTGAATAATCTTGTTAAAGCAGTATCAGATGAAACTGTTGAATGGCGTAGATCTTTCAGTCAATTGCCAATTAAAAAAGTTAAACTCAATCCCAGATTTATTCCATTTTCCAGTGATATTTTGCCTGGAGATAAAAATTGGCATCTCGTCAAACAACCAATTTTTCATATATACTGGACAGAGTGTTCGGTAAGTTTTTTTTTTATCAATTAAAATTTTTTTTAAAAGAAAACTGATTAAATTTATTTTTTTTTAATAGAAGTTATTTATGATTCTTTTAATCGTTTTTTTTAATAATTTACAGGACGTTGATGTTTACAAATCTTCTGTAAAAGATGACATAGATAAATGGTTAAAAACTCTAGGAAATAATTTTCAAGATTGGATGATAGTAATTGTAGAAACTTACGATATTAAAAAAAGTAATAAATTGCTTCCAAGAACGACAGTTCTAGATAAAATTCGAAATGATTTTGGATCAAAACATGGAGACAGGTAAATTTATTTTTCATTATTCGTTTAATTAATGAAATTTAATAATTAACTGTATATATTTAATAGCTTCACTTAAATAATTATTTTAATAACAAATTAATTGATTATTTTTAAATTAATTTCGTAGATGCATATCGATTATTAATCCAATTAAGTCTGAATCGCGATCGGCTGAATCGTGGAGAGGTTTAGTTGTGCGAATACGACAATTAACACTAATTGCATATGACAAAGCACTTGTACGATTTAGAGAAATCATAAAAGATCATCGCGAAAAACGAAATCAACTTGGTTGGAATTTTTGCCATTATTTTCTTCTACAAGTGAGTTTGTTTTCTATTTATTATTCTGAAAGACTAAAGGTTTTATTCCTTAAGTATTCCTTTAGGAAAATTTAATTCTTAAAAATTAAGAAAAAAATATTTTATATTTTTGCAGGAAGAACTTGCATTTGTTTTAGAAGTATTAGGTTTATATGACGAAGCTTTGATACAATATGATGAATTAGATGCACTTTTTACACAGTTTGTACTCAATTCAAATGTCGGTGGTGAGTACAATTTTCAAACTAATTAATAAATTTTGTTTATTTCTATTAATTTTTATATATTTTATATATTTTCCTTACATGTATCGGAATTTATTTTTATTTTCTATATCATAGATACGGCTGTCTGGCTTAGTACGTTTCAAATTCCATTGAACAATTGGTCAGGTGTAAAATTAAATAATACCGTTGATCATCAATTGAGACTGATGTTGGCTGAATGTAAAGCTTCATTACTTGATCTGAGGAGTTATTTGTTTAGCAGACAAGCGGCAATGTTATTGTTACGCAATATGCCTTGGGAGGTATGTAATAATTTCAATTTTAGAAAAAAATTAATTCAATTTTATATTTAATTTAATTTAAATACTAAATATTTTGTCAATAGATTGCGCAAAGATGTTTATCATTCATACACAATACCCTCAGTGAATTGCAAATTTTGGAAATTCAAAAACCAGAAGGTGCCGTCGAATGTTGGGCTTTTCTTTGTGCATTAGAGGTACTTCACGCTTGTCAATTATCGATGGCAAATTCGGAAAACAATCAACAAGTTGATCGATGTTCTGTTCATACGGCGAGTTTATGGGCAGTTGCTAAAGATAAGGTATTTCAAAATATATCAATTTTTTTTGTAAATTTAGGTTTTTTGAATTTTAAAAATTTCAGTTGGAGGCATTGGGAAGATTGTGCGGTCTCATGCCAGGCAGTGAACCGACAAGTGAACAATTACACACTGTCGTTTATTTAATAGCCGGAATAGGAGATTCGGAACCGCAAGCAATGGGGAAACCAACGCCAATTGATAAATTAAAGGAGGCATTGTCCTCGAAGGAGGCATTTAAAAGACAATATCTTGAACACGCTGAATTGGCAATGGGAACATATAAACATATAGGACGTATAAGATCGGCACGTTTAATTGGTAAGGATCTTGCAAATTTTTACACGGAATTAGGTGAAAATCAAAAAGCCGTTGCTTTTCTATCGGATGCCTTACAAACATATACAGATGAAGGATGGTTACATTTGGCAGCACAAACACAATTAGAATTGGCTCAATGTTATAAAAGAATGGACGATGTTGAACGTTATACAAAAATATCAGCTGCAATTGCAAGTAATAAAAGTTTACATATAACTGTTCGTAATACATATTTTGAGGAATTAATGGGTTATATGAAAATGTTGTCTTCCCCAAAACCATTGCTCACTGAACTCATTGATTGTTTTACAATACTCAGTATGGAAGTTAATGTCACGGACAAAGTGGTACAGGATTGTATAGTTAGTATAGAGATTAGTGTACAAAGTTTACTACCAAGAGAAGTAAAATGTAATCTTGCTTCTGTCTCTGTTGAAGAAATACAGAAGCCACAGGTGCCTAATAATAGAAGAAAGGGAACGAAATTACCCAACGAACCACAAATAGAATTGTAAGTATTAATTTTGAAAAAAAAAAGTCGAGTTTGAAATTAAATTTAAATTGTTTTCAGATTATTAAAATGTACAATTGATGTGAAGAAATCTATTTATGAGAGTTTGTCGATATCAATGAATTCAAAGTTCGAATTACAAGAGGACCAAAGTATGTGGCTTGCCAAGGCGAATCCACAAATTGTCAAAATACCAATAAGAAGATCGGATAGTACAAAACATCGAAAACCATCGGCCAATATGAAAAGTGATTTTAACAATGCTCTTGTAAGCGATGAATTTACATTGCAACCGGGACAAAATACAATAATTGTTAAACGAAGATTTGAAACACCCGGTTTTTATAAAGTTGGTCAATTATCGTTGATAATTGAAAATAAATTAGAATTTTTATCCTCGATATTAAGTCCACGATTGTGTTTTCAAATAGCAAAAACACAACCAACAATTTCGTTAAATTCAACAAGGGATTTATTAGCCGGTCTTATTCAGGATATCGAATTAGTTATTTCTAGTGGAAGTGTAAAAATAACTGAGAATGAAATCTTAAAATTAAGAACATCACGTGGTTTCACATTACAAATTGACGATAATGGAACATCGGGACTTAAGGAATATAATATTAAATTACCAAATTGTGAACCATTTCAAATATCAAAAATTCCTTTGAAAGTGTTTGCCGATCTTTCGCCGAAAAAAGAATCCTCGTCCATAGAGCATAAGGTAATAAAATTGAAAAAATTTCTTCTCGAATTATTAAATAATTGTGAATTTTTCTTTTTTCAGTTAAATATACAATGTCCATGGGGTATAGAAGAGAGTATAGATCTCAGTTTTGCTCCACCTTTAATGTCAGTTATGAAATTACACACGGCTAAACAGAGAAAATATCTTCAAATTTTAGTAACAGGATTGAGTAATCAATTGTTACAACTCACTGAACCACAATTAACAAGTAATTCATCGGTAGATGTTAATTTCAAAAGTTTAAATCCTCTTGCTGGACAAAAATTAATAATTGGTAAAGAAATGAACGTGTCATTTATGTGGGAACTTGAATTTGGTAAAAATGAAAAATCTCCAATGCCTATTAAAACTGATTTTCGAGTTAAATATATTCCAATAAATTCTCACGAGGAAAATGACGAAGAAAATGATCCATTACATATTCAGGATTTACAAAAATTGGAGGAAAATAGCAATGTCTATAAATGTAATTTCGACATTATTGACTATGTGGTAAGTAAAATAAAAAAAAAATGATTTCTTTCACCTCATTCTGTGTTTTTTGTATTTTTTCATCAACGAAGCACGATATAAATGTGAATTTTTTTTTTTTAAGAGTATATAATTGTTGAGAATTTGCGCTTCTAACAAGCATTCTTCAGACATTGTTTACAGTGACGTCGAAAATTGAAGCTATTGGAGGCGGAGGTGATTTCTGCCGTGCAGGCAGCATGTGCCATCTTTATCTCACAGTGACACGCATGTTACCTACTTCCAATCCAACTCCTTCACCTCAACTTATGTACGAAGTTTTGGCTGATCAAACAATGTGGGCTGTTTGTGGAAGAACTGCCGGCATTGTATCATTGGAGACTCTTGAGAAACAGAGCGTTACTTTAGATGTAATGCCTTTAACAAGCGGTTACTTGCCCCTTCCAGTTGTTAGATTATCTCGATATATTCCCGCCACGGAATCAAAGAATGGTACGTTTTTCAATTATTGTTTTTATTTTTCTTTTACATCATTCTCGAACATTTTCATTTTAAATTCTTGTAAAAATAATTCATTTTTAATAATACTAATGAAAATAAATTTAGATAAATTAATTATTTTAATTTTTGTTTATCAATTACAGATACATCTCGAAAAAATGAAATAACATCGGGACCGAGACTCGAACCTTTTAGCCCCGGACAAGTTTATAATGCGAGTAAGGCTCAACAAGTTCATGTTTTGCCAACAGCGCCATCAGAAACAACCTGATGATAAAAATTAGGAAAATTGAATAATAATTTTTGTAAATTAATGTATATCTTTGCAAAGGTGAAATTGTCAGAAGGATATCAATGCACATTTTTTGTAAGTATTTATTGTACATTTAAAATGAAATTAAATGTAATAATTTTTAAATGAAAAAAAAAAAATGAAGCCTTTGAAAAGATAACAGAACACTCTGCCATTAAATATCTAGTAATATTCTGACAATACAAAATAGTGCAGGAGATATATCAAGAGCTATTTTGTGAATAGCTTTAAAAGCCACTTAGTTTTTATTAAATTCATTGATTCTTCTCGATATCAAAAAAAAAGCGAGAAAATCTCATTCGTATTTGATTCATCAGGGATAAATGATTCCATCATTTTTTTTTCTTTTATAAAGCTTAGGTGTATCATAGATTAAAAATTATTTATTTATCTAGATCGAACTGTGTACTTATATGTATAGAGTAACGATAATTCTGTATACATTTATATACTCATTATTTGCACTTGTTAATATCTATTTATACAAGTTGTACGATGTAAAATATGGCATATATATAAATGGAAAGTTGTTAAGTCGTTTCATATATAAAAATCTGGTATCTCGTTAATTTTAAGATATAGAATTGTGAAACACGAGGTTTTGGTTTTAATCATCATAGTTGAGATTTTCCTAATTATTATATTGTAAGTCGATTTTATTCTAGCCAAAATTTATTTAAACTTTTCCAATTGATATTTTAAATTTGTTTAAATTAATTTTAATGCTGCCATTTATTACTTTTTTTTATATAATTTATTATACGGGTTCAACTATAATTTATTTTTAAAAGTCCAAAGACAAATTGAATTCGTCTTCCGAAGTTTATAAAAATGAAGATTGAATTCCATTAAACAGTAATTTTTTTTTTTTTATTATATATTAATGTTTAAAAGATTTATTTTGTCAATTTATTTCGACTGTTGACTTATTTAGAAATTTTAGTTTTGTAATTAAAAATATTGAAATTACATTTTTAATAAAAAAAAATTTTCTATCAAATACTCTGGTATGAATATTATTATTAATCCTATATTTAAAAATTATTTTAAATATATAATGAGGGAAATTAAATTATAAATAATATTTGAGAAAAACTTAAAAAATATTTATTAAATATTAAACTTATATTTATGAAAGTAACATAAAATTATTAAAATTTAATAAGTAGGTAGAGGTTTTTGAGTTAAAAGTAATCCAAATCTTCTCTTTAATGTTATACGTTCTCTTGAATATTTATCTTCAGGAGAAAATCGAGCTATAATTAAAATAAAATTAATAAGTTAATTATTTAATTACAAGGAAAATATTATCAAAAAATGTTGATTATTTAAATTATTAAATACCTGGATGCGCCGACATGGTGGGTTTTCCATTAGGATCCATTTTCTGAAAATTAAAAAAAGGAAAAAATATTATTTACATGCACAATTTATTTTTACAATATATGTAATCATAAACAAGACATTTTGAGGTTATGTTCTAAAAATCAATGTTGTGTATTTATTGTTCAAATAAATTTTTAAAATAATTAATACTCATGGCAAACAATAGAAAAAGTAATAAACTAATTCCTTTCAAATTATTATTAATATCTGTAGCAAAATTAACAAAATAAACCAATTCTAATAATTTGGAGCTCACCTTTAGTGTATAAACACGTTTTCCATCTGTATCGAGATAATACATTAGATACATATTTCTTTTGTGTTAAATAAAATTCTGCGAGAATTAACAATGTCAACTGTCTAATTATTTAGAAATTAGAGAAAGTAATTAGAATAAATATCAGCAAAATAAACTTTAACCTATATCTTCAAGACACACGTGCTATAGCAACAATGCAATTAAAGAGACATACACTTGAACTCGGCAGTGTCAAGCATTTGGCGCTAAACACAACATTTTCAAAATGATGAAACATTTTTTTCTTTCTTTCAAAATTGTTACATTAGAATCTTTTTATTCAAAATTATAAAAATTCTTGTACTATATTTCTATTAAACATTTGATAATTGAAATTATTGTATAGTAATTATTATAATTGTTTTACTTAAATTAAGAGTATTTATCATATTGGTAGAAGTGTTTTCCTCGTTTTTATACTTCATGTTGGCAAACCTGATTCTTCAGTTCCTAACCGCCAAAATGCAAGAAGTACAGAATGTCATTCTGGAAATAATATTTTTAAAAATTTACACTGTTTTTATAGGAAGATAATTAATACTTACGTCTCAATCAAGAAACTTAGTTAATGATCTTTATAAATTTCTTAATCGAAATGTAGCTGCACTACACAAAATTCATAAAGTACAACAATTGAAGCTGCTGTCATTTATTTTAATACAATGGAATGTGTCATATTACACACACATTAAGTGGATATCAATTGAAGTGGATTTTATCAAGTTGTTTATGCAAAAAAAAGGAAAATTTTAATCTCAAAGTTTTTCAATTCATGGGAATTTCCATTGTAGTGTTACAATTTGTACATGCCATTTTGATTGTCATCTTACAGTAATAAGTGAGTATTTGTCTTTATAACCTATATAAATAAACATTTACAATAATATTTTTCATTGTGTCTATTATTAGCAACACAAACAATAAGAAATTAAAAGATAATTCTATAATGAAATATATATCAATTATTTATTTAATTTAAATTCTTATTTTTATTATTTTCCATTAATGTACAATTCTTTTTCACTAGAAATTTTACTAGGGGGTGTAACTCAGTGGTAGAGTGTCCGCTTCGCATGCGGAAAGTCCTGGGTTCAAATCCCAGCTCCTCCAATAAAAGTTTAATTCTTTTTTTTCCTTTAGATTTAGAATTAATTAATTTTTGATTTTACTTTTCTAATTTTCTAAATTTCTCGTGTATATTGGATATAGATATATGTACACACGTGTTTTGTTTTTATTTATATATATAGAGAATAATTTATATAACTATTGTAAATTATATTTTTATCTTTTGAAAATTGTTTTTTAATCCAATGTTAGTAATAATTATAAACAAGATAATTTTCCAACATTGAAAAATGTTAACAGAAGGTCACTTGTAAAGATAATTACTTTTATATTATTTATCAGTTACAAATATCAGATTCTATAGCAAAATACCAGATTTTAACAAGTCTTGATTGTAGTATACACGTTAAGGTTTATTAATTTTATTATTTTAAAAACAAAAATTCAAAAATATATTACAAATAGATTTATTTTGTGAAATTTTTACTAGACTTGAAATAAAAATAAGTATTTGTTTCTTTAAAATTATTATTATTATTATTCTAATTAATTTTTTATTTAATTATTATTATTCTTTTATTATTATTTATTATTATTCTTTTATTATTATTTTTTTCTTCTTTAAATTATTGTATTTTTGCTTTTCAGATTTTGAAAATTAAGATGACTGAGAATTTTGACCCTACAGGTAAAGTCCTATACAAATCAAGTTATTATCAATCAATTTTTCAAAGATATTTATTAAAATTTTGTTTATAGAACATCAACATATTCGCTATAATCCCTTAAGAGGTGAATGGGTTTTAGTGTCACCGCATAGAATGAAACGTCCTTGGGGAGGACAAATGGAACCATTTAGCGATGAAGAAATTCCAGAATACGATCCTAATAATCCTTTATGTCCAGGAAATGTTCGAGCAAATGGTCAGGTACACAATTTTTTTTTATTACAGAAATATATATTTTTTTTTTTTTGAAAATTTTTATTAATTTAATTTCTAATTGTAAAAATTATTAATTTTTTCTTTACTTCTTAGATAACACCTAATTATGAAAAAACATTTTGTTTTGATAATGATTTTTCTGCTCTACTCGAGAATGTACCAAGTCCACCAAATTCAGATGATGAATTATTTTTAATGGGCTCTGCAAAAGGAAAATGCAAGGTGATGTGCTTTCATCCCAAATCGAATGTCACAATAGCACGTATGAATATAGATGAAATTGGTGAAGTCATCAAACAGTGAGCATTTTTTTCTTTTTTAATTAATTTAAATTTAATTCAAGGTTACAAAAAACAAGTTTTAAATCTAAAACGATAGTTTCATTTAAATTATCATTTTGATAAAAAAAAAAATTAAATTTAAAGATGGATCAAAGAAATGTTAGAATTAGGTGAAAAATGGACATGGGTACAAATATTTGAAAATAGAGGTGCTTTAATGGGATGCAGTAATGCCCATCCACATTGTCAAATTTGGTCTAGTTCTTTTTTACCAAATGAAGCTAAAATTAAGGACAAATATCTTCGCGATTATTATCAGCGAAAAGAAACTCCATTACTTATCGACTATGTTAAAAAGGAATTAAACAAAAAGGTCTTTAATTAAATTTCTAATTTATATTTTACTAAAATTAAATATGAAAAAATTGATTAGAATTTGTTTTAAAGGAACGAATTGTAATTGAAAATTCCGATTGGCTTGTAGTTGTGCCATTTTGGGCAGTTTGGCCCTACGAGACAATGGTCCTACCAAAAAAACAAATTCAAAGAATGCAAGATTTAAATGCAAATCAACAAATATCACTTGCAATTGTTATGAAAACACTTTGTTCGAAATACGATAAACTTTTTAATTGTTCCTTTCCATATTCCATGGGATGGCACGGTAGGATATTTTTTCATATATTGAAAATTCATTCTAAAAAAAAAAAAATAGGAGAAAAACTATTAATATAAAATTCCAGGTGCTCCTACTGGAAAATATCTAAAGGAGAATTGTAGTCATTGGACATTTCACGGTATTTATCTTCCACCTTTGCTTCGTTCAGCAACAATAAAAAAACATATGGTTGGCTATGAACTTTTAGCTCAAGTTCAACGTGATTTAACACCAGAGCAAGCGGCTGAAAAATTACGAAATATAGAAATTTAATTACAAGAAAAGAAAAAAACAATTTAAATCAATGAATTTTATTTCACACATTTGTTGTACAATTTTTTTTTTTTTTTTTTTTTTTGGTCAGAAACTGGATATAATATATAGCTTAAAATACTGTTTCATCAAATCAAATCCAAACTATGTGTCGACTTATAATAATAATAATAATAATTATTATAATTTCAGTCTATTTAGACTTTAAATTTATTTTTCTATATTTTACAAATGAGAAAAAAAAATTCTATAAACTTATCTTCATGATATAAACTGATCAGATCATTAATTGTGCATTTTGCATCTGAAAAGAACTATATAAAAATAATAAAATAAAAATCAGATCTTTCAATATTATTGTACATTATAATTAAAACAATTCTTATACTTTTTTTTTGTGCTTTTTTGATTTGAAAAAAGTATTGAGAAATCAATAAAATAATATAATAAATGCAATAAATCTTTGATTCTGTTGATAATCAAAAAAAAAAATTTTTTTTTGACTTAAAAAAAAGTAAAGCACCATCTTGTTAATTAAAAAAAAAAACTTATTTCTGTCACTGAGAGTTTTCTATAAATAAATGTAAATTATTAAAATATTGCTGTTAATGGAAAAAAAAACAATAGATGATTTTTCAGTTATTGAAAAAAAAAATTTTCACATAAAAATATCTTGATTAGTTACTCATAAAGACATAATTGAATCTTACTTATGTTGCACATTTTCTGTGCTAAGAGCACTTAATATTTTACATTGTTACTGATATATATATAAAAAATACGTAATATTATTATAATTGAAATCATTAATCCACAATTTATAATGTTATCTCTCTCAATGATAACATTATAAAAGGGGAAGAAATTTTTTTTTTTAAAATTAATCTAATCATTTGAAATTACAGTGTACGATAACTGCGATCCGTCCAAGCCTTATAGAATTTCCATGAAATTCCACCGATTCCCACAATACAAACCGTGAGAATCATGCCACCTGATATTAAAATAAAACAAACTCTTTAGTTAATAATAATAATAATAATAATAATTATAATAATACTAGAAATAAATATTTTTTTTACGGAGTGGCTATTTCGCCCGTCGAAATGAATGTGTTTTAGAAAACGGGCAAAATAAGAAAAATAGATTATTTCCCCCGTTCAAGATAAAATCGAGTATCTGGAAGACGGGCGAGTATATTATTTCGTCCGTTAAGTATAGACAACTGTTTTTTAGATAATGAGAAAAAATAATTTTACTTTTTTTAAATATAACAAATAAGATGGATAGAAAAAAGACGTCTGAGCATAGGTCTAATATTATTTATTTATATCTTTTGGAGTATTTGGTTTAATAAAATAGAAGAAATTTAAATAAAAAAAAAGTTCTTAAAAATTCTTTAAATTCTTAAAATTAATACTTAATTATTTTCTATTTTTTTTTCAAAAAATTTTATTAATTAAAGTTTTGAGAATATTTGTAACATAAAATTTGTTTGTAATTATTAACTTGAAGATTTTTCAAATATTTATTTTACACGTTTTTGAGACGTGACTTTAAAGAATAATAATTATTTTATCAAAGAAATTGTATTGGAAAAAAAATTAATATATTTATAGAGGTATTAATTACTCTTATTAAATAATTAAAAAAATTTAATATTTTATAGTAATGGTAAATAAATATAATTAAAATTATAAAAAAATTAATCTAATATTAAAATTATAAATTATAATTATTAAATTTAACTAATTAAAATTACGATGTTGAAGTCGAAAACAATTAAAATTGATCGTCATCGATTTAAAAATATTAATATTTTTTCAAATAATTAATAATATTTTTTAATATTTTTTATAAATTTTTCTTTTAAAAATTGTTGACGAAAAAATTGCAAAAAAATTTTTCTTAAAAATTGAAAAAATCATTTTAAAAATTTTTTTTCATGAAAAATGAAAAAAAAAAATTTTTTAATTTTGTTTATTAAACTTTGGTAATAAAAATTGTGGATTTTAATTTTGTAATTTAAATAAGAATTCAAAAATCGACTATTTCTGAAATTTTTGTATATTTGCATCTCTAAATTCAACGAGTAAATAAAATTGAAGACTATCAAAATAAAGAATGTCATATGAACTACTTTCGATACCAAATAGATTTTCAAACAACGCACCGTCGTTTTCAATATTTAAAGAATATACTATACGGAGTATAATGTCACATTGATATATAAAACCATGATTCTGCTGAGAAACAAATCAGAAAAACCCTTTTTTTTTATCGAAACACAAAAAATTAATGAGACCATCAAATTTGTTTATCAAATATATGATATTTAACATAAATTGCAAAATAAAAGTTAAAATAATTTTAGTTTGTAAATTGAAATATACAACAGCTGTTTATACCTAGCGGGCTAAATATTGTATTTTGATTATTTCGCCCGTTTTTGTTTAAACATTTCACGGACGAAATAATATACTCCACCGTCTTACAGATACTCGATTTTATCTTGAACGGGCGAAATAATCTATTTTTCTTATTTTGCCCGTTTTCTAAAACACATTCATTTCGACGGGCGAAATAGCCAGTTCACACAGTCGTATCTATTTCGCCCGCGACGGGCGAAATAGAAACAGCCTTTTTTTTAATAATAATAAAGTAGTAAAATGTATTAATTAAAGAAATATAGAATTTTTTTTTCGAGGGGAAAAATAATACTTACCCATGAAACTTAAACCATCAAAATGACGTAGTGGTACTCCAGTTGGTTGCGATGGAGAAAGCGTTGGAACAGGTGTTGTTGTTCCTGAGGTTGGCTGAGGAGTTGGCGATGGATTAACAGTTGTTTTTGGAGGCGTTGGCGTTGTTGGTTTTGTCGTTGGAGCTGGAGTTGGTGGAGGTGTCGGTGGTTCTGGTTTTGGTGGTTCTGTTGGTACAGGTGTTGTCGTGTTTGGTTTAGCAGTTGTTGTTGTTGTTGTAGTTGTTGTCGAATTAGGATGAACTGTCGTGGTCAAATTAGAAGGAACTGTTGTCGAGGTCGGTGGAACTGCCGTTGTTGTATTAGATTTTGATGGTGGTGTTGGTTCTACAGCTGTTTAAAAAAAAAAAAGAAAAATCATTGATATTTTCAAAATAATAAAAAAAAATCCACTGCGTCTCCATGAAACAAAATAATTTCAAAATATTTAAACTTTAATTTTACAATAAATTATTTAGACAATTAAAAATATCAGACTTTATTTTTTAAAAATACTAAATAAATTTTTCCAATTGATTTTAAAATTAATAAACAGCAAATACTTTCGGAAATTTAATAGTAAAATGATAAAATACAAACATTACACAATCAAGTGAAATCTAATATTAGTAATTGATAAAAATTGATACATATATTAATAAAGATAAAATTTTGCTTTTTTTTAAATACACAATGCCACGTCTCCATTTTTAAATGCATATAAAAAAAAATTCTTTCTATGATAAAAATGCAAATTTAGATTATTATTTGACATATCGTGACATAAACAGAAATTCGTTTATTTTTTTTTATACTTTCACCGCCTCTAGCATTCAATACTTTATTTGGTAATATATAAAAATTATGCATTATTGTTTCTAATTTATTTAAAATTATAATTTGCATTAAATTGAAATTTTTCCATTAAAATAAAAATAAGAGAAATTTATTGAATATAATATGAAACTTACCAAATCCATTTGTTATAAAAAATAAAACACATATTCCTGCAATCGTCTTCATGTTTAAAAAAAAGTCAACAAATAGTTAAATGTAAAACTATACAATGGTCTTCAATAAATATTGTATTTACTAAATGCTTTTATTATCAAAGCTGTGCGAAGAAGAATCACTGTAATTATACGGAGTTCTATGAAACAATATGTAGATCTAAAATATACTAAAAAACACTAAAATATGCTAGAATTTACTAGCAACAACACTAGTGACAAAGTGTTTTTTTAATCAGGTTAATTGCACAGGTGTTTGTGTAAAGCTACTTTCACACTTATCAAGTTGAGTTTACAATGAACGATAGGATTCGTCAATATGAAACAAGCTTAATTTTTAGTGAATGTGTGGAGGGGGAAGTAATTTTGACTATCAGCGCTGCGGCAAATTAGTGAAACTTTTGAATATCAAAAGGAAGATAAACTTTTTATGAGAGTTTTAAGATCTTGTATAATTGTACTCACATCATTTGATACAAGAAAAATTTGTTTGTGATTGTTTGTGAATAGTAAAGATTTCAAATAATTGGATAATTTAAGAATAAACCAGCAAACAATAACTACCGGTTTTATAAATTTTCAATATATTAAAATACAATAATTGTAACTAAAAGAAATTAATTATACAAAATGGTGGATTATAGTAAATGGAAAGATATAGAGGTAAGAAAAAGCTGAGTTTCCACATAAAAATTCTTCGGCAAAGAACGTGGTTATCTGGTTCTGCATTAAGATGACTTATCTAATATTCAATATCTAAAAATAGTATACAATTAAACAAAAAGTTTGCTTTTATTATTTTTTTTTTTGTTTTATGATGTAAAAATATTGGAACATTTGTAGAGTTGTCAAAAATTACGAAACCGCAAACATTTTTATAGAGAAATATAAATTTTAAACAAAAGTGGAATTACTTTATTAAAATTCTGTACAGATTTCAGATGACGAAGATGACACTCATCCTAACATTGATACACCATCCTTATTTCGATGGCGTCATCAGGCGAGAGTTGAAAGAATGGAAGAGCGTAAACGAGAAAAAGAGGATCATGACAAAAAGAAGAATGAGTAAATAAATTAAATTTACATTTTTTTTATTAAATTTCTATTTTTTAATTTTTTTGATTTATATTTATTTAAAAGGACTGTACAGAAGTTAAAGGAAACTAAACAAAAACTTGCGCAATTAGAAAATGAAAACAAAAAAGATGATTTAATAGAATTAAAGAAAGCCCTTCAAGAATTGGAAAAAGATGAAAAACAAATTAAAGATCGTGAGGAAGAAATGAAAAAGAAGGAAAAATTAACACCATGGAATGTTGATACAATTGGTCAAGATGGTTTTGCAAAAACAGTTATTAATAAAAAACCAGCAAGAAAAGATGAGGAATCAATGTTAAGCGATGAGGAGAAAGAAAAGAGAATGAGACAATTTGTTAAAGAAAATGAAAAGAAACTTAAGGAATTTGGAATGTTGAGAAAATATGATGATAGTAAACGATTTTTACAGGATAATTTACAATTGGTTTGTGAAAATACAGCCAATTATTTAGCAATGTGGTGCATAAATTTGGAAATGGAAGAGGTAAATTTATAATTAATTTAACAATGCAAAAAAAACGATTAATATGTTAATCTTTCCTTTTTTTTTAGAAACACGAATTGATGGAACACGTTGCACATCAGTGTATATGCATGCAGTATATTTTAGAATTCTCAAAACAATTGGATGTAGATCCAAGGGCATGCGTTGGTTCATTTTTCAGTCGTATTCAAATTGCCGAAGTGGAATATAAAACATCGTTTGACGATGAATTGAGATCATTTAAGGAAAGAATTCGAAAAAGAGCTGCGGAAAAAGTTGCCGATGCAATTAAAGAAGCCGAGGAGGAAGAGAGAAAAGCACGATTAGGACCTGGTGGTCTTGATCCTGCAGAAGTATTTGAAAGTCTTCCAGTGGTATGTGAATTTTTAAAAATTACAATAAATAATTATTCATAATAATTAATTTAAAAATTTTTTTTTTTACAGACTTTACAAAAATGTTTTGAGACACAAGACATACCAATGTTGCAAGAAACAATTTCAGCAATGCCAGAAGAGGAAGCTCGTTATCATATGAAACGATGCATAGACAGTGGTTTATGGGTTCCTGATGCTAAAGCTAAAGAAGAAAGTGCAGTCAAGGATGAGGAAGAAAAGAAACCGCCAACCGATGTTTAAAAAGGTGATGTTAAAATATTTTTTTCCCCCAGACATTATAATTTTAAGACATCATTTAAATATATAAGAAGAAAAAAAAACTTGCAAGAAATAATTTTTAGTTCATTATATGAACAAATTTTTACACGAATTAATTTGATAAATTATAATTTTTCATTCTTTGGCCTCGTATTTTTCTTTTCTTTTTTAAATATTTAAAATTATAGTAAATTTAATGTTACTCTAAAATAATATTTGTAATCAATTTTCAAAAACATTAAATGTTAAAATTTATTTTTTGTCTTTGTCAGGTATTTATCATGTATATAATAATGAATAAATTGATTTGTAAATAATTTTTTTTATTATCAATTAGAAAAACTTTTTCAAAATTATGTTTTCACAGAAGAAAAAGGAAAAGTTACAAAAAAAACTGAAAGCCAATCAAAAGTATTTATTCTTTTAACGTCAACGGAAATACATTCTGATTGGCTGTTCAAAAGCATGTGAATCCGCCTTTACGTAGAAAATTTCAAATCTTCCTAACCCTGTCATTTTCAAATGTTTTGAAACAATGGGCTTTAAAGCCCCTTTTGTTTTTTTTTTTAAATAACAAGAAACACATCTGTTCTACATTCTGCGAATAATGTGTAATATCCTTTTACAATTCTACGCCGTTGGTGGGTTTAGGTATTATTTTCTGTCTTTCATACAATCAGTTGTACGTAGTATTGTTTTGCATGCTAAACATCAGAGTGAATTTCATTTGAAATAGCTAGTAATTATGCTTCTTTTAAAATTATAACAATAACATTTATTTCATTGGAATCGAAGAAATAGCATATTATAAATTTACTCTTTTGTACAGTATGGAATCATCCACATCCATTTGCCGTGAGTTTTAATATATTCCAATCTCTAAACCTTGAGAATAAGATTTGTGCTCATTTAAAAATTACTCAATCTTTCAATTAAAATCATTCAAATATCCATTAATTAGCAGGATTTTTTTTTTCGCTTAACATATGTTAATATTATATATATATATCTATTGAAAATCATTATCAGCTTATTATCACTTCCTAAATTCCCTCTAGGGGCGCTTTCAACAAATTAATGACGTCATTAACATATTTATTTTATATAATCTCATTGCCTTGTTTTTTCATTAAATATTTGCATGACTATTATTTTTTTCCATTTATCGCATAGTTATAAAAACTTTAATTTTAATTAAATTTTGTAAAATAGAGTGTCAAAGATGGTCAAAAGTCCCTGGTCGTGATCCGAGTTTTATTAATTAAAAAAAAAATAACGGTTTTTATTTGTTTATTATTTTTTTACTTATATCGTATTGAATCGAAAGAAAAAGTTATTACGAAATAATTTTTTTGATTTTAATAATTTAAAGGAACTAAGTATTTCGCAATATCCGTTTTACGTTGTTTTTCGCGTTTTTTTTTTCATTTTATTGCTAAATATCGTATGGAAATAATTTTAAATTATTAAAAATAGAAAAAAAAACAATTGAAAAAATTGTTTTAATTAAAAAAAAGAAGAATTTCTATTAACGGCGCAACTCGTTAATTGCGCACATAAGAGGAAATCGAAAAACGAATGTACCGCGATGCATTCTGGGTAGTATTTGCGTCTGTAATCATTGCGCCTGCGCACTAAATTATCTCGTGAATCGTTTTTCGAACAACTAAATTTCTTAAATTCAATCGGAGAATATAGCAATTATTTTCGTGTATTTCGTTATATTATTCTTGTAGAAATAAAAAAAAACATGATTTTCATAGGTAAAATGAATAAATTTCGTGATTTTTGTTTTATTTCGAAACAAGAGGAAGGGGGCGCTTGCCGTTTCCCCTCATTCCCCTTTATGACATGGTTATGGTTTGAGGGGGGGTGGGAGGAGGGTTGGGCAGCGGTGAAGGCGAAGGAACGGACGAGTCGAGTTCACAAAATGGCGGCCAAGCTGAGGTTTGCGACCATATAGAACGTGTGAAATCTGTAATTTTTTTACAATGTGGCGATCTTAAGTATCAATTTTAGTGTAATATCGTAAGCGCGTGTGTTTCCGGTTTTTATTATTTTGAAAACTGTGCGATTTCGTTCGCTGTGAATGTTCGCTTAGAATCATTGTGCGACGCGTAGACAAGACGATGCAGGTGAGTGTACGGGTTTTGAATTTGTTTAATTTTGGAGTCATTCTCGTGGTTTTTTGATAATGATTATTTATTTTTATTGTCAATTTAAACCCCGGCGAATAAATGGCGAAAAAGATTTACGTAATCTTGCCTCGGTGTTTGTTTGGAATAAAGAGAAAATCGCATTGCTATCAAGCGTTTACACACTCTGCCAAATGAAAATTGTTTATAAACACGAAAATAATTATTATAATGATTTTTAACTGATTTCTACGTGTAGGGCGTAGCCTCAAGGTCTTTTTGAGGCCAGGTACTTGACCATCTTGCATTGCTATTTTACTTAATTTTACTAAGTTTTCATGTCCATTTAACCTACAAGTTTGTTTAAATTTCTGTCAAACACGTGTTTTTTTTCAAATTAGAACATTTGTTCCACTCCAATTTTTCCGGAAAACGATCCTCTGGGTTTTTCCTCGCCCCATGCTTGAACTTATTTGAATTTTTAAGTTAGACCCATTTTTGCAAATTGAACCTAAAGTTCATACTGACAGGTGTTATTGTCATCTTAGAGTTGTTATTAATCTCTTTACCAGTCTTTTAGATACTTTATTTTAATAATTATTTCCAAAAATGCCTCTAACATTCCTCAAAATTTCAATAAACATTTTTTCAGACTTACCAGAGACTTTTGACATTTTATTTTGGAGTTTTACATGATATTTCAGGACTATTTCTGTCAAATTTTTTATGTAAATTCACTGAGAAATGTTAATGAACCTTTTGAAATTTTAGGGGCATCAAATTTATGGTAAATCCTTCGAAAATTTTCAATATTCTATGAGTTTTTCGATATTATTTCATGGGCATTTATACCATAAAAATGAAAAATTCATCTCTAAAAATCGTCAGCAAATGGTCTGTTTATTATATTAATCAGCTGTTTTTCTTCGTGGGAATACATAAACAAAGGTTTAAGAATTTTTTTTAAATTTTTGGAACAAGTTTTAATTTTATTATGATGAGTTTTTTTTTTTTTTTTTTTGAAACAAGAATTTGTTTTGACAATTTTTCAAATTCCAATAAAATCATTATTTTTGAGGTTAGTTGGCTTATTTTTTTTTAAGTTTTATATGAATTATAATGAAAAATTTATTCTAAAAAAATTTTTTATTCAAATGACAAATTCAAAATTTTATTTTAAGCCAAAAATAATTTTAATTTTTTTTTATATAAGTCATTTGTTTTTTTTAAATAATGTTTTTTTAAAATTCTGTATAAATTTTAAATGTTATTTTTTGTGTTGCTAATATTTTTTTAGAGAAATTTTAACATAATAAAAATATGTTTCAAATATGAATATATTTAATTAAATTTTTATTTTTTCATAGAAGAAAAATAATAACTTTTTACCATTATAAAATTAAGAATTGGGTTAAAATTATTTAGAAAATTTCTATGAGTATTGAGTAAACAGTTGCAATGTGAGCAAATAAATATTGTTTACAATGAAAAAATTTTATTTTAATGAATAATCTTGGTTAAAAATATTTTAAACAGTACTTCAGAAAATAATTTTTAAATTTCCTAGTAAAATAAGTTTTAAACAAATTTAACTCTTTTTTTTGTTGATTCTGTAAATAGTTTTTAGAATTCTATTACTAAACAGATGAGGAAATAATTTTTTTCTTTACTGAAATTTTATACTTCAAGGGAAATAAATTTTCTGTTTGGGTTAATAATTATTTTCCTACAATTTTTCAAGTAAAAATAAAATAATAGATTAAAGATAATTAAAATCTTTGATAAAATACGAATTAATTTATATAAACAGCTTGAAGTAAAATTTAAAATATTTTTGTGTAATTTACATTTATTTTAATCCTATTTTCTTGGGAGTTCTTTTCAACTGAAACTTCAAGTTTATATTATTTTGTAGATATTTTTTGTCACGAGAATAACGAATTTTTTTTTTTTTTTTACTATTATTTAAGAGCAATTAAAACAGAACAATACTGATATTTTTTGCTCTTTCTAAAATTATTTTATACTACAATGTGTACAAAATATTGTACATCTGTAATAATTTGAGATTTGAAGAAATAAATAAAGGATATATTTTACAGAAGAATGTTTTAGAGAATTATTCAGAAACCTGAATCCTTAGTTTTCTCAAAATCCAATAGTAAATAATATAAAAATGTTTGAAATCTTTATTGGAGGCCCTTTTTAAATCGACGATTTGTTTGAATGCAGTATCACAAAATGGACGTTAACAACACTGAAATGGCGGAGAAAATGAGAAAAAATCAGTTTTCGTTGAAATCATATTAAATCTATAGCAATAGTTATTCAATTCTATATTGAAATATTCTTAGAACAATAACAAGAATATATATATTTTTTTAAAAATGTATAAAAAATGTTTTAGTTTATCCTACAAAAATAAAATTTAAATATTTTTCTATATAAAAGAAATGCAGAGAGAGAGATTCCAAACAACACCGAGGCTATGAATTCTTATTAAATCATTTATATACTGTAAGCCGAAAATTTTTTTTAAAATTAATTTCAGAAAACATTAGAATCAGAATCTGGTAAGGAATCTGGATCAGATTCTGACAATGAAAGTAAAAGTGACAGCAGTTCCTCCGGAAGTAAATCGTCTGGTTCCGGTTCAGGATCTGATAGGTGGGTATTTAATGATTGAAATAAAATTTCTTTTCATTTATAACATAGAAGAGCCAGAATATTTAACAATGCAATACAAAATAGAAAATATTGCTAAATATAAAATCATTACATTAGCTGAAAAAATAATAATTTTAAATTTCTTATAATTGCAATTTTAAAAGTAAATGAATTATAAATTGTAAAAATATTTTTAAAAATAATTTACTATTTTAAATTTTGCGATTTTATTTGAATTTCACATTAAAGTATTTTTATTAATTTTTAAAAATAAAAATAAAGCATTTTTTTTTAAATAAAAAAAATGATTACATTTTATTGCGTGCTATTAAAAAAAAAGCGTGTCTTAATTTGAGGTTATGTTTATATGTTGAAAAGATTGAGAATTAAAACACTGAAAATTTTTTTAACTAGACTTTAAAGGTTGTTTACATATTATGTGATAAAACATTTTAGAAAACTTTTAACCCTTTTCCTTTTTGTTGTTACTTTTTTTAATTATATGACGTTACATTGAAAAATATGATATAACTTTATTGACCCTCCCCCTTACCTCTCCTATAGATATCACGTAATATGCAAATAATTCCTTATTTTAATTTGACAGAGTTATAAAAATGTTTGATTTACAATTTTTGAATTTATATAATAATAATTAAATGACAAAATTTAAAAAAAAAACAAATTGGTAAATTAAAAAAAATTATGTTTCATGTAAGGTTATGTTGAAACCACTGATGATGTTCAAATTCGCACTATAATGTTAAATAAAGTAAAATATTTACATATATTAATAAGATTTCAATAGAATTTGAAAGGTCTTTTTGAAAATATTAATTCTCCATTTTAAAAATGGTTATTTTATTAGAAAATTTTTTTGCTTTTTATCAAAAATATTATTTTGAATTAACAGGGTGTTTACTAACAAACAAAATTAGATTAATGTAAAAACTGTAATTATATTAACGAGGTAAAAATAATGTAAATAATTAATTTGGTTCAACAAAATTAGTATAGACAATTATTTTTTTCGAGCTTTTTCAAAACATTAACATTTGATTTTTTAATATCTAACTAATTTGATAAAAAATTGCTAATTTTTTTTTAATTTTTAACTTGCATACACACATAGTTTTGTATTTGTTTTTATGTTTGCTATATTATTATTATTTTTTTTTTTAATGAGCCTTTGTCCTTTTGCAATAAATTACCTCTGGGGTTATGGAGATTTTCTGCCTTTCTCACAAAATTCATGATAATTATCTTACACAGTTTCTTCGACTTTTTATTTATTTTATCAGTTATTGAAAAAAAAGTACAAAACAAAAATTCCAAATTTTTATTTTCATTGATTATTTTTAATAAATTAATTTAATAATTTTCTTTTTTTTTTTTTTAGAAAATTACACAAAATTTATTTACTAGGAATATATATTATTGAATTTACTGTTAAACATTTTGTTAAATAATATATTATAATATAAAAAGTTAAAATAATTTGACTGCTCGTGCAGTGAATCTAGCTCCTCGTGTTCCGGTTCAGCGTCAGGTTCTGAATCAGATAAATCTGATAAATCCGAAAAGTCTGAGAAATCTGAAAAGTCTGATGCACCTGCACAAAATGATAATTATCAGAGCAAACGAACGAATAACAGCACTGAAACAAAACATAGACACAAAAGCGATTCTAGTCGTGAATGGGACGAGAATCCTGATATTTATGGCATCAGAAGGTCCAATCGGTCGAGGAAAGAGCCCGACAGGCTCACGACACAACGTGAAAGCGACAGCGATGGTCGCAAGAAAATTAAGAAAAAAAGGTAAGTATTTATATTAATTTGGAGGAACAATTTTTTTTTTTATTTAATTATTATTATTTATTAATTCATTTTTCTAATTGATGTATTTTTCAATATTGTTTCAATTAATAATAATTTAATATCAAAAAATTAATAATTTAGAAAATTTTAAATAAAGTGAGTAATTACAAAGTGATTGTTCCTTCTAATTGTTAATTGTATATTATAAACAAATTATTATTTTAAATAATTTATATTTGCACTTTATTATATATATACATGTATATTTTTGGCGCTTGCAGATTTTAAAAGCTTTGTCATTAAACAGTGTGTAAGCTTTAAATTTAAATTCAACCATTTTTTTTTTGTAAGCCACAGCACTTTTTTTGCCCAGGAAAAAAAATTAATAATTTGAATGCATTCAAAAATAAAAAAAAAAAATCTGACAAGATTTATCATTTTTGTCTTGAAGTAAAAATAGATTAACAGTAAATTTATTTTTAAAATTACAAGCAGACAAAAAAATATTTGTCAATGGTCAAAATTAGAAATTTAATAAAAAATTATTTTTTGAAAATTGGCAAAAAATCTAAAAACTGAAAATAATTACTAATTTTCATTTTTCTGGGCATAATCCAAATACATGAAGGTTCTATTTTTAGTTTGTGTGGTTTTTTTTAAAAAATATTATGCTTTTTTTTATTCACGATTTGTTTAATGTGTCACTAATTTATAACAATTATAAAACAATACACTTTTTTAAATAATAATATATATTTTTTTTTAAAGAATATTTTTAATTTTTCCAGTAAAAAAATGGATTAGCAAGATAAAATTGAATTAAATGAATTATTTAATTTTATCTCGCTAATCCGAAAATTGAATGAAATAAAAAGAACTTGAATTTTGCACAGCTGAGATTAGTTATTCTTCTTCTTCTAGTTCACATAGTACATGGAATTCTGATAGTTCAGAATCAGAGTCGGAAGTTGAACGTAAAAAACCACCACCAAGTAAATCGATAAATCGGCAAGCTGCTCAAAAAGCCAAAGAGAAAGCACGAGCGCGTAAAAAACAACTTTCTGATTCTTCAGAATCTTCTTATGATAGTGATGATCATAGAAGGTAAAATTCTAAACGAATCTTAATTTGATTATGATAAATTAAATGATTTCATTTTTTCTACAGACAAGTCACAAGAAGAACGGGAGCTGCTGTTAGTTATAAAGAGCAAAGCGAGGAAAGAACTGACAGCGAGGATCTTGTGGAACAAGATGAGACTGAAGTACCAGCTGAGCCCGATAATGCAGAAACAATTGAACGCATTTTGGGACAGAGAATTGGCAAAAAAGGAGGTTTGTTAAATAATTCTTTTTTACATATAAATTTATTGGTTTAAAAAAATAACTTTCGCAAATAGTTACAGGCAATATAACAACAGTTTATGCTGTTGAAGAAAATGGTGATCCAAATCCAACAAATTTGGAAGGCGAAGAAACTGAAGTACAATATTTAATAAAATGGAAAGGATGGTCTTATATTCATAGTACATGGGAATCGGATGATTCTCTAAAAGCCCAGAAAGTAAAAGGATTAAAAAAATTGGAGAATTTTGTAAAGAAAGAACGTGAAATTAAATATTGGAGGGAATATGCGGGACCCGAAGATATTGATTATTATGAATGTCAACTTGAACTTCAACAAGATTTATTGAAAAGTTATTATAATGTTGAAAGAATAATTGCCGAATTTGAAAAACCTGATTCAATTCATCCTGATTATTATTGTAAATGGGAAAGTTTACCATACGCTGATGCAACATGGGAGGATGGTGCACTTATTGTTAAAAGGTGGCCGGAAAAAATTCAAGATTTCAGAGATAGAGAGGATTCACAAAAAACTCCCAGTAAACATTGTAAAGTATTGAAATCAAGGCCAAAGTTTCATCAAGTTAAAGAACAACCCGAATATATGGGTAAAGGAAAAGAATTAGTTTTGAGAGATTATCAAATGAATGGTCTCAATTGGATGATTCATTCCTGGTGTAAAGAAAACAGGTATTTTATTTTTGTTTTAAAAAAGAATTATTATAAGAAATAATATTCAAATTTTTGTTTCGTTTTTTTTTTTACAGTGTAATTCTTGCTGACGAAATGGGTCTTGGAAAAACTATACAAACAATTTGCTTTTTATATTATCTATTTCATACACATCAACTTTATGGACCATTTTTGTTAGTTGTCCCATTGTCAACGATGACATCGTGGCAACGAGAAATGACTCAATGGGCACCTGAATTAAACTTTGTTACATACCTCGGTGATATTACATCTCGGAATGTTGTAAGTTTCTCTCGAGATTTTTCGATTTTTGTCACTCGAATAAAATGTCCCAATAATTTAATTATTTAATATAATCTCAGTTGGTACATTTTTCATCTATTCATAGTTAGTATCTTCATCACAGATTTTTTTTTTTTAAATTAAACGAGACATTAAGATTAGAGTGAAATTAAAATTAAAAAATAGAATTTTTAAAAATTTCCAAAATAAAAAATTGTTTTAATTTTCAGATCAGGGAATACGAATGGTGTTACAGTACAAAGAAAATAAAGTTTAATGCTATTCTCACAACATATGAGATAGTTCTTAAGGATAAAATGTTTTTAGGCGCAGTCAATTGGGCTGTACTTTTGGTCGATGAAGCTCATCGCTTAAAAAATGATGATTCTCTTTTGTACAAAGCACTCACTGAATTTAATACAAATCATCGTCTTTTAATCACAGGCACACCTTTACAAAATAGTCTCAAAGAATTATGGGCATTGCTACATTTTATTATGCCCAATAAGTATGTAATTTTATCAATTTTTGTTTTTGTAATAATTGTTCTATAAAATAAAAAATTGTTTTTTTTTTTTCTTATAGATTTGTATCGTGGGAGGAATTTGAAAAAGAGCACGATAATGCGGCACAAAAAGGTTATTCAAAACTTCATAAACAACTCGAACCATTTATTTTACGTCGTGTTAAAAAGGATGTTGAAAAATCCTTACCAGCTAAGGTTGAACAAATTTTACGAGTTGAAATGACATCATTACAGAAACAATATTATAAATGGATATTGACAAAAAATTATAATGCATTAAGAAAAGGTAATAGGGGTTCGACAACGACATTTTTAAATATTGTCATTGAATTAAAAAAATGTTGTAATCATGCATTTTTGACAAAACCAAATGACATTGAAAATAGAGATGCAAATGAGGATTATCTTCAACAATTGATACGCGGTTCGGGAAAACTTGTACTTCTTGATAAATTATTGGTTCGTTTACGTGAAACCGGTCATCGTGTATTGATATTCAGTCAAATGGTTAGACTTTTAGATATTCTTGGTGAATATTTGCAAAAAAGACATTTTCCATTTCAACGATTAGATGGAAGTATTAAAGGTGAATTGAGAAAACAGGCTCTTGATCATTTTAACGCTGAGGGTTCAACGGATTTTTGTTTTCTTCTTTCAACGCGTGCAGGCGGTTTGGGTATTAATTTAGCAACTGCCGATACGGTTATTATTTTTGATTCCGATTGGAATCCACAAAATGATTTACAAGCACAAGCGAGAGCACATCGTATTGGTCAAAAGAATCAAGTGAATATTTATAGATTGGTAACGAAAAATTCAGTTGAGGAAGAAATTGTTGAACGAGCGAAACAAAAAATGGTTCTCGATCATCTTGTCATTCAACGGATGGATACAACGGGACGAACTGTTTTGGATAAAAAGAGCGGTGGTTCGAATAATAATCCATTTAATAAAGAGGATCTTAGTGCAATTTTAAAGTTTGGCGCTGAAGAATTGTTTAAGGATGAAGAGGATGGTGATGAGGAGCCAACGTGTGACATTGATGAAATATTGCGAAGAGCCGAGACAAGGGATGAGGCACCAACGACAGTTGGTGATGAATTGTTGTCGGCATTTAAAGTTGCAAGTTTTGCTGCTTTTGAAGAAGAAACAGAACCGGTGACACAAGTGAATGAGAATGAGGACGATAGTAAAGATTGGGCGGAAATTATTCCTGAGAATTTTCGAATGAAAGTTGAAGAGGAGGAAAAATCGAAGGAAATGGAGGATCTTTATTTACCGCCAAGAAGTCGTAAGACATTGCAACAAATTAATCAAGGCGAAGGTAGAGGACGTAAGAGAAAAAAGCCAGATGATGATGAGGAGAGTGATGAGGGCGATGATTCAGGTAGTGAGGGTGATGGAAGTGATGATGATAGACCGAAGAAAAGAGGTAGACCACGAGTGACACCACGTGAGAATATCAAGAGTTTCACCGATGTGGAAATTAGAAGATTTATCAAAAGTTATAAAAAATTCCCAGCACCATTGAAAAGGTTAGATGATATTGCAGCTGACGCTGAATTGCAAGAGAAACCACTTCCTGAATTACGATTTTTGTCTGAACAATTGCGTTCAAGGAGTGAAACATGTTTATCGGAATATGAAAGTAGTGTACCGACGAAGGAAAATAAAACAGGTGGTGGTGGTGGTGATGATGATAAAGGAGCTGCTCGTAAACGTGGAAGAAGACCCACTTTTAAGATGGGCGGTGTTATGGTTAATGCAAAATCATTATCGGCAGCTGTTAAAGAACTTGAACCACTTGATCAAGCACTACCATCTGATGCTGAGCATCGTGCAAATTGGCATTTAGATGTCAAGTACGTAAATTTTTTTTTTCCTTTTTTTCTCTCACATTAATATAATAAGAATTAAAATCAATTAATAATATTACAGAGTAAAACCAGCAAATTTCGATTGTGAATGGACAACGGAAGATGATTCAAGATTATTGCGTGGTATTTATCAACATGGAATGGGATCTTGGGAGGCAATTAAAGCTGATCCAAGTTTAAAATTAAATGAAAAATTACAAGGAAATGGCAGCAATAAATTACAATGGAAAAGAATTAGTACACGAGGGGAATATCTTTTAAAAGTTTTAAAGAAACAAATGGAACTTAAATTAGGAGTGGTAAGAATTATCAAAAAAAAATTTCTTTTTTCAAATCGAAAATATTTTTTTTTTCTAATTTTAATTTATTATTTGAATATTTAAATTTATATATAATTTATATTATTTTAACAGGGTTACGTCCTGATCCCACAAGTCGATTCCCTTTCCAAGGTAAATCCTAATAACTGTAGCCTTATCCCATCACTCGCACCTTTCGTACTCCACTTTGTTTATTTGTTTGTTTTTTTTCATCCTTTTTTTATAATTTAATACTGAATCTATAATTCAAATTAGATTTGAATTTTCTTTTTTTGATTCTTTATCAAATTATAAAAGCAAAATAGTATTCTTTATATTATTACATTTTATAATATAAATAATCTAGTCTTATTGATCAATATTGTTATGTAAGTATAAGAATATGTTGTTGTTTTATTTTGTTCAGTTATTTATGTGTTAAATAATGGTATATTTCCATTTTTTTAAAAATTTATTTCTGAATTTTAAATTTGGAAGAAATAATATATTAAAATATAAAATTGTAATCCATAGTAGAAATTAAAAATTATCACGCACATTAATTCACTTAGTGTTTGTTTTAGTCAGTGTTGAGACTAATAATAATAATAATAATATTAATTTAATTTCTATGATCACATTGTACATAATTTTTGAATAATAATTTATAGACGAGAACAAGAAAACCGAGAAAAACTAAAGATGTTACAAAAGCAATAACAAAGGAAATTGTTGAAGAAAATGACAGTTCCGGGGATGAAAATAAAAAACCAAAACCAAAGATTGAAAAGGTATTATTATTTATATTGTATAATAATAAATTAAATGTAAAATTTGAAATTAAAATAAAAAATTGTTGATAGGTTTTACAAAAGAAAGACGATGAAGTAGTGGTGAAAAAAGAAAGTAAAGAAGAATCCGAAACAGTCGCTGACGAAAAGAAGAAGGAGAAGAAAGTTAAAAAAGAGAAAAAAGAAAGTAAGAAGAATAAAAAGAATAAACAACCTGTAGGGCCAATGCATTTTACAGCAAATAATGAACCAAGAGCACTTGATGTTTTGGGAGATTTGGATCCATCTATCTTTAATGAGGTAAGTTTGTAAATTATTTATTAATCGCTTAAGTAATTTTTTTTAATCATTTAAATTTTTCGTTTTAGTGTAAGGAGAAAATGCGACCCGTTAAGAAAGCATTGAAAGCACTAGACAAGCCTGATCAATCATTAAGTGAATCAGATCAATTGGCTCACACGAGAAATTGTCTTGTACAAATTGGCAATCAAATAAATACCTGTCTTCAGGAATATAAAGATCCTGAACAGGTGAAAGAATGGAGGAGTAATCTTTGGTATTTTGTTTCTAAATTCACCGAGTTCGATGCTAAGAAACTTTATAAACTTTACAAACATGCAATTAAAAAAGGAGATGGAAGTACAAGTATGACTTCAACTCCTGAGAAAAAGGATGAAGCAACCCCTACGAAGGTATTAATTGAAAATAAAATTTATTTTAATTATTTCTAAATGTATTTTATTTTATTTTTTTTTTTTTAGAAATCGGAAGAGAAAGCTGAGAAGCACTCAACGAAAAGTCCAGCGGATAATGCAAAAGATTCTCGTCCAGTTAAAAGAAGAATTGAGGAAGCCGAGGAGAATACAAATACTTTTCCAGTTAAGAAACATTTAATTACAAACACATCATTGAGCAGTATCAGTAGTACTTCGTCGGTAACAATTGGTGGTATAACAATAACGCCCGTTACATCGACGTCAAATTCAACGCCAAGTACAACAAACAGTATTGGAGAAATGACAAGGCATAAGGAATTAAAAGAACCAATGAAGCACAAAGAAATGAAGAGGGATCGTGACAGAGATCGAGATCGTGATAGAGATCGAGGTCACAATGATTCTAGAAATATGGATCGTTTAAGTTCAGGAAAGGACGAAAGAATTAGAAGAGATAGTGGTGGTTATGGAATGGGTGGTCACTACAGTGGAAGTCGAGAAGACGAACATTGGATGCCAAGAGATGGACGAGATCATCGAGATAATAGGTTAGTTTTTGTCGATTATTTTGATTATAAATTTGTTGAAAAAAAAGAAATAGAATAAAAATGTCTCTTCTAGGTTTGGAGATCATAAACGAGAAAGATTCGATAATTACGGACGCATGGGAGGTGGATATCATCGTGATAGAGATCGAGATCGTGATCGAATGCACATGAATGACAAGAGAAAGTAAGTATATTCTTTTTTTTTTTTTTTGCAGAAAATTTAGATTAAAATAAAATATTTTTATTAATTTTTAGCGATTACTATCGATATCAATCGGGACCACCTCCTTATGTTGGATATGGTGGATCAGGTGGTTATGGTGGCGGAGGCGGTGGAGGTGGTGGTGGTGGTTATCCACCTCCTGATATGCAACAAAATCATTTTAGAGGCGGTAGAAATTACCCCAACGATGGTTACCAGGGTGATTGGAGGCCAAACAGAAGAGACTACGATCGAAGGCCACCACCGCCGAATGCCAATTCCTAGTGCACTATTCTTGTCACCGTCCCTCAATAATATGATCAAGCGGTTATGAATTTATTAATCATATTGTCAAGTCTTAAAAAAAAATCATGCCCAGTTTAATTCAAATTGCACCATCGCCTGCTGTTTAAAAAAAAAAGTGCGTTATTATAATCAGACAGAAATTGATTGGAAAATGAATTTCAATCAATTTAACGATAGGTGCATTGGACAATCTAACAGAAAAAAAAAGAACAACGTATCAGCAGTATATTCATCTTTTTTAGTAGAAATTAGAATCATCTTTTAGGTCCAATTGTGTTGATATTTACAATTATTTTCGATAAAAAAATAAAAAAAAAATGACATTTTACGAGATTGTTATTGACTTGGATAAAATAATTGCTTTTAATTAGTGAAAATAATAAAAGTGCATACAGTTCACATTGCATTTTCAGTATGCACTTGTAATAATTTATATGTGATATATATATATTTTTTTTCTTTTTCATTTTGTAAAACTGTTGACACATGTTAGTAAATGTCCTATCGATTGACTTATTTATTTCAACTTGACTTAAAAGAAATGAAAACCTGTTTAAACTCCAATTTCACGTGCGATTAACGATTTTTTTTTATTAATCGAATGAAACATCCATTAGTTTAGATTATTTGTAAATAGATTATTCATAACTGAGATCAAAGAGATAAATAATTTTTTTGTACTCTTTGTTTTTATAAGATTACAGAGAAACTTAAATTGCGGAGGTTTTTTTTTTTTTTTCTTTTTTTTTTTAATTGTGATTTTCTCGACAATGTACTTCTTCTTTTGGACAATTGAATCTGCTCACAAATATTCTACGATTTTGAAAGTGAAGCTTTTACGTTTAAAAAAAATATATATAATATTAATTAAACGCACTCGAATTACTTTTTTTTATTATTAAAAAGAAAGTGAGTGTGTTTTATTAAGAAAGAAGATAAATATGTTTTATACTCGTACACGGCTTTTTGAAACTTCATCACACGGCGTATTTTTTCTGTATAAAAAAAAGCTATTAAATATCTACTTTATATTTATCAAAAAGGAGAGAAAGAGAGAGAACGAACGAATGAATGTGTACTATCTTGGTATTGTAAAAAAAAAAAAAAGAAAATAATTTATGTCAGTATCATTATATTTTTCTTCTTCTTTGTCAATGTAAAACGACGTAAATACTTTGTTTATTAGATATTTTTTTTTTTTATCTGAAGAAAATTACTATTTTGTAGATTATTTTTAATACACAGAAATTATAATTAATTTTTTCTCATTGATCGTGAAATTTGCTAAAAAAAAAAAAAAAAAACTTTTGAGGGTGCATGCATTGATGTAAATAATGGTTTATGCATTGAATACGTGCAAATTTATCGGAATCATGAAAATTTACAAATAATGATACATAAAAAAGAATATAAGAATGCATACTGCGAAAATAGTCGCTGAGAGCGAATATGGGAAAATTATGCGAAATTGTCAAATTGAGTGGCTAAATTTAGACACGAATGTTGAAATGGGAAATGATTGCCTGAATATAGTGAACTGTTTATAATTTATTACCGCTAGCGGATTAGAAATCAATAAAAAAAAACAAAAAAAAAAAACTACTGAAGTGAAAAAATACTGTATATAAGCGAATAAAAGATTGATTATTAATAACATCAGAATAAGGTAAATTTTACTTTTTTTAAATACACAATATAACACTGAAAGTATCCTTCAAAGAGAGATAAAAGTAATTATTAATATTCACTTAAATTGGTACGTAAATATAAAGTTAGGAAAAATGGATTTTTTTCAGTGATTAGGTTTTAGTAAATATTTGAATACAAAAACATCTTTTTTTTTTTTGAGAAGGAAAAATAATTTTATTTCTTACATACATTATAGTATTTCCAAACTGACGACAAGATACAAATTCGTTTAAAAAAAAAAAAAAAAAAAAAAATTAATGAGGAAGAAAAGAAAGTGATAACAATTATACATCTTAATGATATATTCAACAATCATTTATATTTTTTGTACCTATAAATAGTAACAAAAAAAAATTAATTAACTTTCTATACTCCACTTGATTTCTGCATATATATAATATGTAATATATACTTTAAAATGATAATTTTAACAATTATATATCACTAGAGAAATTGTTATCCACTCAAACGGGTATAATGATTTTTATTAACATTATTCAATGAATATTTTTTTTTAAATAAAAATATAGCTCTATATTTTTATATACCTTTCATGAGATGTTTTCATTCGAGAATAATATTTTTAATTTGATAACTTATCACAAGAATAATCTTTGTTTTTTTTTCTATTTTATTTAAATATATGTACCTCTTTTTTTCTCTTTAAATATCTATATTATGTAAATAACAATTATTTATTGAAATTTACATTTAAAAAAATTATTAATGTACATAGTTTCGTTTCTGGTCTATAATATAGGATTTACTTTTTGTTTTGTTGCTTTTTTTTTTTTGGTCTCACAATGCAGTGCTGCTTTTAGTCATCTTTGGTAGGAGATGTACGGGCAACAACACCATATCTCAAATATATATATATATTGACAACGCAAGACCATTCATGTAAGCATGACTGTTCCCTGAGTTGATAAACAACCTTTTCAGTCTTTACCTTGCGTCTTCTTTGCTAAATTATAGCAATAAACACGCCAAAATCGAGTTTCAAATTTTTTTTTTTTAACAAAAGGCATATTTTTCAATTTTATATTTTCAATGCCCAATTAAACGATGAAAAACAATTAGGATCACATTTTATTCCACGAAGTACGTACAATTGTGTTTTTGATAATTTTTTTCCTAAATACACAATAAATACACAGTCTTAGAAGAAGAAAAAAAAAACTTTCAGAGATTTTTTTTTCTTTTTCTTTCATATAGAATACTATCACCAACAAAAATAGAAAAACAAAAATATTGTCTTGTAGTTGAATAAACTACTATTTTTCCCTCTCCCTTAAAAAGCATTGTAGGCAATTATTTTTCTTTTTGTGCACAATTAAAAATGTATTACTCATTTGGAACATTAAAAATATCTCCTTATTGATAGTAAAAAATTGGCTAGATTTCATTCATTGATTTTTTTTTATCACAATAAAAAATGGTAAGCTGGAGTAATACAATATTAGTATATATATATATATATAATATATAACGAATAAATTGATAATAACATCTCGAACATTTTCTTATATAAATATTAAAGATGAATATACATAGAATTCTGTACAATGTAATTTCTTATTTTTTTTTTTTTAATAATAATAATTTAATAATTATAATAATATACAAATATAATTTATTGAGATAGGAATGATGCAAACATTCGTGACTCGCACGAATTCCAAAGGCAACAGTTATTATTTTAATTTTTTTTTTTTTTTTTTTTTTATTATACGTCACTGAAAAAATGCATTATAGCAAACTAGATGAATCGCTGCATTAAGGCAGTAAAAAAATTTATTCAACTATTATTGTGGCAAGGCGTTTGGGCCGTTTTCCCGATTTTTGTTTACGATGAATATTCACTTCTTTTTTATTACAAAGTCGCACTACCTCTGGTGATGATTCAGCTGAACTATCAGATTCACTTTGTTCTAATTTACGTTTTCTTGATCTTGTCACAGGACCAGTTGATTTATTCATTTCATCACAAATCACATCCATATCACGTTTACGTCTTTTGACTTTTGGCTCATCACTATTTCTTGTTTCACGTCGATAATTTCCAGGTGAATTTGAATCGGATGACGATGATAGTGAACTGAGATATTCACTAACTTTTTCATCACGAAAATCGAATGCATTTGGTTGAGCGGGAGATGAAGATTTTGTTGTTGTTGTTGTTGTTGTTGTGGCACTTGGAGGTTGTAGATGCTGCTGATAGGAGATGGTGGAAGACCTTGATGTTGTCGATGCAGTCGAAGACACAGAGCTGGAAGTCGAGCGTTTATGTAATTTTCGACGTTGAGCGAGTTTAGCACCGTCGACTTCGCGTAAACGAAATCCTTCTTGTTTATCAATTGAGCTGCTATTTGACATTGGCTCCGAACTGGAAGCATCGAAACTGGAATTATTACCCGCCAGCCATGGATGAAAAACAAGTGCCGATGCTGATAATCTTTTACTTGGTTCTGTTGTCAAGAGGCCTTTCATTACTTGTTTGCCTAAAAAAATAATATTATTATTAATAAATTCAATTTAAATTCAGGTTTTTAAAGTAAAAAAAAAGTCGAAAAAATATTTACCAGTATCAGACACGTGATTGAGATCATCTCCATCGAAATTGATTTCACCAGATTTGATTCTCGATGCAAGATCCGAGGACGCCAATGGAAATGGCGGCTTACCAGATAAAATGGAATATAAAACGGCACCTAAACTCCAAAGATCACAGCTTTCATCGTAACCTTGTCTCGCAAGTACCTCAGGCGCAGCATAAGGAAGTGTAAAACAAGGCGTATGTAATGGTTCGCAACCACGTTTCAATTGTGCCAAACCAAAATCAACAATTTTAATCGACGCATCATCACCAGAATGGGCAAAAATTAAATTCTCAGGTTTTAAATCACGATGAACAACACCACGTGAATGTATAAATTTCACAGCCGATGCAAGTTGTCGTGCAATTTTACATGCTTGTTGTTCGGTGAATGGTCGTTTTCTTTTAAATAATTCACCGCCTGACAATAATTCCATGACTAGGTATGTATGTGCTCTATCTTGATGGACTTCAATTAATTTCACAATATTTGGATGACCTTGACATGTTCTCAATAAGGATGCCTCTTTTTCTGAATAAACACGTCGACTAACAATTTTCACTGCGTACTCTTGTTTTGTTTGTCGATGTCGACATTTTCGACATATTGAAAAACTACCATCACCCAATGCACCTTCACGTGGATCTAATTCATATGTTTTGAAAAAACTCGATTCTTCAAAACATGCAGCTAAAATATCAGACGGTGTTGGTAATTGATTCTCTATACTTTCTCTTGATGATGCTTCTTTAAAAATATCATTACTCATTACATTGTCACTAAATATTATCGAAGGCGCAACATACGAATAACCCTGAAACAAATAAACATTTTTACAATCTGTTTCTATTTTTCTAAAAAAGAAAAAAATGAGAATTTATACTTACTCGGAAAACTTTATCATAATTAGGTGGTACAACAGCGGGACTATCAGCAGCTACCATTTTTGTAAATTCATCGGAAAAATTACTTGTATCCAATTCATGTGTAATTCGAGGCACGAAAGGTGGAGTGATCGTTCGATTTTCTAAAGCTTCCCAACTAAATGGCAATGGCGCTTTCTTAAAGAAGGCATGTTCCTTAAGTTCTTTTGCATCTCTTGGTCCTCCGCCTAATCTTTGTCGTGGATCCTTTACCAAAAGTCTTGTAATAAAATTTCTAACCGTGGGATTCAAATGACTTGGAATTGGTGGTTCTGTTTTTAAAATTCGCCTCGAAATTTCCTGTTGAGTATTCTTTTCACCTTCGACCGTAAAGGGAGAGGCACCAGTTAGTAATTCATAAGTAAGAACGCCGACGCTCCACCAGTCAACAGCCTTTTTTTTAAAACAGAAAAGAAAAAAGAAATTTATTTTCAAAACTTTTTCCAAAATAATTTCAAAAATTATGTTGTATTTAATTTTTAAAACTTACAATATCGTGACCAGCGGAACCACCTCTCACAACTTCGGGTGCCATATATTCAATAGTACCACAAAATGAATAAGCTCTTGCATTACTATCTCTTTCATGAGGTAAAAATTCTTTGCTAAGTCCAAAATCCGTCAATACAATGTGACCCTCGTGGTCCAAAAGTATATTTTCTAATTTGATATCCCTGTAGATGATTCCCAACTGAAATTTAAAAATCATTTATTTCAAAATTTTTCTGACAAAATAAAAAAAAGTGATTTTTAATCAGTTTAGAATTTTATGTATACCTTGTGCAAATGTTCCAGTGCTAATATAATTTCTCCTATATAAATTCGTACTTCATCTTCGGCAAAATGTTCCCTTTGATAAAGATGCGTGAATAATTCACCACCACTGACATAATCTGTAAAACGAATTTTTTTTTTAATAAAAGAAATTAATATGATAATCCAGAGTTGCTACGATTTCTCTCGAACAAAATTCCATGAATTTTCCAGGACTTAATATATTTTTCTATGCTTCATAAAATGATAGATAAAAATAGAGATAAAAATAGTTATTAAATATACAAAATTCATTAAAGTATAGAAAAGTTTATTATTATATTAAAATATTTTTTAAAAATTAATTTTTTGAGTTCTCCACAAAATTTTTTCATACAAAATAAAATTCCCTGTCTTTTCCAGATTTTCCAGAAAGCGTAGCAATCCTGATATGTTACATTGATTTTATTTGTCTTTTGCATTGTATATTTTATTTTTTTATATTATTACCTAAAATAAGATGAAGTTTGGCGTCTGTTTGAAAGGCATAGTGAAGAGTAACTAAAAAGGGACTATCTCGAACAGCTTCCAAAACTTGTCTTTCAGTCTTTGTATGTTCCGTCGTCTTCTTTTTTTGGACGATAGATGCTTTTTTCAAAACTTTCATTGCATATAGACGTCCAGCGTCTGTACCAATTCGTTTTCTAACAAGAAATACTTTTCCATAGGCTGAAAATGAAAATTATTTGTTAATAAATTTTCCAATTAAAAAAAAAAAATTTCTCTTTTTAAAATTAAAAAAAGACAATTTTAAAATAGTTTCTTGAAAGATTTTGTTTTATTAACGATTAAAGACTTTCTAAATTTGATATGTTTCAATTTAATTATAAACTATATTACAATTCCCAATTTCGTAAACTTGGTCTATCACGCGTGTCTTGGAGAAAGAAGTCTTGCAATGTAAGAGCAAGTGAAAGTAGAAGCATACTGGACGTTTCTATTTCTTTTGTGAGTTTGTTCTGCTTCACACTAAATTCTTTTTACACTAAATTGACTTCAATTTAAACATATATATAACAAGGAAATAAGTTTTTTTTTACACAATTTAATCGGAGAAAACTGAAAAAAACTTTCTTTAAAAACTAAACTTGTTAACGATTACTATTTCGAGTATTTATCTTTTTTTTTTTTTTTTTTTTTTTACAAATAACATTGATGTATTTTTAAAAAGACATTATTATTGCCGACTTATCAGCAGATAAGATGACAGGAAAATAATCCAAAGTTATTCTTAACTTATTAAAATATTTATTACTCTTATTTTTTCATTAATTTATTTTTTTTTTAAATGTTCAAAAATATAAAAAGAATTCTATATATAAAAAAATTAATATAATTGCATAAAAACTAAAATGACTATTAAATATTTGTATGAGACATCCTTCTTAGAAGTAGAATAATATCGGTCCACATCCTTTGAGATAGTGAATATGAGTAATGAACTTTGAGCTTCAAAATAAACTTAAAATATTTACTAACTGCTGGACAGTCTTCTTGACATCTGCTGATAATGACAAGTCCAGTTTTTAAAATAACATTTCAATCAAGAAACTGTTTTAAAATCATCTTTAAAAACTTGCAGTGTAAATTATTTTCTCACCTCCTGTTCCTAGGACTTTAAGCAGATCAAAATGCGTCATATCGACTCTCTTTCCACTCTCTGCTAAGTTGACTGTAACAGAAAGAAAATTTTTTTTGTTAAAAATACAATATTTGAAATTGAAAAAAAATATTTTTATAATTCTAATTATTAAATTTTGAGAATTTTTATTTTATTTATTATTTAATTACAATAATAATTATTTATTTTTCTTGTTAAAAAAAATATTCAAAAAAACAGAAAACATTTGAAACTTCGAATCAGATGGCTCGTGAGAGTAAAGATTATTCTTTCCATCGAATATAAGGAAATTGAGGAAACAAGAAGAATAATAAGGATTTTGTTGAAATCCAAAAAATGTTGCACCTTAAATTGAAGGGCTCTCCTGTACACGTGGCCCCGGCCCTGACCGACAGTCAGAATCCGTGTCAAGGTACTATAGAAGCGGCCATGATCATGCCTGACGATATACACGTTTAAGTATAGAAATGGAGGTTTTGTATCTTGTCGTCTGACCTAGTTATTGTACTTTTCCGTCATATAAACATAAAAGAATGTCTTTGTAAATTGATTTGATTTTAAAGTTTGGTATTTAAAAAAAAAAAAAAAAAAAAAAAAAACAACAACCAGTGCGAAACTTATACGGTCGCCAGAAACATAGTCTCTCTCTCTCACACACACACTGGCCCCATGGCGAGAGCTCAAATCCACACCAACTCTCACGTGCTGCAATTGCATGACCCAGATTGTCAGCATTCACTCACTATTTCGTAACGGGACCGACTTTCTTTTGGTTACCTGACTCAGCTTCTGTGGTGCATTTTTATTCAAGTTAAATTCGAAAACCTTTTAAAAAGAATAAAAATTATCCTTTAAAAGGACAACCTTTTAAATTTCATGAAAAGTAGGTCCAATCCAAGATTGGAGAAGGTAATTTCTCATTTGTCTTATGTGAGAAATTTAAATCTCCAAAGTCCATTTAAAAAATTCTCAATCTCTCATTTTATTTTCAGTCACAAAAAAAAAAAAAGATCTTGAACAATAAAAATTTTAGAATCAAAGAGACATTTTATCAAACTGAAAAATTACCTTTTAGCATTTAGTTATCATGCAATTATTTTAATTTGGTTCTTAAAAAATAAAGGTGATTCGAAAACCTAAAAATACGTTCAGTCTTTAGTTAAATTTTTTTTTTTTTTTTTCTTTTTCTTTAAATAGCCAAACCTTTCGAAAACTGGTTTTTTAAATACCAAACAGTCGAAAAAATGCAATGTACTTTCAAATTTAAATTTTTGTTATAATTAGTCATTTATAAATTAATTTTATTAAAGAAATAAAATTTGTTTTTTCTAAATAGTTTCTTCTGATGTTGAAAAATTAAATGTAATCCTTTTTACAGTCATGTAGGTCACAAGCCAATAAGCTTAAAAAGAATTATCGAGTCTTTTGCTACTATACGCGGTCTAGACTTCCAACATATGAACTATAATTTAATTGACATTTTCAAAGAGAAGAAAAATATTTACAAAAAGAATTTACGTTTAGTTAGAAACCCCCCCTTCCCCCAGAATTCAAATATGGTATTTTGCCAACAAATATTTCGATAACATTGTCAGCGATATCTTTTCACGATTTAAGTCATGCATTTTTCAAAAAATAACGTTCCAAAAGAAATTACAAGAATATTTTCTTATCTTTTTTGTTTTTACATTTTTTTTTATCGTAAATATTATTTATATTTTTAACATCTGAATTATTTTTTTTGTAATAATTATTTTTAATTGGAGTTTCGAAAAAGTCATTTAATATTTTTGAATTATATTAGTTTTGTAATAGGAGAATCTGACTGGTTTTTTTTTTTAGTTATGCGATTAAAATCAATAATGAGAAAAGGGAAAGACATTTCGTAACATTGAGAAAAGGGGGTCCGGAGAATTCCCGGATCCTGATTTTTAAACCGTGAATGCCGTTACCAAGTACCGTACTAAATACCTTGCACATTCTATATACACCAGGTTTCTATACACGAAAGCGAACGTGAAGTACCGGTGCGCACGTTATTCGAAAAAATAAAAAAAATTTCAATATTACAATAACACAAAACAGGATATGACATTCACTTTCTATTCCAAAAAAGACTCCAAAAATCACAAAACAAAATAAATAAATTTCAATTCAAGAAATTACCTAAGGAACGGCAAAAGAAAAGTTCATTGCAAAGAAATGAACGGTACTATACAACTTTTTATTTTACTTATTTTCTACACCAAGATTAACATTCTATGACAATAGAAGATAATGAAGTTGATTTCTATTGTTTCGAATAATATAATTTTTTCTTGAAAATGTTTTTTATCACAAGACGAAAAATTCTCTGATTTATATGAAGGAAAAAAAAAAAAAAAGAGAACAAAAAGTAATTTTATAACTCGGTTTTAAATGAGTGAGTTACAAAATGTTACGTAAAATTTTCTAGAGAGGGGAAGAGAAAAAGGAGAGAAGACCTTTGTCTCTAACTATGCAACTATGAACAAGAATGTGTCTACTCCAAAATATATGATGATATTACGCAATAAGTATAAGCAACGAATATTATAATAAAACGAGTCTAACATCCACGATATTATTCCATATAACATCACGACAAATTCTTTTCATGAAATATCTCTCTTCTTATATATATATAGGGCTCTCGAATAGGGTCAAGTTATCAATTTAATCTAGGTCACAAATTTCCCAACTAAATTCCCCATAGAAAATACCCCTATTAAATAACCTAAATTCTCCACAAGCAATAATGAAAATAAAATTTCACAACGCTTAAAAAAATACCTCTTTAAATAATTCTTTTTCTCTACCAATTTCTTTGAATAAAAGAAATCAGAATCACGTAATGAGTATAAATTAAGAATGGAAACATCGATATAAAAAAAATTTTTTTTTTTTTTCAAGATTCACGGAAGATGCGAATAATGAATGACATAATATGTCGTATTGTTATTATAGATTGCATCACATTAGTGTCAAGAAAAAAAAAAGAAATATGACATCGAAAAAAAAACCTCCCAGGACTATGTTTTATGAAAGATCGCATTCTCCAAGTGTAAATACTATATTCAAAGTCATTTGTGTTTCTGTATCATTGCACAATATTTTCTTTTTGTAAACAAGTAAACGTCTTTGTTTTCATTTTTTTTTTTCTTTCTGTTGAAAAATCCTTAGTCCATGAAGAAAATTTCAACTTGATAATTATAAATTATGCTTTAAAAGATTATGGTTTTTGATGGTTTTACATCACAGTCACTGGGCCCAATTTCGTCACAAAAAAAAAAAGATATGTTGAAAATTTTCTGTTCATTACTATCAGAGTTGTAAGTAGGGCGTAAACTGCGCCGCCATGGTCATACGACTTAGTAGGTCGAGGAATTTTTGTAAAAATCTGGAAAAAAAATAGCAGTAAACTTCTTATTTTTGCATATATATTAAATAATAAACATTTATGAGTTTATAACAATTCAAATTAAAAAAAAAAAAAAAATTGTTGTGTCGAAAAGAAGAAAATATGAAAAATTTAAAAAATCGAACACAAAGAATTTATTAATTAAAAAGAAAAATTATCAGCATGTTAAAAATTACATTTTTTTTTTAACGATTATTAAGAAATGTAAACTTATTTCTAAATCAAGAAAGATCGCGTTACTGTGATTGTTTTCAATATTCCACGATAAACATTGCAACAGATATCACGTACAAAACTGACTTCAGCATTTCCTCCTGATGCGATTAAGTCGCGAATATGAACAAAAAGAAAAAAAAATTAATTTTAGTCTTTCAAATTTATTATAATAAAGAAATAAAAATTACTTGCTTTTTATTTATCTAAGGAAATTTTTTTTTTTTTATAAGTAATAAAAAAAACAAATATTTGCTTATACATTTTGACAGTAAAAAAATAATTTTATGATTAAAAAAAAAGGTGAGGAAGATAAAATAAAGTCATCGGCCTCTCACATTGAATATTTGCCCAATTGCATTTGCGAAACTCATTTGGTCGGAAATATCTTCATTGCAAACAAAGAAAAATGTTATTTTTGGAAAAAAAAAATGCAGATCACTTACAAGTCGCGTTCAATGGTCTTTTATTTAAAGAACTTTACAATAACAAAGAAAATCCTTTTGTCAGTAGAACATCAATTTTTAGATTAAAAAAAAAAAAGAGAGGAAAATAATTCAGATCTCAAATATAAAAATTGAAAATAAATTTTAGTTTTTATCAAGGGTAAACAAATTTTTTTTTTTCCGCGAAATGTTATTGAGATGAATAGCTGGTTTTTCCCACGCTTTTGATTCTAAGAGAAGCCATAACTGCGTAGAGAATATAATATATACTATACTGATTCGGACAAACAAATAGAACGTGTGATATTCGAAATTTTCTGTAAAATTAACAAATATAACAAATTTTTTATTTCAAAATCGAAAAAAATCGATGCTCTCATATAAATAAAGAATTTATAAATAAAAATGAGTTTACAATTTTAATGAATAAGCATCAATTTCAATAAATTCAAATATTATGAAGAAAATTGTATATATTTTAAGAAATGTCAAATGCACGTGTAAGAAAATCAAATACATGAATTTTCAGAACAATGATGTCTCTCTCAGGTAAAACAAGAATTTAGAATATATCTTTTTTCAATCATTATTTGATATTCAAAAGATAAATTGCCATTTTTCTCATTTCAGTAATCTTGATTATAATTAACTCCAATTGTTCAATATACGATTATGAAATAATGAATACATAACACTCTGTTATATATTCAATTACAAATAAAATTCAATAAAGGATGTTTGAAATCTATATATGATGTCAATTTATTACCACAAAAAAAAAATGTGTAACTCCAAAAGAACTATAAAAAAATGTTAACAAAATAATTTTCTACAAAAAAAGAATATTAACAAAATATTGGACAAAAAATTTAATTTGTATATTGTTTTTTATAATTAAATATTTTTAATTTAAAAAAAATAATTTTCATAAATTCAATTTTTTTCAATTTTTA